CCCCTCGCAGCTTCCCCCCTCTCAACTTTCCCCCTCTCAACTTCCCCCCTCTCAGCTTCCCCCCTCTCATCTTTCCCCCTCTCAACTTTCCCCCTCTCAGCTTTCCCCTTCTTAGCTTTCCCCCTCTCAGCTTTCCCCCTCTCAGCTTTCCCCCTCTCAGCTTCCCCCCTCTCAGCTTTCCCCCTCTCAACTTTCCCCCTCTCAATTGTCCCCCTCTGCTTTCCCCCTCTCAGCTTTCCCCCTCTCAGCTTTCCCCCTCTCAGCTTTCCCCTTCTCAGCTTAACCCCTCTCAGCTTTCCCCCTCTCAGCCTCCCCCCTCTCAGCTTTCCCCCTCTCAGCTTTCCCCCTCTCAGCTTTCTCCCTCTCAACTTTCCCCCTCTCAGCTTCCCCCCTCTCGGCCTTCCCCCTCTCAACTTCCCCCCTCTCAGCTTTCCCCCTCTCAACTTTCCCCCTCTCCACTTTCCCCCTCTCAGCTTTCCTCCTCTCAGCTTCCCCCCTCTCAGCTTTCCTCCTCTCAGCTTTCCCCCTCTCCACTCTCCCCCCCTCAGCTCACTCCCTCTCTGCTTTCCTCCTCAGTTCTCCCTTTCCCATCTTTGCCCCACTCAGCTTTCCCCCTCTCAGCTCATCCCCTCTCTGCTTTCCTCCTCAGTTATCCCTTTCCCATCTTTGCCCCACTCAGCTTTCCCCCTCTTAGCTCAACCCCTCCCAACTTACTTCCTCCCACCTTTCCCATCCCCCCACTTGGCATTCCACCCGTCAGTTGTCCCGCCCTTTCCTTTTCCCGTCTGTGCTACACCCCACCCTCCATCTAGGCAAGCGCATTTGGTAGCAAGGCTACTACTTACCAGTGGCAACCACTGCAGGGGTTGAATCAGCCATGGTGGCGCAACGGTGACCCAGTGGCATTGCACCATTCAGCGCACTTCGCCAATCCATGTGCATGAAAGCGGGGAGGGGTGGGGCATGTGGAATTGGCATAGTAGTATAGCAAGTCCGCCATTGTCGCCTTCTTTGCTCCTCCCATGAGCGCAGACAGTCCGCCTAGCTGGACACAGACTGTTGGCCTCACGTGTTTTGAAACACCATGCATGGGTTTGTCATGCGCATGGCCCAACGCTGCCGCCGGATGGTCCTTGTTTGGGTCTGCGGCTGCCTCGCCCCTGCTGGGTTGCGTTTGGGGGAGAGATGGTTAGGGCGAGGGTTTGGGGCTGGCCTTGATAGGGGTGACACGGGGTGGCCATGTGGGGGATGCTTTGACACGCCAAACCTCTCTTAACCCTTACCTCCCTGCCCCACCTTGACATACAAAAAAGGCTAACCTCAAACACATCTCGATGGCCATGCCTTGACTTCCCCCTCAGTTCCCACCTAACCCACCTCCCTGCTGCACCTTGCTGCTCCTCTCGGCTGTTCCCTTGCTCACCTCCCTGCAGCACCTTGCTGCTCCTCTCGGCTGTACCCTTGCTCACCTCCCTGCCCCGCCTAGGAGCTTCTCTCGGCTTCCCCCTTGCTCACCTCCTTGCCCCACCTTGACGCTCCTCTCTGCTTCCCCCCTGCTCCCCACTCCTGCCTCACCTTGACACTCCTCTCTCCTTCCCCCCTGCTCCCCCCTCCTGCATCCCCTTGACACTCGTCCATGCTCCCCCTTTGCTCACCTCCCTGCCTCACCTTGACACTCCTCTCTGCTTCCCCCTGCTCCCCCCTCCTGCATCACCTTGACACTCGTCTATGCTCCCCCCTTGCTCACCTCCCTGCCCAACCTCCTCTCTGCTTCCCCCCTGCTCCCCCCTTCTGCATCACCTTGACACTCCTCTCTGCTTCCCCCCTGCTCCCCCCTCCTGCATCACCTTGACACTCCTCTCAGCTCCCCCCTTGCTTGCCTCCCTGCCTCACTATGACACTCCTCTCTGCTTCCCCCCTGCTCCCCCCTCCTGTATCACCTTGACACTCCTCTCAGCTCCCCCTTGCTTGCCTCCCTTCCTCACCTTGACACTCCTCTCTGCTTCCCCCCTGTTCCCCCCTCCTGCATCACCTTGATACTCGTCTATGCTCCCTTCTTGCTCACCTCTCAGCCTCCGCTTGACACTCCCCACGGCTCCCCCCTTGCTCACCTCCCTGCCCCACCTTGACACTCCTCTCAGCTCCCCCCTTGCTCATCTCCCTGCCTCGTCTTGACACTTCTCCCTGCTCCCCCCTTGCTCATCTCCCTGCCTCACATTAGGAACGTGTGAGGGGTACAAGGCACTGCGTGTTAATCCGAGCGGGCCCCCGTCGTGCATGGTGGTATGCAGCGCCCTCGCATGTATGGTTCGCGCCTATGGCCGGTGGCGCTTAGTGATTTTTGCGTCGCGCTTTGGGCGGCCGTCCCGTGGTGTTTTTTTTCCCCTTCTATCTTTCCAGCCTGGCTCTCATTTCTGTCTCCCTCGCGGGCTTGCAAACGCTCTCCTGGTCTAGACGCTCACGTGTGTCCCTGCGGTTTCTGTCGTTTGCGGGCCATGTGCGCTTCGGGACCGTTTCCGCGATCAGCGCTAGTCTTTGCGACGCGCTTCCTTCCTGCGTTATGAAGGGCCCCGACTATCCTGTCTCTTGCGCCTTCGCAGCCGTTTGCGCTCTTTGTATGCCGCTCGTTCCTTACATGAGCTTCCCAATGCCTAGTTCATATGCTGTGTGCTGCTGCGGGCAGAGTGGTGTGGCGGCTGGTGGTATTGTTCTCTCCCTCACAGCCTTTTTCGTTGCTCACCACCTTGCGCGCCCCTCCTGTCCCTTTTCCGCCCTCAGCTTTACCTCTTTGTCCTTTTCCTTTGGGCGCCGGTTTTTGTAGCACGTTTTTTCACGCGTGCTGATTGGTGTTTGCATTTCGTGCAATGGGTTGGTTTTCGCGTAGGGTGTTGCAATGTTCGCTCCTTGGCGAACCACACTTGCCACCTCGCACCACTGCTCCACGCCCCAGCTCGCTGCCGTGCCCAACTTTTAGCCCTATCATGATTATTAATCTTGCCTGTTTTGGGTCACCGGCTTTAAATGCAAGTAATCTTGAATTGTGCCAGAGTCGATTTCAGTATATTATTTTGCATGAAAACGTTTCTTTCATGTCAGGATGGCCGAGTTGGTCTAAGGCGCCAGTTTCAGGTACTGGTCCGAAAGGGCATGGGTTCGAATCCCATTCCTGACAGACTGTTATCTGGTTTTCTTTCTGTCCTGCTCATGTCTGGTGGTGTCAATCATTTCGTGGATACTCGTCAGGACTGACGATATAGTGGTTACCGCTTGGCGAACAAATTTTCCTGCGAGCGACGGAACCGATCGCATCACATTGCAGCAGAAGAACCTTCGCGAAGCCTGGAGCTGTGATTGTTTGCTCGGCTACTGATTTCGAAATCTGCAGCGATGGCTGCCTGGCTGGCGCGAAGATACTGTAAATGAGAGCTAGCCGTCCAAATCACACAGACTCGACCACTTTTCCTTGGCTTGAGGCATGTCAGCTGTTTCCCCTATCGAGCTCTCTCGCTCTAACCTCCTTTATGACAGAACATGCCACGTCGTCACTTTCCGACCAATCTTCCTACATAAAGTGACCTTCTAGTTCATTCTAACTGCGACTACTGGGACAGATGCAGCCAGTGAGCGCTCTCTCGCGCTTTCCATGGTCAACACCAGTAGTGTACCCCCCCTTCCAACATCACCTACGTCGTAGATATTTTTCCGCCATGCACAAATATCGACCAGCATCAATCGAAACAATCGAGCACACAAATATCGATTCCAGCTGAGTCTACGCTGCTCCGTGGCTCTGACTCGACCACGAAGAAGCTTTCCGCGTCATGCAACTTGGGAAATCCCACTGTCGTTTTAGTCGCCACATATTCTCTGCTGCTCTTCCGTTGTTTTGTCAAGCAATTAGTCTCTTGAGCGCCCGATGGTGTCTGCCTGCTTTGGGTACACAACAGAGCTGCTCTGCTGCTGCCAGCACGGAATCAGTGATTTCTTAGGAGCCGCTGAACCTTTCTGTAGCCGCCATGGGGTGTGTTCGCACCATGAAGCTCCGTAGGCCTCACACCTCTGAACCGTACAGAACTCCTTCATCTCCACAACCATGCTCCCGCCAACCACACCTGTTCACTTCCACGGAGCCTGATTTTCTGGACATTGAATGGGAGATTCTCGACAGCATCTCTCCAGCGAATTCCGGTCCTTTGTGGACGGTAACGGAAACCGTCAACGCTTACGTCTTCTGCGTGGAGCAACGCGGTCTTCCGCTGGAGCGCGTGCAAGTTCTGCTGGACAGACGCGTAGGCCACGGGCTCGTTGACAGGCATTGGAAGGAAGAGAACGACCCTAACGGTAGCAGATCATCCGACCAGGAAAATGACTGGTCGCAGCAGTCGCCCACCCAGCAGTCGCAATGGTCGCAGGCGTCGCCCAGGCATGGCACGGATTCCGGCAGCTTGGAAGCAGCGCAGCTCACCATTGTGTGCGCGTTTCCCTCCCCTTCTCACACCGCAGACAGGGCAGGCTCCCTCTGGACGGCTGGCCGGCGATTCAAACTGCCACCTGATGCCGTAGCAGAGGAAACGGCGGCCATGCAGACGGTGACAGGACCGTTGGTCGTCAACGTCCCTCGCTCTCCGTCGAGAAAACCCAGCACTTCGTGTTGCTCGCCTTCGTCTGCTCATCCTTCTTCGTACCCTTCTGGAAAGTCCTCCGGTCCAAGATTTGGCAGGTGGGCTGCACACGTGGCATCAGCAGCGTCATCGTTGACAGCCTCGTCATCATCACATCCAGAGAAGCAGTGTCAATCTTCCCCCAACTCGTTTCAGCATTTTGATCCTGAGTTGCTCCAAAGTCTGCTAGTACGAGTGTGTGATGCAGCCAGGTGCTTCAAGCATTGTGAGGGCATCAGCCTGCATTGGGCTTTTCTTCCTGTTCAGTTCATTGCCCTCCTAGATTACCAGGTGCGAACTGTGTACCAAGTTCAGTTGTGCGTAGTGTTTTCCAAGCATACGGTACTAGCAGAATATGGAGTTAATAATGAAAAGATGCCTGAGCTGGAATAAAGAACTGAAGCCAGTCTCCTCTCTTCATGATGCTCACATACTGCACAGATGGTGCACATAAATAAACCCATCCAACAGACTAGCTGACTACGCAGTTAAGGTCACAAAACAAATGAATTATTCTGCGTGTGCCATCGAAACAGGTGATCCTCCAGATAGCCCACCCATGAAACCACCAGCCATGCACACTGCAGAGTTGCTCCTGATGCGATCCGGACGAAACAGCCAACCTATCAGCCAAGGAAACGTGGCAGCAGCGCTGCAGACAGCACCAAGGGCATCATGTTACCAAATGGTGGCGTCGCGTTGCACCTCTTGCCCCTAGATGGGAACAAACAACAATTGCCAAATAGACAACACAGAAGATAGGAAGGGAAAAAAACATTGACCATCAAGCAGGTAACTGTCGCCAGAGTGGTGGAAGGAAGCTTCGTGGGCGCCTGTTTCAGCTGCAGGAAAAAGCAGCAGCAGCAGCCATCAGAGTAACTATGACAAAAGGCCATCACGAGCAGCAGAAACAGCTGCTTAGGCTAGGAAAGGGTCATCATGTGGCTGCTGAACGAACGCTGATATGGCACCACAAAACCAGTGTAGAAATCTACAGCCGAGCCGAGGATCCTACAAAGAGTGGGCATCAGTACCGACAGAATGGCTTCCTTACCTTCAGTCCACTCACCGTCTCACATCCAGCGACATCACCTTACAGCCCCCGTGACACATTACGACGTCAAAATGAAAAAAATGGCATGGCCCTGCCTGCCACCTATTCTGTCGCCACCTGTTCTGCCTGCCACCTATTCTGCCTGCCACCTGTTCTGCCTGCCACCTATTCTGCCTGCCACCTGTTCTGCCTGCCACCTACCACATGCTGAAGAAAGGATGCTGCCCCCACCTAAAAGCACAAACAAGCCCCGTGGCGATCTGCTTTCCCCGGAAGAACCTCAGATTGCATGCCACCGCCTCAAAAACATTGCAAGACCTCAGATTCTTGATTCCATCCCTCGCTTCCGAGCAACTTCTTCTACTGATTCACCTTCACCGCCCACTGTTCCCACTAACACATATTGTTATCGAACCACCCCCCCTCCCCCCCCCCCACCCCTATAGATACCGTAATCCTTCCTACCCGCTTCCCACATCACCTGGAAAATCGGCTGCTCTGTAATCACCGCTTGTTCTCAGCACAACAATCACTGCTGCTGAAGGGGCAGCAGCGGCGTCAACACCGTTCACTGCTGTAATACCTCGCCTCCCTTGAAATAGTGTATTCCGTCCCACCCTCCTTCCCTCCCCCCTCACCTATCACGTGATCACCGCTTGTTCTCAGGGAAGTGCTGCCTGAGTATCTGCAGCAGCGTCTTGGCCTCCGAGTTCTCAGCCTCTGTGATACCGTACTCTCATCCTCCTTCAAACGATGTCCTCAACCACCGTATCCTCACCATGCCTCCCTCACCTATCACGTGATCACCGCTTGTTCTCAGCCCAGTGCTGCCTGAGGATCTGCAGCAGCGTCTTCGCCTACGAGTTCTCAGCGCTCCTCAATACTGCATATTATCGTGCTATCCCCTCGCCACCCTTTCCCCCCACAATCTCACCTTTCACCGCTTGTTCTCAGCGCAGTGCTGCCTGAGTATCTGCAGCAGCGTCTTCGCCTCCGAGTTCTCAGCGCTCGTCTGCGACACGCGCACCAGCGACGGCAACACGCCTTCCGCCAGCAGGTCCCCGTACGTCACAAAACCCATGGCCGCCAGCTGCAGCAGCACCGACGCCGCGTCCTCCTTCACCCGCGCCGACGACCCCTCGTCCAACAGGTCCACGAACATGGTGAGCCCGTCGCACTCCACAATCGACTGACACCCCTCGGGGAACCGAGCCAGGTTGGATAGCACCGCCGTGGCTTTCTCTTCCAGGCCGGGAGGGGGAGGGTCGGAAGAGTCCCCCGAACCACACATCCCTAGGAGGACCTCGACTGCTCCAGCTTTAAGGATGTCTCGGGCGCAGCGGACTTGGGTAGAGAGGGTGAAGAGCGCCAGCGCCGCATCCTTCTTCGCACGCACCGTGCCGGTTTTGAGGAGGGAGATAAGTGCGGGGATGGCGCCTGACGCCCGCACCATGAGCTTGTGGTCATCCTCCTTAGAAAGCGCGAACAGAGTGGCAGCCGCGTTGCCTTGGGAGGCTGAAGTACCGTGGTTCAACATCCCTACCAGGGCTGGGATCCCCCCAGCTCGCACGATCTCCCCTGACGCGTTCCAGTGGAGGGAGAGATTCATGAGGGCAGCAACGGCGTGTTCTGCTGCCTCCAGGTCGTCCGATTCGATCACCTCGACCAGCGGCTCGATCCCCCCCAGCTGCACCAGCTGCGCTTTGTTTTCCGGGCAGCCCTTGATCGCTGCCCGGATGTCTCGCACCGCTGCCCGCCGGTCCACACCTGACCCGAAGTTGAGCGCCTCCACCATGGGGTTCATGTCGCGGCGGACCGGCGCACCGCCCGGGTCATCATTGCTGCCGCCCGGCATGCTCATCATGCTGCACGTGCTGCGCGCGCTGCTGTTCCGCTGCAGCCTGGGCACGCCTGTAGCGCCGCCCCCGGCTGTAGCAGCAGGCGGCTGGGACGGCTGGGGGGGCAGCTGGGGGGGAGGGGTCATGGGGGGGGTACTGGCATGGCCATAGCCCATATCAACATCTTGCATAGTCGGGTTCGTAGTCGCCTTTCTAAACGCCCTGCCGGCCGAATGGGTGCTCTCCACGTCCACGTCATGCAGGTGCGGCGACGGGTTGGTCGGCGACTTTCGGAACGTTCTGCCGGCCGACATGGCTTCAATGTCCGCCTGCCACTGCGGGATGGATGACGTCAGCCGCTCTAGCCCCTGCCCCTGCCCCATACCCTGCCCTAAACCCTGCCCATGCCCTCCCCCATATCCGCCCCCGCCCCCACCGCCGCCAGCAGCAGCGGCAGCAGCGCCAGCCGCGTTTTTTAGCACGCCTTTCCGGAGCCCCTTAGGCCTCCCCCCGCTGCTGCTGCTAGGCGCCAGCCCCTGCCCCGCCCCCCTCCACGGCTCTCCCCCACTCGGCCCGCCCTGCCCGTACTCCCCGCCGCCGAACGCGGCGCCCGAGGTCCTGGGGCGCTCGTCGCCGGGGTTAGCGGCAAACTGGCGCCTGCCCCCACTGGCGCTGGCGCTGCTACCGTCGGTCGACTCCATGCCGAAGTGCCGCCGCCCACCCGTGCTGCTCCCGCTACTGTTGCTACTCACGCTCGGGACCCGTCCATGCCCCACCGACCCCGGACGCTGCGGCAGCGGGGACATGTTTCCGCCTACCCCGCCTCCTCCTCCTCCCACCAGCATTCTCCCCCCTGGCGCCAGGTGCTCCCCGCGCCCCCCGTACTCCTCGTCCCCCCTGCCCCCTCCTCCGCCTGCCGCCCTGTCCGCGTCCCGTTCCGACTTTTTCACCTTCCTGCCCGTTTCCGACTGGGACCGCATCTTCGCGCTGCTGCGGAGCGACGGCGGCGCGGCTTCCCCCTCGTCCCCCACCGACGGGGACGGCCTTAGCCCCGCGCCGCCCCCTTTCACCCCATCCGCTCCTATCTCCGATAGTAGCTTGTCCCGCTGCTTCCTCGTCATCTTCATACTCCGACCTTTCATAAGATCCGATATCTTCCCCGGACCTCCCCCTCCTCCGCCGCCGCCCGCGCGCCCTAACTTAAGAGCGGAAATCCCCGTGGAAAGCTTTCCCCCCACGTCATCGTCATCATCGTCGGCGGGGGAGCCGAACCCGTCCTCGCCTCGCGGGAAGTACGACAGGTGCCGCTGCAGACCGCCGCCGGCCTTCTTAGGCTTGCTCCCCTGCGCGGCTATACTCTCCCATACGGCTTTAATATCCGTCGGCCCGTCGCCTACCTGACCGTCTCCGCCGCCCAGCGCCGCCATTTTCTTCGATAGGTTCGACGGAAGCGGGCTCACGGACCTCGCCCGAGCCTTAGCACCGGCGTCCGAACCGCTACCGCTTCCCGAGCCTGACGCCTTCCGCCCTCTCTCCACCTTGCTCTCCTCCCCGCCGTCCGCGCTCTTCTTCTTAACCACCTTTTTCTTTCGCACGGCGCCGTCGGACAGGCGTTCGAGGTCCTGTTCGCCTGGGCCGGTCTCCGATCGAGGCGCCATTAGTGAAGGGGGAGGTGGTGTTTTCGGCCGCAACTGGCTGGTTTTCGAGGAGCTTTTTACCGTGGATTTTTTCGCCGGGGCAGTACTGGGACGGGCAGCTGAAGAATGGCCGCCCGAACCTTGCGCCATCCAATCAGAGATCATGCTTTTCAGGGCGAAGTTCGGGCAGAAGTTTGTATGGTCGATCCGCACGCCAGACTTGGGGCACGTCCGCTTACCCTCTGCGAACCACCTCTCGATTGAAGCACGCTCGTACGTCTGGCCGGATGCGATTATAACGGGGTCAGTCATGACGGTTAGCGAGAGCGGACACATAAACTCTTCGGGTATTGTCGGTCCGTTTGACTCTGCCTTCTTATGACCACTGCTGCTGCTACTACCCCCGCTCTCCTTCTCTTTCTTTTTTCTCGTCGGCTTCGCTTCCCGTTCCTTTTGCGGTCTTCGCCGCTCCTGCTCTCCTACGTGGTCATCCTCTTCCCACTGCTGCTCCTGATGGTGCTGCTGATGCCGCTGCTGCCGTTGCTGTCTATCTACAGTGTTTTCTCGCTCCCAACTAGACCCTCTGGGTTCTTCGTCCCAGCCGTTGCCGTGGTTGTCCTGGTAATCGTCATCGCGATGGTAGTGATCGGACGATTGTGACGCCCTCTCCCAACTGTTGCAGGTTGCTGGATCCATGTTACAAGGTAACAGCTACTGCTCTGGTCTGGGAACGCAGAAGATAAGGAAATTGAGGATAACACGAAAGAAAATAATATTATGTTCAAGATTGCGACTTTGTTAAATCTCCTGCGAACAGCCGTTCCCGATAGATCTGTATTGGGAAGATGCATAATTAAACTCTGTCGCGGAAGTTGCAATGGACAGAAAAAGGGGATATATGCAATTGGAAATTATCCTAAAAGAATCTGACCAGGTAACTCCCGAGTTACTTGAGACAACTAAATGCAGGATACAATACGACAAGCGGGTATTGCTCGTTAAATGCTCGAAAAGACGGAAACCAGCAAGGTTGTACACAAATGAGCTTGACTGCCAGACAATGGCGAGATCGAGTCACTTACGAGTCTAACGTCGTTAAGGAGGATGTTAAGTCGCTGAAGCTTTTGTGAACGTCGTTAAGGAGGATCAAATAACTGCAATGGATGCATGGAGGAGCCTCGAACAAGCGGAAACCGAGGAACTACTGGAAAACTACGAGTATGGCACCGTATATGCTTTCAACCGTCGAGCGCTGCCTGCTTAGAAGGGCCTTTACACAGATCGTTGCCCTAGACCTTGCACCTACTTCTTACACGAAATCGCCATCCACGTCAAGAAGCCCTAGGCTGCACCTAAACCACAAGCTTCGCAACGCATGAGGGTACTATCGGAACTTTTCTCCGCAACACAAACGCTTCTGGCGGAACATTCTGGACCACGAAGTACGAAAGACCTAGGAAAAAGGATGCCAGGGAGAACCTGATAAGCCTTCGCTGTGGCGTTAGGAGACGTTCTAGGGTTACAGAATTGAGGAGGAAGGTCTCAGTGCTTGCTCGTGTGCCGTGCCGAATGGTGCTGCTGATGTCATTCTGGCCCGATCTCTTAAGTTGCGGTACTGCTGGTTCGAAACTAAAAGCAGTGGTTGTGAGTGCCGGAGAGAGGTTGACGAAAATAAGCGCGATGGTTTAAAAGTCGTGTGGTAACCCGCCGATGAGGGGGATGCGATGAGTCGGATGGATGGGCGGACGAGATGAGCCGAGGCTGTCAGCTTCTGTTGCAGGTTTCGTGGTTTGGTGGGGAACCTTGGGATTGGCGGGAGAAGCGGGCAGAGGAACATGGGCAGATGGAACGCGTCGGATTTGTTGAAGTGAAAGTTTGAGACGAAGGGTGGTGAGGGAAGAGCAGATTGGTTGGTGGTTGAGAGCTGCTCGGGCAGTTCTGAGTAAGTAGGAGGGGATAGCTGGCGGGCAGATTATCGATCAAATCCTGGGAGGTTGGTGGAGGCGACAAGAGCGACCACGACAAATCGGGGATCTCCAAAGACACTGATGCCTCGGTACACAGTGATACGTCCATTCAATCTTGTGGCAAACAAATGTTATTCTGTGCACCACGTAACATACTCCACACATATCCACCAATTCTATTAACACTTCAATAGCCTCGGACATATACCCTGCACCACTCCGGCAGTCAAAATTGTGTTGCATCAATAAATATGTGGGCTGCAATCAACCCATTCAATAGTTGGCCAATGTTTGGCTAACATTGATCCGCCCAGGAGTAGCATTCTTGTTGAACTTGGACCACTTGAAGTCTTCATACTTCTTCCCCACTCCAGTAAGCCCAAGAGCACTCTCTGCGGGGGAATTGTCTGTCTCCTTCACTCCAATATCCGTTGACTTGAACCCCTTCGCCGGCCCGTCCACAGCAACCAGCTCGCCGTCATATGATAAGAACTGGATCACCGTGGCAGCGCCATTCGTCGGCTGCGATACAAGTGCCATGCCGTCGGACGGTCCGTTCTGCAAGCCGCCTTGAGCGTACATGTTGCCATACACCACAAAGCCATTGATGTTGGTCGGAGGGAGGCTGAACTTGCTGAGAGGAAGCTTGCCATAGGTCTTCCCATTGGCCCCGTTATAGAGGTAGATGGAGAGGGTTGAGGGGTCCACCCCTGGACTCACAACCACCTCGATAAACTGCGATGGGAAGGTGGGAAGGGAAGTGCAGAATGAAATGGGCATTCCTGAAGAAAAGCGAGGCAACAGTGATCCAGTCACGCATACTGGTCCCCTGATCCACTCCCCACCCTCCCAACACCCCAATCTCCTCCCTCCACACCCAGCTACCCACCTCGTTCTTGTCGGGCCCTTCGTTGCTGTAGTGGATCTCATTGAACCACGCCTTGGCCTGCCCCCCAGGCACACGCGGTGCAGCAACCCCCCCTGCCCCGCCTGCTGCCGCTCCCGAGCCTCCCCCCACTGGCGCTGCCACTGGCGGCGCTGCTCCTGGCAGGCTGAAGCCGGTCCCCGAGCCTGCACCCAAGGCTGCTCCCGAGCCTACAGCTGGTACCGAGGCTGGCACGGCGCCCCAGATGAGGGGGACGAACTCAGGGTGGTCGACGAAGGGATTGCGGTTGTGCTGGTAGAGCGAACACACCCGGTTGTTGCGCGTGGCCTCCAGGGAGGACGGCGGGTCGACAGAGTGCCACTTGAGGAGAGGGGACAGCAGACCCATTTGGCCCTCAGCTGTGATGTAACGGGTTGGATGAAAGGGGTAGAGAGGGGGAGGGGGGCCGGAAGGGAGAGGAGAATGGGGAGCTTGTAACGGAAGAGAAGGGGTTGCGGCTGTCCTGGTAGAGCGACGCAGTTGTTGCGCACAGCCTCGGGGGAGGACGGCCGGTCCAGCGAGTGCCACTCGAGGAGAGGGGTCGGCAGACCCATTTGGCCCTCAGCTGTGATGCGAACGGGTTGGATGAAAGGGAGGGAGGGGTGGGCTTGGGCCGGAATGGAGATGTGAGGGGGGGTGGGGAGAGTGGTCGAGTCGAGAAACGAAGAGGAGAAAGAGGAGAAAGGAGATCTTTTCGTGGATGCGCAGGGAAGGGGATGTGAGGGGGAAAGGACAGAAGCATGTGAACTGAGCAGTTGACGAGCAAAGGGATGGAGTGGAGCAGGAGACAGCATGACATACCTAGGGGTTGTCAGTGGGTATGGCATACCGATTTTGGGGTTGTCAGAGAGCTCGAGGTCCAATTCGCCAGGCACAGAGCCGTCGTATCTGACAGCCATGTAGAGCAGCGCACGTGCTATGTCGCCCCGCATCTGAACCAGAGATGCACAAAAAGAAAGGATTGATGAGAGAATCAATGGCAGAGTCAGGCAAGCACTGCGGCTGACTCTGCGGTTTTGTGCACTCATGTGTATGACTCTGAACGCATATGGGTGTGGGGGGGGAAAGAGGAGGAGGGACAGGGAGGCAGAGTGAGCAAATGAGGGGAGGGAGAGTCGAAGGAGTTAGCAACGGAAGCAAGAGAGGAAAGCACACACCTCAGAGGGGGGAGTCCAGACGTCCTTATTGGTGGCCGTATCTGCTGCTGCCTCCCTATTGGCGGGCACGAGACAGCTGTCATCCGTGGATGAGCACTCGCCAAACCACTTGTTGCCTCGGGCAGAGTTCACTGAATGTGACAATAGGATGGGGAAATGAAATGAATCTTCTGTGACAATAGTGAAGGACGAATGTGGCCAAGGTGGTCGGTGTGACAATCCACATAATACAGCATTGACATCATCATCATCAGAGGCAGCAACAGCAGCGGCGCCAGCAGCAGCAGCAGCAGCAGCAGCAGCAGCAGCAGCAGCAGCAGCAGCAGCAGCAGCAGCAGCAGCAGCAGCAGCAGCAGCAGCAGCAGCAGCAGCAGCAGCAGCAGCAGCAGCAGCAGCAGCAGCAGCAGCAGCAGCAGCAGCAGCAGCAGCAGCAGTCCACGGCACAAGACCTACCATTGACGTCGGCAGGTCTCAGATTGTGAAGGTCGGAGAACTCGGGTCGGCCCTGAGTGAGACCATAGGAGCGGGGCCACAGATGCTCCCCTGACAGATGGGGCGTGGGGGTTTGGGGGGTGGGGTGGGTTGTTGAGACAACGCCTTTCAGCCAACTCAATTTTAGGGATTTTCTTTTTTGGGGGGGTGGGGGGGGGGGATGACACAGTGTTACGCTGAATTCACCCACTGATTCTAGACAGACCGTGCCGGCGCAACAAAGGCAGCCAAGCACCACTCACTGTTCCAGCCTTCCGGCGTGGCTTGTGTGTCCTTGGGCACTGCTCTGCGCGTGTAGATCTCCACACTGGACAAGGGAACACGGGAAACAAACAGCGACACCGAGAATAAACAGTGGCACACAGAATCAACAGTGGCACAGAGATCAACAGTGGCACACAGAATCAACAGTGGCACACAGAATCAACAGTGGCACACAGAATCAACAGTGGCACACAGAATCAACAGTGGCACACAGAATCAACAGTGGCACACAGAATCAACAGTGGCACACAGAATCAACAGTGACACACAGAATCAACAGTGGCACACAGAATCAACAGTGGCACACAGAATCAACAGTGGCACACAGAATCAACAGTGGCACACAGAATCAACAGTGGCACACAGAATCAACAGTGGCACACAGAATCAACAGTGGCACACAGAATCAACAGTGGCACACAGAATCAACAGTGGCACACAGAATCAACAGTGGCACACAGAATCAACAGTGACAGATAGTAAACAGGGTGCAAGAGAGGGTACCTGCCCACAATATAGCAACTCACACGTCACGGGACTTGGCAGGATCTGACTGGTCCGCAGCATCGAGAATCTTGAGAGCATCCCATGCCTGTCAGTATTAGAACAGTGTGTGCAGGGTTGGTGTGAAGGGTTGGTATGAAGGTAAGAGTAATTGCAGAGGCGGCTGGTCTGTAGTTGGAACGAGATCTGAAAGGAAAGAGTATATGTAAGAGGTGCAGGTGCTCCTTCAGTACTACCTCCCCCAGTGATCCATTACCCCCAGTACCACCTACCTCAGTGTAGGTGTACACTTTATGACCCTTTATAATATCGTGCAGCTTCGCCTTAAGAGCCTCCCCCTTGAGCCCCTGCGTGCCTGCATAGTACTGCTCCACGTCCTCGCACGGAAACTTCGTGGCAGCTGCTTCGGCTGACCATGGTGCGAAACAAGCTGCTGCTGTCGGCGTGAGGGTGATGAGGGCTGCTAGCAGCGCGGCAGTCGCCTTGGAAACAGCTGGGGAGAAACGGAAAAGAGGGGGGGGGGGGAGGGGAGGGAGGGGAGGGAGAGGAGGTAGTGGGGGTGAGTTGCAAAGCAAACCCCTGCTATCGGCGAGAGGGTTACGAGGGCTGCTAGCAGTGCTGCTGTCGCCTTAGACGCAGTTGGAGAGAAAACGAAAAGGGGAGGATCTAGTGGCAGTGAGGAAGGAATCGACCTGTGGTCTTTTCCGTGCTAATAGTACCCATTCCAATTGACCTGGCTATACGGCAGGGCTTTAAGCTCGTCGTCGACAGCCTCCACATTTTCATTGTCTCATTCCCATAGTCGTCGGTTCCACTTCCTCGTCAACGCCATTGACGATTTCGGGTAAACGACCGCCGGCTAGTCGTTGATGACGACTCTTCGGCTAGTCGCTGATCTCCTGGTGACGGTCCACCTAAACAACCATTGCTGGTTATCCCAGCATTTCAGCCGAACCAAAAAACACTACTCGGGAAGCGCGCGGAGACACGCATCCTGGCCACAAGTTGTCATGGCCGACTGCTGGAATGTAACCAAAGGGAAGGGGGGACCCATGTTGTTCATTTATCCTTACATGCACGGACCGACCAAACTTCGATCTTGGCGTGGTTTGGCTTACCTCTCTGGCCAGTCGTCAAAGATTCCTGGAGAGCCTCCAGCCGTCCGTTGCAATGGTTCCCTCGCTCACTCTCCGTCGCGTCCGTGCGAGACGACGACGCCGATTCGAAGCCGTGGGAGCGGCAAAGAATCTGTCCCGCTGGCCTGGTCCTCCGGGAAGCCCGGGTGGTCGCACGGCCTCCACGGTCTGAGACTGGCGCTGCGGGTGAGGTGGATAGGGAGGTTCTGCTGGCTAGCGGAGAGCTTCGGTGGAGGAAATGTGTCTGGGGTCGACCTCCCTGCGGAATGGAGTGGAGGACGGAGGGTTGAGGAGTGAGTGAGAGAGAGATGAGTTGGCGAGAGGCGAAGGGGTTAGACAAAGTTACGCGAGAGTCCGGAGAATGGCGAAGGACAGCATGGAACTTACGGCTGTGAATCCGCGAGCACTCATCAGCGAGCAATCGGACGCCAGCAATGCCATTCCGAGTCAGCGAGCCTAATAATTCAGCAGAGCCGCCGCGGAAGTAGCGCGTGAATCTAGTGTCAGGGGTCAATAGCAGAGACGGAGGCTGGTGCGACTAGAAAGAATCCGGCTGAGGTCGTTGAGGTCTGATAAGAACACACCACCTGGTTTTGAGGCGTTTTAACTCTACGGATGAACCCAAGGAGAGAATGGAAAGGATTGTGGAATTCTCGAGAATGTGTCTCGAGAATGGATTATGGCTTGGCGTCGCAAAGCGGCTTGGAATCCAGACCAGCGTGGCACCATACTTCGGCTCCACCGCAAACGCTGGTTCGGCACCACACCTTCGGCTTTGCTCCGTACTCTCGCCCCTGGAGCCACCATCACCAACATTGGGTTCGGCCTCGGGAATTGTGCGCCACCACCCATGGGATTCGGCATTTCGGGTTTCGTTCAAGATGACCCTTGGCGTAAATGATTGGCTGAATGCTGTGGCCCTCTCTTCTCATTGGCCAGCTCGTCGTCTCGAGTGAATGTGGCCCTTCATCCTGGCATACGTGAAACAAGCAAGCTTCCTCTCCCAAGTCTGACGGAACTAGGCTCGTTCTGCAAGCCAGGCTGGTTTTCCTGTCAAACCTCAGCCTCGGAAAATGGTCCCTCCCCGTTTCAGAAGAGAGAGACGAATGCATCCTCCATGCCCCATGGCTGGACAGACAGGCAGGCACTGTATCAGAATCTCCTGCCATTCCTCCCCTCATTTCTCTCTGGACTTATCAGAGAGCGTCAGCGTTACGTCCCACCACAGTAGTCGCTTCCAAAATGTCAGGAGCCATTACTTCAGAGACGTACCGCCAGGTTCCGTTGGTCGCATTCGCAGGTCTCAAGGGTCGCCATGCGACTTCGGTCCCATCGGCGACTGTCCCCTGCCATCCAGCGACGAAATCGCTACTCCTTAGGTCGGAACCTCGAGCTCTTGGCTCGTTTACAGGAGCGGGCTGGGCCATTAGGTCTAGACGACGATCTCAGGAAGGAACATCGTGCGGTCGAGATTTGAGAAGCGGATTCCGAAATATCCGCTGCCTTGTAGAGGCCATCGCGGAGCAACAGAAGCCGTCCGATGTAAATCCACCACGCGCCGCCAGGTCTTGCGATTCAGCGGGAGTTTCTAGGCGACGAGCCTTCCTCACGGGCGCAGCAGCGCTGGCAGCAGTCGCTGCAGGAACTGAGCCGTGGGGGACTGGAAGCCTCACGGAATCTGGAGCCGCTCATGCAGCGGTTCTGCCTCGGGGAGTGGGCGAAGGGCCCCTATTGGCCGCTGTGAGCGACGATGATGATGACACCGTTGTCAAACTGTTTGAGGTGGGGTCTGTCTGGTCACCCTTGTTCACTCTGCATAAACTTAACCATTACTCTTTTATTCAAATTCCGTTCATGGCTGCCTCATCTCCGTATCTTACATACCAATGCATTATGCATGTGCCTTGCATTTTCTTCACGTGTCCTGCTTCCAGGATGCAACAGCTTCAGTGGTGGCGATTATGAATGTGGAGGTGAATGGCGGCAGCAGGGGGAAAGGAGGAGCGGCTGAGGAGGCTGTGGAAGGAATTGGCTCCGGATTTGTCTGGGATGAATTTGGTCACATTGTAAGATCGATAGATAGTAAGGCACTGCTGTGGGCCAGTCTTGGAGTATCATTTACGTCGTGGGTGAAGGTGGTCAGGTGTCCTCTGAGCATTCCTCCTGCATTCCACCTGCATTCCTCCTGCATTCCACCTGCATTCCTCTGTGGATTCCTCTGTCCATTCGTCTGTGCATTCCTGTTCCTCTTTGCGTTCCTCTGCGCATTCCTCTCGTATTCCACCTGCATTCCTCCACATCTCATGCGCATCTCGTGGACATCTCATGATGCTCTTCCTCCTCCATTTTGCTGACATGGCAGGTCACCAACTACCACGTGGTTGCCAAGCTGGCGACTGACACTTCTGGGCGGCAAGCTTGCAGAGTGAGAATGGAGCGAGGTTGAAGGGAGGGTAGAGCTGCGGAAAGAAGTGGGTGGTGGAAATTGCTACATTGAGAACGCTTTATTCATTGTGGAAACGTCTCACCACCAGTTCCATCACTATTCCCTCTCCCCTCCACTGGCTTCCCTGATTAACCCCCCAACTGTCCATTGTACTACACTCCTCTGCTACCTCTCCCTCTCCAGGTGTCCCTTCTCACCCCCTCGGGCGCCATGCAAACGTACTCAGCTACTCTCGTTGGCACTGACCCGTCCAGAGACCTCGCTGTACTCAAGGTAAGCTCTGCAATATTCTTTGCCTTATTTATCGGCCACACTCAATAAAATTTCTTGACCCGCTAACATTCGTTCCCTGGCCTCAATATCAGCTCATATTCTTGCCTTCGTTCTTATTCTGCACTGTATTCTTGATGTAACCAGGTAGACCTATTGCAGCCAGTGCCAGCTGCACCGGATACAACAGCAGCAGATGGTGCCGTAGAGTTAGCAGCAGCGCCACCAGCACCACCCCTGTACCCCATCCCTATAGGTTCATCGTCTGACCTGAGGGTGGGTCAAAGCTGCTTCGCCATCGGGAATCCCTATGGCCTGCAGCACACGCTCACAGCTGGGGTAGGTGATACTGGTTTATGTGCCATAAGGGTAGGGGATACTGATGGGTTGGCTGCAGCACGCCCTCACTGCTGGAGTAGGGGGCTCTTGGGGGAGGTCGTTGGTGAGGTGATACTGGGATTCCTGGATACTCAACAGAGTTCTCTAAGAGCCGCTTCTTTTCTAACTGCAGGTGATCAGTGGGCTAGGGAGGGAGATTCCAGCACCAACAGGGGCTGCAATCAGGGGAGCGATTCAGACTGACGCTGCCATCAATTCAGGTGAGAGGGTTGAGTTGCATTTCAAGGAGTGTAGGTGCCACCGCCAGGAGCAACAGGAGGTTTCGGGGGGAGGAGGGGGGGCTCATTGAAGGCCAATGCAGTTATCAGCTTGGATTTACTTTGCTGTTTCCGACTCTTTGCTTAGGCTAGGCTCTATCCTTCTGACTATCTATGCTTTTGTTTTGTTCAGGTAACTCGGGTGGCCCTCTGCTTGACTCCTTTGGACGAATCATTGGAGTCAACACAGCAACTTTCACTCGATCAGGTGAGTCATCAAGTCACGAGAGTGAGTGGCCCCGATTTCTCCTCAGATCCACTAGACTGAGTGGTTGGGGTCTCATGGTAACCTGCTCTGTATATCCCGTTCACCCCCTTCCATACCTGGCAGGGTCTGGCTCTTCATCTGGAGTCAACTTCGCCATCCCAGTTGACACTGTGAGGAGAGTGGTGCCTAGACTCATTGTCTACGGTTCTCCTCGACCACCTGCTGCATAGGCATTACATGCTGCATTGCTAATGCCGCAATGATTGCGGTTTCAATTAATTATTTAAGGTCTCACTGTTAGGGCTTACCGTTAAGATGGGACAAATGCCCTTACGCGTTAAGTGATGTTTCTTCTTTGACAACTTGGATGCTTGTATTATTCACAAACTTATGTGGTTTACTTATGTGGGGTGTACACTGAGCTATTTCACACAAATTTGCCCATATGAATGACCAACGTGGCGTGCCTAGAGACTACCAGCCCAACCATTTTCCACGTCACCCCATCCTCACCCTCAATCCGTCACCCTCGCTAGCCTTCGCGAACAGCTAGTCACTTCTAGGTTTCGCCAACCGCAGGATTTGGGGGTCATGCTCTTTGCTGCGAGTAACCCCGCATGGTCATAAGCCTTGTCGCGAACCCGCAAAGGGAACATCAGCTTGTCGCTGTGTTACAGGCCCAAAAGAAGCAGTAGTAGTGCTGCGTGCCCGCCTCCTTTTCCCTAGACCATCCTTTCTCGCCTTGCCTCGTCAGCTCAGCCATCACCACCACACGTATATCCCTAGGTACGCAACCAGATTTACCTTCCTCTAGCGAGGACCCTTGGTTGTTAATATTTCGCCATGGCTGCGTTTGCGAACTCCCTCGCGCTCTCCGCCGCCTCCGCGGCTCCCCGCGCCGCCGTCCGCTGCTCCGCCGCGGATTCCGCTCCGTCCAGCCAGGCTGCTCCGGCTCAAGTTCGCGTCGCGTCGTCGGGCCTCCCGTCCTTCGCGAGGGTGTCGTCGGAGAACGCTGCGACGGCGATTGACCCGTCTGCGACGTTCGCGAATGTGATGTGGTCGCGCTCGTACAACACGCAGATCCTGGTGGGCGAGAGCGAGAGCACGGAGTCGGTCGTGCGACGGTTCAAGAAGGTGTGCATGGAGGCGAACATCGTTAACGAGTGTCGCCGGCGACGCTTCTTCGAGACGCAGCAGGATATTGTGAAGCGCAAGCAGAAGGACGCCGCCAGGCAACGCAAGCGCTTCTCGTAAGTCCCATGGTCGGCGAATAATTTAGTTAATGTTTTTTTTTTTCTTTTTTCCCCTGGCGAGTGATGCTTGTAAATTATATTGTGGGGATTCGCCGTGCCAGCGAGAAACTCTTTGGTCGAGATGAAGGTACTTGCGGAGAGGTACCCGTGGCAGGTCTACGTTTAACTTGAGTTCCTAAGACATTGTAAGTAGTTCCTTAACATAGCATTATCATAGCTCTGGGCGGTACAGGAAAACCCTAATCTCTCCATGCGCTTCGCGGGCTAGTGCAATTTGCACTTGTTCATTCCGATTTAGGGTTTATTCTGTCATTTGCGGAACGCGTTACCGGCCCGCGTCCGACTAGACTGAGGGTTTTCCGTTCTTCTATCGAAGCCTTTGTTGCAGCGGCAAGTCACTCTTGGCTGGTGGCTGGGCAGGGGCCGCAGGGCTGAAAAGGTGGGGGGAATGCGGCTCATACGGCTTGCCGCGCATAATGCAGCCAGGTTTCGGACACGTGGAAGGCAAAGGGAGAAGGAGGAGTCAGCGATGAGATGGCGTTGATAGTAAAAACGTGTGCGAGTCGGAAGGCCGAACGGAATAGGATAAACCGGCTAGGACGGCAGTCGGAATGCGGTGGGCTGTAGCGGCGGCTGCGGAGCCAGCAGCGGCAGCATCTGCGAGCAGCGGCGGCGGCGGCGGCGGCGGCAGTGGCGGTGGCGCCAGCAGCATAGGGCGGACGGCTTGTCGACAAGACGGCGCAGGAGCGAATTTAGCAGTTCGCCTCATTGCGAAGACGTGTAGTGATTGTCAGCTGCAGGCCGCCATTGCGCGTGTTGCAGCCATTCGTCCTCCGGCACTCCCTCCTCCTCGTCGCCGTCGTCGGCGTTCGTCGTCTTCCCCCTTCCTCCCCGTCGTTACTGTTGCATCGTCGTCTGCCTGCCCTCACCAAGACCCGCCTGAGTCGGAGTCTATTCTTGAGGCGCCTAAAAAATAGACGTCTGCCTGCCCTCACTAAGACCCGCCTGAGAAGGAGGAGGAAGGCCGCGCGCCATCGCTCAACCATCCCCTTTTGCCCCCCTCCCCCCACCCCCCTCCCCCCTCCCCCTTCTCCTTCACCCTCCACCTACACCTCGCGTCCTCCTCCTCCTCCCCCCCCCCCCCCCGTGTTCCTTCCCTTGTCATCCCGCCCTCACGCCCGGTGCCTCCACTCGCGCTCTCAGTCTTACCTTACCTCTCCGCCCTTCCACGGGCCATGGCACATCGCGCCCTTCCACAGGCCATGGCACATGGCACCCTTCCAGCCCCCCATACTCTTTCAGCTCTTACCTTCCATCTACACCCACCTGCTCAAAGCCCTCTTTCTTGCTTCTACTCATGAACTCTTCACCTGATTTCCTCATCCCTCTCATCAAACATCGCACCCTCCCATCACGCCTGGGGATACACTTCCCCCTGCCGTGCATCCTCTAATCTGCACCCATTCTTCACCTGTGGTCCTGCTCCCCCCTCCCCCCCCCCCACACCCCTTGCATCCACATTGCTTCTTGCCTTTCCCGCCCTTCCCTTTATCCAACCCTTTCGTCTCACCATTCTCCCCTCCCTCCCCCCACGATTGCTTCAGACGGCCCTCTCTAGTTCTTCAGCCGTGATCCAACAGCTGCCAGCAAGGCAGCAGCGTTGGCTGGGGGGGGGGACGGATCCACCTATATTAAAGCGGCATGTTACTTGTTCTTCTCACTGCTCTTCCCCCCTCAGGCGGTCATCCAACGGCCCGCGGCCGTTCTTCACGCGTGATCCTGCGGCTGCCAGCAAGGCAGCAGCCACTGCCAACGATGATGATGACGATTTCTGGGATGCCAAGGTGGAGCTGTAGAGGGGGTCTTTCCGAGCTGTGATATTGGTTATCACTGTAGCTGCGGTACATGTGAAACATGTGAACACTATTCATATGTCAATTTACCACATGATGACAATTTTCGGGATGCCAAGGTGGAACTGTAGACAGCCTTCCTAGAGCCGCAATGTCACTTGTTGCTGTACCTGCTACAAGTGCTGATAGGCAAGTTTTTATACACTAGTGAAACAATTCTTAAGATGTACTGCAGTTATGTGTTGCATGTCTACAGTGGCCGTCAGGAGATGGAAAAGGGATGCTAAAAGGTGTCACATTCCTAAAAGGTGAAGGACCAGCAACAGCAGCCTACATTCCACTGCACTCGACTAAGAGCATGTCATCAAGTCATCATGTCACAGCGACAGGTCACCAGCACTATGAGCTGCATCCTTCTTGAATGCTTCTACAGTGTTCCTGTGAGATGTCAGCACCACAACAACATGGTGGCTTCTGAGGCGGCTCAAAGGCCACCCGCCTATGCCTTGTGGAATGCTTCCAGAATGTTCCTACGAGCCGAGAACTTCTCCACCTTGTCGGGCTTGAGGGACTGCCAGCCAGAGCAAGAGCAAAAGGAAGAGCATGAGGAAGAGCATGCTCCCTGCTCACATACTTGCAGACAGCATGGCAGATCATCGCACTCATGAGTCACAACAACCCACAGCAGCCCTGACCTGCGTGCTCGACACTCACCCCTGCCAGCAGCTTGGTGAGGCGCGCATGCTCCTTGCTCACCCACTCCTCCCCCTCATCCACTATGCTCTTCATTGCCTTCTGGTAGAACACGCCGTGGCTGTTGGGAAAGAGAAAGGCCGGGGAAGAGAAAGGCTGTTCAGGAAGCCAAGAGAACGATGGAATGAGACATAACGTGCGTCCACATACTCCTCCCCCTCCTCCACTATGCTCCATTGCCTTCTGGTAGAACACGCCGTGGCTGTTAGCGAGCAAGGGAACAAGAGAGGGAGAGACTAAGAGATCTCAGATGCCATCCCCCCCTCCTCTCCTCCTCCACACGGCTCTTCATTACCCCCTGCTAGAAAAGAACACGCCCTGTTAGCGAGCACGGGAAGGGGCGACGGGCGAGTCAGGGAGCAAGGGAATGAGATTGGGAAACACTAGGAGTTATCAGATGCAATCCCCCTCTCTTCATCTCTTCATCACCTTCTGACAAAACACGCCGACGCTGTGCCTGGTGTGAGCAAAGGGGGGCAAGTTAGGGAGCCACGGAATTGAAGTGTTCTCAGATGCAACCCCCCTCCTCCACTAGGCTCTTCATCACCTTCTGATTAAACACGACGACGCTGTGCCTGGTGGGACGCATGGGTGGGGAGCACCGGGGGGGGGAGGGGAAAGAAACAGGTTGAGGAAAAGAGAGCCTCGAAAGTGGCCCGATCTAAGCTCTTCATTGCCTTCTGGAGGACAATGAGCAAAGAAGAAAAGACTCCCGATGGACTCAACTATCCCCTTACATCCCACTCAACCAGCTCTCATCCACCCAACCAGCTCCCAGCTCACTCCCCCCACCCCCCTCTTCCCCACTCTCCAAGTCACCCCTCCCTCTCACTCATCCCTCTCACTCATCCCTCTCACTCATCCCTCTCACTCATCCCCTCCCCACTCACCCCTCCAGCTCAGGCGCCACCACCAACCCCATGGCCCGAACCATCATCTCCTGGCGCTCCGCCTCCGATGCTTCCAGGAAGCTTTCAGCTATGGCGTCCAGCTCCGGAATGCGCCCCACCTGGAGGAGGGGAAATGGGGAGGGGGGGGAGTTGGGGGGGAGGGGGAAGGGGGGAAGGGGGGAAGGGGGGAAGGGGGGAAGGGGGGAAGGGGGGAGGGGGACAGGGGGAAAGGGGTGAGGGGGGAAAGAGGGGAGGGGAAGGAAGAGCAGATGAAGATGGGAGAGACAAAGGTGGGTGCTACCTTTCGGGGAGTGAGCACGCCGAGTCTAAAATCAACTACCTTATCAAGGGGAACGCCAGAGGGGAGAGAGCGCGCGGTACCTTATCGAGGGGAACGCCAGAGGGGAGTGAGCGCGCGGTACCTTATCGAGGGGAACGCCAGAGGGGAGTGAGCGCGCGGTACCTTATCGAGGGGAATGCCAGAGGGGAGAGAGCGCGCGGTACCTTATCGAGGGGAACGCCAGAGGGGAGAGAGCGTGCGGTACCTTATCGAGGGGAATGCCAGAGGGGAGTGAGCCCGCGGTACCTTATCGAGGGGAACGCCAGAGGGGAGAGAGCGCGCGGTACCTTATCGAGGGGAACGCCAGAGGGGAGAGAGCGCGCGGTACCTTATCGAGGGGAACGCCAGAGGGGAGTGAGCGCGCGGTACCTTATCGAGGGGAACGCCAGAGGGGAGAGAGCGCGCGGTACCTTATCGAGGGGAACGCCAGAGGGGAGTGAGCGCGCGGTACCTTATCGAGGGGAACGCCAGAGGGGAGTGAGCCCGCGGTACCTTATCGAGGGGAACGCCAGAGGGGAGTGTGCGCGCGGTACCTTATCGGGGGGAACGCCAGAGGGGAGTGAGCGCGCGGTACCTTATCGGGGGGAACGCCAGAGGGGAGTGAGCGCGCGGTACCTAATCGAGGGGAATGCCAGAGGGGAGTGTGCGCGCCGAGTCTATTTTTGAGGCGCCTCAAAAATAGACTACCTTATCGAGGGGAACGCCAGAGGACGACTCGCGAGCGCCGGTGTGTTTGTTGACGAAGCTGACGAGGTCGGAGAGCGACGGCAGGGGGTCGCCCTTGAGGTCCTCGCCGTACTTGTTCTCCTTGGTGAAGAACTTGAAGTAGGGGAAGGTCTCGATTTTAAACCTGGGGTGCGTGACGGAAGGGTAGGGGGGGGGAGGGGAGGAAGGGGTGGCAGGAGGGGCGCGTCGACAGCAGGATGGTATACTCGTTATAAGTCGGATGTGCTTGCAGTTAGTTAGCATACAAGCACTGGATGGCGCTAGACATACTCATTATCAGTCTGCCTCACGTGCCCTCCAACATGTGCTCATTTGGCTGACAGCACATGCACACACAAAGGGAGTCTGAAACATAGAAAGCACGTTAGGAGTGTACTTCTGAGGCGCCTAAAGAATAGACTCCGCATGTGCGCATGTGCTCACGTGCTCAGGTGCTCATGTGCTCACTTCTCATGTGGGTGACAACACATACACACGCCACATCAGATCAGCATAGAAAGCACTCACCTGCCCGCCAGCATGTGCTCACCTGCCTGCCAGCAAGTGCTCGTTGTCGCCATCCACCTTGGCGAAGAGAATGTGGTTGCAGTCAGCATACATGTACTGAATAGCCCGTGTGTAATGAGTCGATTTTTGAGTACATACATGCACTGAATAGCATCAACTCCATCGAGCCTCACCTGCCCAGCAGCATGCACACACAACGACACCTCGCCAGCATTCAAACAGACCTCACCTGCTCGCCAGCATGTGCTCGTTGTCGCCATCCACCTTGGCGAAGAGAATGTCGTCGTGGCCCTTGAACACTGCTGCCAGCTTCTCAACCGTCTGGGGGAATGGGGGAGGAAGGGAGACCAATGAAACAAAGGGTGTGCAAGATAGTGCGGTGTAGAGCATGCAGCTAAGGGGCAGTTGGGGTGAAAATTATCTCTAAAAAGCCAACTGATCACCTATGGTGCACTGTGAGGCATGCCGCATACAGTCTAGGGCGTGCAGGGGGGAACAGGCTAGGGAGTACCTTCGTCATTTCCTTGCACGGCTTGCACCTGGGAGGAACAGGGTTGGAGGAGGGAGACGGGAGACGGCACTCAGGGGAGAATAACCGGCTGTACTGCGAGTGCTTAAAACGAGGCCGAGAAAAGGTTGAAGAAAGGGGAATGGGCGGGCCAGAGTGGAGGTAAGTGAAAAGGGAGAAAAGCCAAGGGGGAAGAGGAGGGGCGGGGGGAGGATGGGGAGGGGAGAGGGGGGGTGTGGCAGTGTTGGCAGAACTGGCATGCTTGGTGCCATAACGGGGTGTGTGCCATCATAGAAAGAAATACACAGAGACGTGAATGGCGTGCTTGGCGTGCTTGGTCTACAGCAGCAGCATAGTGCTTGGTGGTGGTATCCGGCATGATAAACCCCTTTTGTCCCCTTATAACCCCTTATAGCCCCTTATGACCACTTATAGCCCCTTATGACCCCTTAAACCCCTTATAAACCCCTTACTCACATGCCATCGTAGAAGTACACAAAGACGTGCTTGGTGGCATCCAGCATGATTAACCCCTTATAACCGCTTACAACTCCTTTTGACCCCTTGTAATTGTAACCTCTTACTACAACCCCTTAAAACCCCAGACTCACGCACCATCAAAGAAGCAGACGAAGACGTGCTTGGTGGCATCCAGCATGACTAACCACTTATAACCCCTTACAACCCCTTACAACCCCCCTTACTCACGCGCCGTCATAGAAGTAAACCAAGACGTGCTTGGTGGCATCCAGCATCACCGACGGGAAGGCCCATGCCGTCATCACCCTCACTCGCGACTCAGGCTCGTCCGACTCCACCTTGGCACGCGTGCCTGCGGAGGGGAGGGAGAGGGGTAGAGGTATGGGGAGGGGAGTGGCATGGCAAGGCATGCCGTCATCACCCTCACTCGCGAGACAGGCTCGTCACATGCCGCCTTGGCACTCGTGCCTGCACAGAGGAGGGGGGAGAGGGCGGAGTGGGTGGGGGGGGGGATGAGGCAAACGAGGGGGCTCGTGGCTCGTCGTGAGCCCACACCACAGATGGGGAATGGGTCAAGCAGCCTCACAGCTGAGTGATAGGAGTCTGGTTTTGAGGCGCCTCAAAACAGCACAGATGGGGAGTGGGTCGGGTCAAGCAGCCTCACAGCTGACTTTGATGCCCTTTTCTGAACCCCACATCGCGTCCCTCAGCCTTCACCTAGTCTGCCGCCCACTCACTCACCTAGTCTGCCGCCCACTCACCGATTCGGCCGTTGATGAAATCCACAAACGCTTCAGCCTTCCTTCCTCCCGCATAGCTGACATGACGTGGCATGGGGTGACGTGGCGCAATGTGGAAGGGCACGCAAGGGGATGGGAGGATGAATGGGTGAGTAAGAGAGAGTGAAGAATAGAGAGTTTGAGCCAAGCCTGTCAACACACACACAAGCACACAAGTGTGTGATATGTTTAGGGGGTGTTAAAATTGGCGTCGGACGTCAAAACAAGCTAATCTGACGTCCGAGACCCCCGAAACCTCCCGAAGTTGGTTCGACGTCATTTTGGTGCGAACTTGCACTTTTAACAATGACAATACTGACCAGACTGCCCCGAGACAAAACTTTTGGCCGACACAATATTTGAAACTTCGATGCGAACTCACACAGTACTGATTGACGAATTGTCAGGAAATGTAAAAATGATCGTGCAGCATAACAAATGCCAAACTTCCCGCGCGAGGGAGTTGTGGCAAATAGTGACCAGTGGGTTACTCGCTCATGCACTCTTTCTTGGGCTACGAGGTGCATTTGAGTCAACTCAAAATGCACTTGGGCTACCCGTTTCCTCGAAGAAAGAATTCCTTCCGAAACCAAGCTCCCGAAGTCCACTTCGGGAGCACCCACTTTTAAAAATGACATTAGAGGTACAGTACTTCGCGCGGTAGGGTAACCCGTTTTTGCCAACGCTGACATGTCCGAAGCTTAACCGTGCGCTACTTTTAACACCCCCTTAACCTATCAAGAGTGTGATATGTTGAACCTATCAAGTGTGTGTTATGTTTAACCTATCATGTTTGAGAATTCTCAAAAACCTATCAGAGAGTTTGAAGCAGCCTGTCAACACGCACAAGCACACAAACCACCCCTGCTCGCACCACATCACTCACTCTTTCAACTCATCCTTCCCCACACAACTTGTGTTTCGCACACACACACTCACATTCTCTCACACACACTCACATTCTCTCACACACACACTCACATTCTCTCACACACACTCACATTCTCTCACACACGCACTCACATTCTCTCACACACACACTCACTCTCTCACGCACACTCACACTCTCTCTCTCCATCTGTCCCGCACCAAACCACATGGTGGGGGATCCGCGCACACACACTCATACACACTCATACACACTCGCACACACTCACTCTTCCGACGTTGTCTGGCCGGCGCCGAACCACTTGATGGCGGGGTAGCCGTGCACCTCGTGGTTGCCGCACAGCGCGGAGTGCGCCTGGCAGTCCACCTGCGCGGGTAGACAGGGGGAAGGGGAAGAAGAGGGGGGAGGCGGGGGGGAAGGGAGGGGTTGGAGGGCCTTCAAAAAGCTCACAGGGCGGAGTGCGCCTGGCATTCCACCTGCGGAGGGGGGAGGGTGGTAAATGGGGAGAGAGGGGAGGGGTCTAGGCGCAATCGCACAGAGCGGAGTGCGCCTGGCAGTCCACTGCGCTGGGGAGGGGTTTACAGCGCGGATACAAGAGGTAGGTGTGAGATGGGGTGCAATGTGGCACCAGACTGCTCACCCAGGCTGCTCACTCAGGCTCCCAAGCTCGCCTGCTCTGCTGCCTTCTGCCCACAGGCAGTCTTGCTGGCTTATTCTGTGGCCCACGGTAGTCAATTGAACTTGTCTGCTCTGACGGCGGCAGAGAAGGGTGGGCTTTGCTGTCGCGGCTGCTCGCCTGCTGCGAAGTCAAGTTCTGCTCAGCTGCGCAGGGCTGGTAAATGGAGCTCGTCTGCTCTGCAGCCACTGGCGAAGCCGGGCAGTGAGTGGGTCAAGCCGAATTGGGTGGCGCACCTGGCCGATGCGGATCGCCGCGTCGGAGTCCGCGGACGCCGTCTGCGGACTCCACCTTCCGTGTCGAAGGCGATCTTCCCTCACCTTCCGGCGCCACCTTCCCCCACTCCGGCAGGCAGTGCGTTGTGGCATTCGCAACGCGCTTGCCACCTCCCCCCCCCCCCCCCCCCCCCCCCGCCCTACCTTGATCAATTCCCTCAACTACTCACCTCCGCAATGCGGATGGCGTCCGAGTCTTTGAACGCCGTCGCCACCTTCTCCCACTCCGGCGCCAGGCGCTGGCAGTGCCCGCACCTGCGATGCCATGCGAAGGGACGCGCGAATTGCGAAACAGGGTTGCGAGATGTGAAATGCGAACCAGCAAGGATGTAACCAGCGTAACGCAGACAACATTGTGCGCCGTTACTAGCAGATGCGATGCGACGCAACAAAGAAAACCCCGAAGCAAACTACTACGGTTTCGACCAAACTACAGTAACGTGACTAATTCCCTGGCCGCGACCCGCCATAACAGGAGAAAGATCAAGATATTCCTAAAACCGGCAGCGAGTCGCCAGAAATCGGGAACGACCGGGGTAGGTGATTTCAGAAATCGGAAATCGTAGGTGATTTTTGAGTCGACTCAGGTGATTTTTGAGTCGACTCAGGTGATTTTTGAGTCGACTCAGGTGATTTTTGAGTCGACTCAGGTGATTTTTGAGTCGACTCAGGTGATTTTTGAGTCGACTAAAAAATCAAATCGGGAACGACCGGTGACTTTTGAGTCGACTCAAAAGTCACGACCGGGGAAATCGATAAACAGAAGCGAAATGGGGAAAGGCGTCGCGTCACGATCGCGCTCAATCGTGGCGTATCGAACATCACACCAGCTGCGCTATATGGAAGTCCAAAATGGGGGTTTTCATTGCAAGCACGTCACCGTGACGTCGCACCAACTCGCATAGAATGCACCACGCCATTATACGCACAGCACAGAAATAATAATAATAATAATAATTTTTATCATCATCAACATCGAACGCACCAGGGCGTGAAGAACTTGACGAAGACCACCGAGTCGCCCCCCACATGGTCGTGGAAGCTCTCCGGCGTCAGCACCAGCACGTCCGAGTTCGCCGCGCCGTCCGCCGCCGATCGTGGCGCTGCGAGCAGCAATGCGGCCAGCACTGCTAGCGCCGCGATCGCTACTGGCGGGGGAAAGACGAGTCGGGAGTTCGCCATGATGATGATCGCGGATACGGCGGCTGAGAGCCCGGTTACGCGAGGCGAACTGTCGGGTTCTTGAATAAATACTAGGAAACGAGTAAGCAATGAAACTTGCGAGGAAGGAGGGAGGAGAGGGGGACGTGAAATGTGGGAGCTTCACGTTGTCCCACAACTCGGCGGCCGAGCGGCAAATTAGTCTCCTCGCCTGCTGTAAAACTGGCAGAGGTGAAAGCTAGATTCCGAGATGAGTAGAGAGTGAGACTTGACACAACACATCGGCTGTGTTCTACAGGCATTTGACGTCGACGTCGACGTCGACATTGAGGAAGCTCCTCAAGCGACTTCTAGAGCACTGGTTACCATTCAAACCAGGTGCACTTTCCAAACCTCTCTTGGAAGCAACGCGCCAAACTGTGGAAAGCGCGAGCGAAAGGAGAGAGGAGCCAAATTGAGGCTGATGTAACACCACACGCAAGGTGAACTCCACGATGTAGCGAGCGTCAGCATTGCGTCACCTTTGCGTCAAATTTGCCAGGGAGGGAAGCGAGGGGGGTGTTTCCCTGACGTAGATGTCATCTGTACATGGACCTGTTCTGCAGGCATGTTGATGTAACTAGGTTCGGGTACCTTGTGCCAGGTTTGGACGAAATTTTGCGGGCTGACCCTCGATCCGAAGCAAAAAATCAGACTTTCGGAAGGTGCCCTGATGTAATCTGCACTTTCCTTTTCTGCCTGCAGAACGCAGCCATCACATCACCCCCCAAGAATTCCTTCGCCCTGGTCTCGAATCTTGACTCGAAGCCTCCATCCTCGTTATGAGATGCGGGCATCTGGAGCAGCTTCCAACGAGACTACGTTGAAATTTCAGGTGTAAATCCAGGGCGGGTCTTGATCGGGTCGCACGATACAATCTGGTCCTCCACAAGGAACAACCTCCACTCTAGGCCAGAAACAGGCTGCCTTCTAGAAGCTTCACTGCTAGGATACGAGCTAGGAGGTGGGTATTGATGGAGAATGTTGGAAACGAAATCTCTCACATGCAAAAAAATGCTGAACTACCCTACCGTACACGACCTTAGGCTAAATTGAACACGCGTTGAATTTGCCTCAGTGTGATGCACAGAATAGAAGGGACAGAAAACACTCTTTTTGTGAAATGGGAATCACAAATATAAGTATCTGGGATTTACTTTGCCCAAGGTACATCTCTTTATAATACTCACCTCTAAACACAATCAATATAAATGTGTAGTTCATAGAACTTCCTAACTCCCAAACAGTCGTAATGCTAAGCACTTGAAGAGAGGACACCAATAAAGAAGGAAAGCTTGCCGTGAGGTGATGGGGCCAGCTGTCGGACTCTGAGATGGCTGGGTGAGCGGCTGCTGTTGATGTCATCCCCATGCCATGCCATGCGATGCGATTCTGTCGCAAACTTCAAACACCCAAGGGCATGCGACTGCGGGTAACGGCTGCGAAAACGGGAGGGGGAAAGGTAGTTGGAGAGTTGATGGACAGCCAAATATTCGTGCGGCTTCGCACGTTCGAAACGCGCTGGGCGCGGGAACGAATATGCCGCCGTTTTGCGAAATCGGCTGCGGGAAAATTGAAATTTGAGGGGGGCGGCTCCGCCTCCAATTTGCGGCTGTCCATTTGGAGAGAAATTTCGATGCCGATTTTCAGCCCGCAACCAACATTTTCGATATCTTCTCCAGCAGCGAGGAGGGGCAGCAGGGGCGAAAACCGCAGAGCGGGCAGCAGCGCAGGCGCAAATCAATTTGACTCGACCCGTCAACTCGGGTCCACCCGACTCGACTTGGTTTTCCCAATTTCCATTGCCACCCAAACCAAAACTGAAACCAGCCCAACGGGTGGATGGAGCCAGCACCAGCCGTCTAGAGGTGGGGGCGTCAAAGAAAGGCGACACTCTTAGGGCCGGTTGTTGTAGTTGTCATGCAATGGAGGTCGGAGGTAAGAGGTCGTAGAAACACGAAGGGATCGTCACATAGCGCCGACATTTCGTCCGCTTTGTTGCCTCAAGCGACTCAGGTTTGTGTCGGTAGAATGTTATCGTAGCTGTAGTCGCTCCTCCTCCTCTAGCGACCAGCCACCACCACTCCCAACGCCGCTAGATCCGCAAGTAGCGCCATTTCGTTTACAGCCAGGATCAGCCACCAGCCAAGAAGAGCAAAAAGTGCGATTTTTTAGAGCAGGGCCATACGGCAGCGCCACGGAAATAGTTACCATAGTTAACATAGTAGCCAGCCGATAGCATGGCGCAACTGGCCATGCTTCCGCTGATGGACGAGTCCCCCGTGGCCGAGAATAACGGCGCCATGAGCGGCGGGTACAGCGGCGAGTATAGCGGCGGCATGTTCGCCCCGCAGACGAGCCCCGCCCCGCCCTTATGGACGTCGCTAGACTCCATGCACGGGCTCGACCATGAAGCTTCCGGGTTCCTTTCCATGGATCCCTCCGACCAAGACGCATCCCAGCAGCAGCAGCCGCAGCAGCAGCAGCAGCACTCGGACTACTCCCACCACCACAGCCACCAGCCATCGGATTATCCCAACGTACGGCGAGATCTTCTCGAGGACGATAACTTCGGCAGCGGCGAGTTCGACCCGTCGTCCGCGGGAAGCGGGGGGGGGGGGAGTGTCTGATGCTGTACCAGAACGCGCACGGGGGGGAGGAAGACGACATGGTGGGGAGTCTTAATCTCCGCATCTCCCCGCAGCCCGATGCGTCAGATCTCACCTCCGCGCTCTTTTCCGAGGGCCAGGCGAGCAACAACGGCGGCGGGGCGACGCTCGGCGGGTCGTCGGCGTGGCAGCTGTGCGACAACCTGTTCGCAGAGCCGATAGTCGACTGCGGGGAGCTGCTATCGGGCGACGGTGACGGCGACGGCGACGATCTGCTCGCGGCTTCCGCGGGGCACGACGAGGCGGAGCAGGCGGGAGGCGGAAGCGGAAGCGGCGGAGAAGGAGCGGAGTTGAAGGACCCCGCCGCAGCGTATCTTACGCCGGTAAAGGCGCCGCAGGTGCCGACGAGTTCGGACCCAACGGAGGTGGCAACACCGGGAGGTGACAAGAGCGAGGGCGATTTCAGCACGCCGCAGGTGCCAAGCGCGGGCTTCTCCCGCCCGCGCAGCCGCTGCCCCACGGAGCGGGGACTTGCGCAGAAGGGCGCGCTCATGACCCCGGCCGGCGGAGCAACGCGCGCAACCCGCGAGAACCTGATGCGGCGGCTGGAGGCGGGCGGGGCGCCGGAGCCGTGGACCCCCGTGACCCCCGCGAAGGACGAGGCGGGAAAGAGGTCTCCCGACCAGCTTGCGCGCGTAGCGGTGTCGCTGGACGCGGAACTCGGGCTCTTCGCGGACTCCCCGCCGCTGCCCGTGGGGGTTTCCGCGGCCCACGGGGCGAGCGGGTCTGAGCTGACAAGCTCGGCTTTTGAGACGTCGCAGGTGGAGGGAGGGTCAATGCTGTGGGGCGGGGCGCCTCAGCAGCAGGCCCAGGTGCAGGGGCAGTACTACCAAATGCCGCAATATCAGCAGCAGTATCATCAGCAGCAACAGCAGCAGCAGCAGCAGATGGCGTATAACAACGGACGGATGCTGGAGGCGTCGAGCTCCCGGACCATGTCTGCAGGCGCTGTGCAGAGCATGCTGGGCGGACAGCAGCAGCAGCAATACCAGCACCAGCACCAGCACCAGCACCAGCAGCAGCAGCAGCAGCAGCAGCAGCAATATGGCCTGGCGGGGCAGCATGGGTTCTCTGTAACGCCAGGCGAAGGCGCACACATGCGCGTGGACCCTGCGGAAGCCTCCGACATGTCGCTCTTCTTTGACATGGAGCAGCAGCAGCAGCAGCCGCAGCCGCCGCAGCAGCCGCAGCAGCAGCAGCCGCAGCAGCAGCAGCAGCAGCCCCAGCAGTACCAGCAGCAGCAGCACTACCAGCAGCAGCAGCAGCAGAGCCGGGGGTACCACCAGCAGCAGCAGATGCAGCAGCAGCAGCAGCAGATGCAGCAGCAGCAGCAGCAGGAGTCGGACGTAGTTCGGGACTTCCTCGCCTCGCCTCCAGACGGCGACGCTGCGCTCGACAGCCTGGTTCTTGACGGCCTGCCGTGCGACAGACGGCTGTCCGGCCAGATGATGCTTCCAAAGGATCTGGCGTCGCTGATGAACGACGCTGACGTGGACGCTACTGCCGCCACGTGGCCGCAGCCGAATAACAACACCGTCTCCCCCCCTCCCCACAGTAACGGCTACAATAATGGCGCTGGTAGTCTGAGCATCGACGCAGCAGCAGCAGCTGCTGCTTCTGCTGCGCCTGCCTCATCGGTCGGTGCTTGCCTGACGCGCCCTCCATCTGTCTACCCAGCTGCGGTCCCCTCCTCCTACCAGTCATCCCATCTCCTCACCGCCTCGTCATCCGGCCCTCTGCCCGTCTCCTCCGCTGGCCCCCCTCCCCCCCCTCCGCGCGTGCTGTCCGCACCTGCGCCCTCCGCGTCGTCCGCGCAGTCCGCTGCGCCCATGCGCCTAACCATGCCGCTGCTCGTGATGAACCGACGGGCGCCCCCTGCGGCGCAGGTGGGTGGCGCTGCTGCTGCTTCAGCCTCCTCTATGATTCAACCCGTGATGCAGCAAGGCCAGATGCACCAGCAGCCCAAGGCGATCCATTTGAGCTGCTCCTCATCCCACCAGCAGCAGCAGCATCAGCAGCAGCAGGCGCCGCCCGTGCATCCGCAGCAGCAGCATCAGCAGCAGCAGGCGCCGCCCGTGCATCCGCAGCAGCAGCAGCAGCAGCAGCAGCAGCGGCAGCCACAGCAGTACCAGCCTCAGCAGCCACAGCTCCAGCAGCAGCAGCAGCAGCAACTTCCGCATCCGCCTCAGTATCAGATGGCTCCACAAGTCAACTCTCAAGCCAACCCTCAAGTCAGCCAACAGACAATCACCTCCCACACTCAAGTGCGCCAGCAGCAGCACCATCAGCACAACTCAGCGTGCCCTTATCACAACCAGCAGCAACAGCACCCCCAGCACCACCAACCGCAGCCACAGCTCCAGACACAGCAGCGCGTGCAGCAGCAGCAAAGCGTTTGCCACACTCACCCCCAGCACCAGCAGCCGCAGCAGCAGCAACCATACTCCCAGCCTTGTCAACCGCAGCAGCAGTGGCAACCAGCCCCTCCTGCGCAACAGCAGCAGCAACATTCTGGCAATAACAATGGGAATAATACCTATGCTCGTCCACCTCAGTTCCAGGGACAGCAGAGCCTGTCCCAGCAAGCGCCTTCCCAGCAGAGTCTGCCCCAGCAGCAGCCTACCGTGCTACCCCAGCCGCTGAGTCAGCCACAGAAGCTGCAACAGCAACCACCAAGGGTGCCCCCCGCATTTCAGCAGCAACCGCAGCAACTACAGCCACAGCAACCTCAGCTACAGCAGCAGCAGCAGCAGCAGCCACAGCAGCCGCAGCAGCAGCCACGCGCTCAGCAGCAGCATTCTCAACTGCAGAGGCAGACCAGCCAGTCTCGTGTGCCTCAGGCTAAAGTCCCAGCTCCAGCTGCACCAGCTCAGAAGCAGCCTCCTCAGAAGCAGACGTCGTCTGGAGGTGCAAAGCGGAAAGCAGAGGAGCCATCAAAATCTGGTGGAAATGCCACGTCGCCACGACCCCAGCCCCCTCCCGTGAAGAGGATTAAGTCTGAAGATGCGTGCGAGCAGACAATCAGGCAGCCTTCACCATCTCTTGTTCCTGCTGCTGCTGCTCCGCCTCCTGCTGCTGCTGCTACTGCTCCAGGTGGGCCAGTTGATCTGACCTGCAGGGAGCAGGAGCAGCTGGGCTTGGAGACAGGCGACGACACTGATGGAGTGGTGCTGAACGAGCCATCGGCGAAGGGATCCAAAAGCGGTACTCCTGCTGCAGCTACTGGTACTGCTGCTGTTTCAGTGAAGGCCGAGCTTCCTCCTGCTGCTGACGCTAAAAATGTGAAAGCGAAGGCTGCTGAGGTGCAAGTTAAGGAGGAGACAGGCAAAGGTGGGAGCCGATCAGGTGGAGTTCCTGGAAGCAGCTCTCAGAAGGAGAGTGGTAACCAGGCGTTCCAGGACGACTTGGGGGAAGATGGAGCGGTGGAGGACGGGGAGGACGACGAGGGGGGGGTGATGGTGGGACGGAAGAGGTCATTTGTGCAGAATCCAGCGGCCTCTGCAGCGAGGAAGAGACGCCATGACATGAACCAGCGGCTGAAAGTGCTCGTGGATCTCGTCCCTAACAGCAGCAAGGTGTGTGTGAGAGTCTTCACTGCTTTCTCGTACTGAAATTCGAGTCCTCCCCTCTCCTTTTTCCGGAAATCGTGTCTTATCTGGCATTGCAATAAGAAATGACATTGGCTAACAAGAATTTCTCTCGTTTTGTGCTTGCCTGGTTTGTTGATACAGGGAGACACTGCATCAATGCTGCTTGAAGTTATCGAGTACGTGAAGGCCCTGATGTCTCGGATCTCTGTAAGTTACTCACTCAGACAGTTTTTCATATGCTCCTCCACGTTTGGATCCTGATGTGAGTTTGACGCATCAGTAGAGCCTCGAATCGTTTCTAATGTTCTTCCAATTTCTATCTGTGCGTGCAGGAAGCAGTCGGTGAGAACAATACTCAGCAGCTAGCTCTGACCAGGAGCTCAAGCATCCAGAGCCAAGCATCACCACAAGTGGTAAGAAAATGACTCCTGCCCTATCCTCCCTTACGAACATGATTCTCTCACAGCTCTTACCAGTCCAATTGGATCCAGAAATTCACTCCTCAATTTCAGATCCGCCAGCTCTACCAGTCTCACTCATTCCACTCCGTGTTCTTCCCCCTCCATGACTGTTTCTGAATTGTTTCAGGAATATGAGCCCAATCCCAATGGATCCCAGCAATGGGTTTCAGCAGGCCCACAGCAATCGATGCCCAGCAATCCCACCTCGATGTTGCCGACATCATCCACATGTGATCCGACGGCTGGCATGCTTCCGTCTGCACCGACGAATGGGATGAGCGCGCGAGCTCTTCAGGCTGCGAAGTTCCGTATGCGACGAAAGATGATGGCGGCGAAACTCGAAGCAGAGCGCAAGAATGGCGGTGCTCCTAGCCTTGCGAAAGATAGCGAGAATGGCGAAGTGGTTTCAAGCGACGGCGACAAGTCAACAGGTGACACGAAATGCCCACAGCGAAATCTAGCTTCGCGACAGTGCTCCCTCGTCAAAGTAGGTCTAGCTAAGAAGGTCTACGCACTTCAGCAGAAGAATCACAATACTATGTAGGAGATACACTAGCCACATACAAAGGTCTAGTAGGCATTCTTCCCACTTTTAGCATATGGTAATAACCCATAATTTGATTTGTTCTAATGTAATGAATTGTCATAAATGAAAAAGGCTTATTTAAGGAAAAAACGAACTGTATCAGACATCAGCTTGCAGAGTGAATCAAGTGCAAATGTGAAGCGTGCATCAATAGTCGAGCATGTTCCTCATTGAACATGCACCCGGAAGCATCATGCGTCAACCCATTTGCTTTGCGCTCCATGTCATATAGTCCATTGGTGTTTCCTCCGAATTCTCTATCCCGGGACATCCCACCAGAAGAATGGAGATCAACTCGATTTAAAACAGCCTATTTCGATGCTGTACCAACATGTGTCACAAACGCTGACAGAATATTCTTGCGAATAGTGAAGTCATCCGCCTTTTCAGGCTTCAAATCCTGCCAGCGACATATGGAGATGGACGCGCAAAAAACAGCATGCAGCTTAGAAAACCAAGGTGTGGAATGAACTTGGAGACAAACGACCAAGGTAGCACGAAGCGAAAACACAGGAGACAAGCGAATGGATCTGCCTCATAAGCCGGAAGAAACCACAGGCATCAGCCAAACTTTGCTGGTCCACACAGCGTACCCCGTCAAGCACTTTGGAGAGTCGAGCAATCTCTTTTGCCACGTATTCATTGCCCTTGTCCACCACGCTACGCATCACCTTCACATACAGGTCCGCGTGCCTGGCAGACACGAGGGGGACGGGGTGGACAAGGGGGTACGTGAAGAACAATGTGATGCCTCCCCAGTACTCACAGCCCTTGTCCACCATGCTTCTGGGTGCACGGGGTGCACGGGGTGCACGGGGTGCATGGGGTGCATGGGGTGCACAGGGTGCATGGGGTGCACGGGGTGCATGGGATGCCCCAGGTGCATGGGGTGCATGGGGTGCATGGGGTGCATGGGGTGCACGGGGTGCACGGGGTGCACGGGGTGCACGGGGTGCACGGGGTGCATGGGGTGCATGGGGTGCATGGGGTGCATGGGGTGCATGGGGTGCATGGGGTGCATGGGGTGCATGGGGTGCATGGGGTGCATGGGGTGCATGGGGTGCATGGGGTGCATGGGGTGCACGGGGTGCATGGGGTGCATGGGGTGCATGGGGTGCACGGGGTGCATGGGGTGCACGGGGTGCATGGGGTGCATGGGGTGCATGTGCTGGCAGACAGCTGGGCGTGGGAGGGATGAGGAGAAGGAGGAGGTTGCTCATCCCTCCCAGACTGCTGGCTTCTATGGATGCCGGCCACTCTTGGGTGCTGGTGCCGCGCTCCTCTGGGATGCCGGCCACTCTTGGGTGCTGGTGCCGCGCTCCTCGGTGCCGCGCTCCTCGGTGATGCCGGCCACCTCCGTGGTGCCAGGCACCTCTCACCTTGTCGCAGTCGCTGGTACGTTCACCCCTTCTGCATCTGCCATGAGTCCCTCATCCTTTGCTTTTTCTCGCCCTCTCGCTCACCCCCTCTCCCTTACCTTTTCGCAGTCGCCGGCATGTGCACACCTTCCTGGATCTGCCACGAGTTTTGTCACCGCTCGCTGGCTGGTTCAAGCCCTCTCTCTCAAACCCTCTCCCCGCCCATCCTCTCGCCCTCACCTCTGCACATTCGCCGGCACGTTCACCCCTTGTGCCTCTGCCACGAGACCAGCCCTCTCCTGGGCTGAAGCTTCCAGGAATCTACCCGCAATGTCATCCAGTGACTCGATGCGGCCGGCCTGCAGAGGGAAGCAGAAAGAGGGAGGGGCACGAGACAGTGACATGTGACCGGGAGAGAACTCTCTGCACTAGGGCGGTCGTAGGGAGGGGCATTAGGGAGACTGTATATTCCTCCAGTGACTCGATACGGCCGGCCTGCAGAGGGAAGCAGTAAGAGGGAGGGGCGTGAGACAGTGAGACGTGAGGTGCGTGAGACAGTGAGACGTGACAGGGTGCCTGCTGGTTGACAAACCGCATGAGGTGCAGCTCCTCGAGTTGAAAGAGCATTAGACCAGCGCCACTTCCCCCACTCACATTGCTCGTGAGTCCGCCCTTGACAGCTCTGCTGGAGCCGGCCCGATCGTTCACAAACCGAATGAAGTCCAGCAGCTCCCTCTTTGATGAATGGTAATAAAAAGGCTCTACTGCTCCCATCCCCCACTCACAGAGCTGGTGAGTCCGCCCTTGACGTTTCTGCGGGTGCCCGCCCGCTCGTTCACAAAGCGAACGAGGTCCAGCAGCTCCCTCTCCCCCCTGTAGTCCTCCTCCTCCGCCCCGTCGCCTGCTGGGAACCACTTGAGCGTGGGAAAACCAGATACGCCATATCTGGTGGGGTGAAAAGGCATTGAAGGCAGTGGAGGTGACATACGCAGTGAATGGTATAAGCGTTGAGTGGGATAAATCACACATTGTATGATGTGCCAAGTGGGCGCCCTGCACCCGTTGTATGATGTACCAAGTGGGCGCCCTGAACCCGTTGTATGATGTGCCAAGTGGGCGCCCTGAACCCGTTGTATGATGTACCAAGTGGGCGCCCTGAACCCGTTGTATGATGTACCAAGTGGGCGCCCTCAACCCGTTGTATGATGTACCAAGTGGGCGCCCTGAACCCGTTGTATGATGTACCAAGTGGGCGCCCTGCACCCGTTGTATGATGTACCAAGTGGGCGCCCTGAACCCGTTGTATGATGTACCAAGTGGGCACCCTGAACCCGTTGTATGATAAGCCCCTCTCACTGCAACACACCTGTCCTTGAGCTCCTTGTGCTCGTCAGCGTCCACTGTACCGATCACACACGGTCTTCTCCATAGCAAACAGTAAGCCCCTTGCACACAGCAGCAACCCCTCTCTCCTCCACTCACCTGTCCTTGAGCTCCTTGTGCTCGTCTGCGTCCACTTTAGCGATAACCACGTTCTTCTCCAACTTGAACGCTGCTGCCACCTGCTCGTAAATCTGCAGCAGCAGACGGGACAAAAGGGCCGTGGCACGTAGAGCTTATACAGGCCTTACGTAGTTCTTTTACAGGAACAATTTGAACGATTCTTTTTGAGCGCCTCAGAAGCAGTTTCATTTGACTCACTTACCAGGGCGAGGTTCTTGCAGTGGCCGCACCACGGGGCGTAGAACTCAACGAGCACGTGCTTGGTGGGGTCCAGAGCGATAGAGTCGAAGGTGGCCGGTGAGAGGGCCACCACGTGAGACGTGCTCACAGGCACTCGCACGCTGGTGCCTGGATGTGGGGGGATGAGAGGGAATGGGGATGAGAGCAAGGGGGGATGAGGGAAGCACGTGCTTGGTGGGGTCAAGAGGAACGGTGTTGAAGGTGGCTGGTGAGAGAGCGACCACATAAGAGGCGGTCATGGGCACACGCACACTCGCTCCTGGATGGGTAGGGTGGGTTGGGTACGAAAGGGCCGCATGGACTTCATGGTTGCTTCTTTCAAGTTCAAGCGAGGACGGAGTGGGGATGGAGCAGGAAAGGTTGGGGGGGATGGAGCAGGAGTAGAAATCTGTGGCTCACAGTCACCAGCTTCTGAATCCCTCTCGCGTGGCTCACTCTCTTTCTTAAAGTCACTCAACAGAATATTATTCACCCACCCAGCTTGTCGTTCACCCAGTTGACCATGTCTGCAGCCTCCCTGCGGCCGTCGTAGCTGGAGAGAGTGAGGGGGGAGAAAAGGGGGGGTGAAAAGGAGGGGAGAAAAGGAGGGGAGAAAAGGAGGGGAGAAAAGGAGGGGAGAAAAGGAGGGGAGAAAAGGAGGGGAGAAAAGGAGGGGAGAAAAGGAGGGAACAAGAGAGGAGGAATAAGCTCTTGTGCGGGCCCAGCAGGTTTAGCATCGCATGCATGCGTTATTCAAGCTACTCAGGCACCTTCACTTTCCAACCAAGCAGCAGAGAGAAAAGTGGCCCTTTATAGATCCACTAAGCTGGAATCCCCCCTCTCCCCCACCCTTCCCCCCTCCTCCCCCCCTTCATCATTCGCCACTCGCTCATCTGGCAGGTTGGTGCTGGCAGGGAACCACTGGGGTGTGGAGAAGCCGAGACTCAACCCCACCACTCAACCCGAATCTTCGGTTCCCCCCCAGCCAGCTACTCCTAGTCGCCTGCCTTTAGCCTCCTCCACTCACTCGTCCGGCAAGTCGGTGCCTGCAGCGAACCCACTTGGGTGTGGAGAAGCCGAGACTCAACCCCACCACTCAACCCGAAACTTCGGTCCCCCCTCCAACCAGCTACTCCTAGCCAACAGCCTTTAGCCTCTCCACTAACTCGTCAGGGAGGTCGGTGCCGGCAGGGAACCACTTGAGGGTGGGGTAGCCGCGCACTCTGTACTCGCTACAGAGCTCCTTGTGCGCATCACAGTTGACCTGGGACAGAGGCGCGATAAGGAACCAAAAAGATTGGAGTTCAATTAAACGGACATATTGACCAATCTGTACAAAAGATAAGGAATTGAACTGAATAATTCCAATTGGAAACCCGCTGCAGAATAGCCGTTACCAGGGGTAGGTGCTACCCGCTACGTTCACCTTGGCAATGACAACAGTGCTGGTCTTTCTGAAGGCAGAGGCGAATTTCTCGTAATCAGGAGCCAGCTTCTTGCAGTGGCCGCACCTGGCGGCAGAGGACGAGCAAAGCCATAAGCGGGAAGAGCCTAAAAGCCCGAAAGCGAGCCCGAAAGCGAGCCCGAAAGTCTGACAGAAAGCAGCAGGATGCAGGCTTTCGGATAGAAATGAGTTCATTACGGCGTCGATTACCATGGCGCATAGTATTTAATAAACACCGCTTTCTCCCTCCCCACGTGATCCCCGAAATTGTCAGGCGTCAGCTCGACGACGTCGGAGAAATCGCCGGCGACGACGAGCGACACAAGTGCTGCGAGAAGAAGCGACAGCAGAAGGTCGCGACAGGCCATCTGGACTAAGCCCGGAGGCAGGGGAACCAATCCCGAAAACTACACGTTTAGCGCTACGGCCGTGTCGTGAGTAACCACAAGTAGCAGTGGTAGTTGAGGGACCTACGAGTGCGAGTGGGAAGTGAAGTGAATTCAGCTGCTGCAAAATGCGTTGTCGCTCTGGCGGCGTTCCTGAGGCTCAAAATGGCTCCCAGAATTCGACCCCCCCGCATTTCCCAATGGCAGCCGCAATGTTCAGTTTTGGGGGCCAATTCAATCTACAGTGTTATGGGGATGAAATCCTGAACACTAAATTCAGAATTCGAATAAAATCTCTCATGTCCATGATTTGCAATCTATCACAATTCATCTTTTGATTCCCCCTTCTTCCCCTTGCCCAGGTCCTTCCACAGCTTATCGTCGTACTGCTTCCACATGTCATCGTCGTAACCCTCTCCCTTTCGGTGATCGACATTCTTGGCAATGTTCTCAAAGTCCTTGGCCGAAAACATCTGTTGGGTGGGGGTGGAAAAGTGGCCAAGGATAAGAGTGATGCAAGGGAAAATTTGAAAGCCAAGGAATGGAGGGGCAGCCACAACGGCATAATTGGAGGCAACAGCATATGGGAAAAATAAACCAAAGCAGAGGAGGGAGGATCACAAGACATCCTGGAAGCTTCTTCACCTTAATCTTGTCGCCAAAGCTTCCAGAGGCCTTGAGCTTCTCTGCACATCACAGCGAATGGCACAGAAAGAAGAAAACCGTCACGACCGAAAGCGGGTGAGACTGAGTCCATATTACCACTGCAAGAGGCCACCGCAGGCAAGAAGATTCGAGAAACAAGAGAGTTTAAACAGATTGCTGACTCACCCAGTATCTTCTGAATGTCAGCATCCTTGGACGACGAATCCCCGGGCTTCACCTCGTCGAAGCGCCCCTTCCCTCCCGACCAATCAAAATCGTCGCCAGAGGACGAATCAGAGGAGGGGGCTTTCTTGGGAGCGTCCTTTTGCTGCCTCTGCCGCCTCTCCTCCTCTGTCAGCAGGGGCAGGTGAATGGTCTCCCTCAGGTGACTCACCAGGTGCTCCTTCTCCTGCCATGGCGGGAGGAAAGAGAGGGATGGGGAAGGGTGGAGGGATGGGGGAAAAGAAGGCGGATCAGCAGTGGCAGGTGAGCTGTCTCTTGGAGACGACTCACCAGGTACTCCTTTCCTGGGATGGAGGGACGGAGTAAGGGAAGGAGTAGAGATAAAGTTGGGTGGAAGGCAGTTGGAGGAGCAATAGGAGGGAAACGAGTGAGAGTTAGGGAGAAGGGAGTGGTTGTGGAGGGGGAACGAGAAGCTAGCTCATGATACGCTAGCTCGGAATAATGGTCAATCGTTTGGGAAAAAAATGGTATGTGAGCACGAAGAGGAGTTGTGCAAAGAGTGCGTGTAAAGAGGAGTGAGTTTGAAGAGGAGTGAGTTAAAAGAGGAGTGAGTTTGAAGAGGAGTGAGTTTGAAGAGGAGTGAGTTTGAAGAGGAGTGAGCGTGAAGAGGAGTGAGCGTGAAGAGGAGTGAGCGTGAAGAGGAATGGAAGCGGTTCAAAGCGAGGGGTGTGCAGAGTGAGGAGACGTACAATGCAGCCTTGGCACTCCACTCCTCGTTCCTCCAACATTCTCTGCCACACAAACACACGAAGAGAGCCAATCACAGATCAAGATATGACTTCACGACGATGTGAGACAGGGAGAGGGCCTCATGAGCGACAGCACAATCGCATTGGAGAGCTGGACGCGATTCCCCTGTCTTTCCGAGATTTTCAGGCAACACCCCTCTGCACACCCTGCTCCTCTGCGTGAAAGCAAACTCTTGTCCACACGCCCGACACTAACGTGCAGCTTAGCAACGTAGGATCTATAATGACAAGTCGTTACCGCTGACTCAATAGTATCTCACCTTCAGCTCCTTGACTCTCAGCTTCGTCAGATCCACGTCAGCATTGCCAGCTGATGCTGATTGCTCCTCGCCTGATAGGCGAAGCGAAAGAAAAGCGAGAGGGGAATACAGCAGCGAGGAATCTAAGGTGAATTCGCAACCAGGGGGGCAAGTGCGCAGCTGAAGTATGAATCCTCTAAATCATGAATTCTGTACCAAAGCATTCCAGAGTAGTTGATCGCGGGACCCAAGGAAGCAAGAATTCCACATAGCAAAAGAAATATTATCGTGTTATCGATCAAGCGACCAGTTCGACGAACCTTACCAGTACGTGGCAACTAGGACTAATCGATTTAGCGTATCTTACCTGCAATAAGCGGCAAGACGAGGAGAAGAACGAGCAGCGAAGCTAGTGAGAGGCGCCGCATGGTGTCGACTAGAGACATTAGGAGCACTGAAATTGTGGGACTACGAAACCGCCACACGAATTGTGGGGACTGCACGTAGAACTAGGGGGTGAAGGAAGAGGAGCCCCGCGTGAGACAAATGAGACGGAGATTTCAAAACTCGAGACAACCTTCCAGAAGGAAAATGGCGACTACACATTATCAGGAGGGTGATCTGGCAAATCCCGCTCAACAAGAGCCCCAGCGAGGATCTTACTGTTGGGAACATTCTGGAGGATGAAACAGCAGCAGTCGCAAAACAGTGCGGTGAGCGTGGATCGAACACGCGACCTTCAGATCTTCAGTCTGACGCTCTCCCAACTGAGCTATCCCCGCGTGTCAGTAGGGGAAATATTGTTTTATTTATTTTTATAAAAACATTTCTTGCCCCACATTCCTCCACTGAAGTGGACTTCATGGCTCCCTACAATAGGCCCCTAGAACCGTCAATCGCGGCGCAGGTTGCGGTGCTCTGCAGTTTCCCCAAAGTCGGCTTCCAGGTACCATGCGATGCGATAGGCTGTACGGGCTTCCCCCCCCCCCCTCCCACCCATCCTCCCTCCCTCGCGCCCTCCGAGTGTTACCACTTCACTTCCGTGCCTGTCCACCTCCCTCCTCTTCGTCGCACTCAAATTCGTCTTCTATTCCTCCGAATTTCACGTTTCTCCGACTCCTTCTCTTTCCGGGGACTTTCCGCTTCGCGAATTCAGGTGCGGGACGTGCGGTGCGGGTGGGAGGATGCGGAATTCGCGGACCGGTTCACGGTGCTCGTGCCATGTGGCTGGGACAAGCTGGAATGTACGGCCACGATTCAGCTCCCATTCGCGCGATTCATTCTACACCATCCATTTCCCATGCATCCATCCATCTCCCCTTTCCCATGCTTCTAGTGTCAACTCCATTCATTTCTCATGCACAATCCACCACGTGCGCACATACATTATACATAACCCATCTCCCCCCATCCTCACATCCCCCCATCCCCCCGGACCCCCACCCCTCCTTTCCCCCAACCCCCCTTCCCCCCACCCCCCCCATCCCCTTACCTCCCCACCCCAGGGTACGTGCAGTTCAACGCCAGCCGGCCAGGCGACCCACCGGACGTCATCTTCCATTCTTCACCTGACGGCCTCCGCTTCCACCCTCTGCTGCTGCCAGGTGAATCCTCAGGTGCTTTCAGGTAACAGGTGATCTCCTGGTGCCGCTGCGGAGGTATTCTCCCACTCTCGGTTGATCCACGGCAGATGAGAATACGTGCGTCCTTTCATGCTGCTGCTGTTCTTAGCTCTAGAACCTATCACTCGAATCTGAGTTGATCCTCGTGTATTTTGAGAAAACTCAAAATACGTCCTTTCATGCTGCTGGTGTTCTTTAGCTCAGCTCAGATTATCATGCAAATCTGAGTTGATCCTCCGTTACTTATTGCTGCTGCAGGTGCCGCCAGCGCCAGTGACAGCAGCAGCTGGGGTTTGCTAAAAGACTGGCAGCAGAACGACTCATACCGTCTAGTGCGCCTCTTGCTGCACCTCAGGTGACATCTCGGCCTCGTGTCAAACGTCAGATTCTGTAACCCTCAAGGTGCACCATGCGTGTCATTTTCCTAATCCAACTCTCCTACCACATCCTCGAGGTGACTCTTCTTGAGTCGATTCCCTTTAACCGTCGAGGTGTACCATACGAGCTGGTTACCTAATCCGACTCCCCGAGCCCATCTTCGTGAGCGGTTCCTAACGCCCATTCTTTCATCCAGTCAACCCATCCTACCGTCCATACTTTCCTAATCCAACGGTTCCTACCGCCCATTCTTTCATCCAGTCAACCCAACTCCCAACCCCACCTCCCTCTCCCCACTCAGAGCGATGTTCCTCCAGCCACAGCAGCGGCAGCAGCAGCGGGCGACCCGCCTCATCATACCCCCTCTCCGCTCTTCCCGTCCCCCTCTTCTCCCCCCCCCACGCAGAGCCCTCTTCCTGCAGCACCAGCGGCGACAGGCGGAAGCAGTTGAGGACGAGAGGGTGAAGTTCGAGCTGGGTACGCTGGCGCACCAGGTGGGGGGCCTGAATCATGAAGTTGGTACAAGGGGTCAAAAGGGGTGAGGAGGTTAGTCGGGGTCAAAGGGGGTCTAAGGGGGTCAAAGGGATCTCCTGATGATAGCGTCAAGTATGCCACGTTCTCCTCTCGGCTCTTTGATAAATTACTCCTTTGACCCCCTCTCATGTGCCTCTCCCCTCTCTCCTTCTCCCCCCTCTCATGTGCCTCTCCCCTCTCTCCTTCTCCACCCTCTCGTGCCTCAGGAGTTTGAGGTCTACGCCCCTCTCGCTGCTGGCAAGGTGCGTACCCGGTACCCTCAACTGAATGACCCATTCCCCATGACCTGTTCACCGCCGTCTCATTACTTACACACATACCCCACCCATGCACCATGTACCATGTACCATGTACCATGTACCATGTACCATGCACCATGTACCATGTACCATGCACCATGTACCATGCACCATGCACCATGTACCATGCACCATGTACCATGCACCATGTACCATGCACCATGTACCATGTACCATGTACCATGTACCATGTACCATGTACCATGCACCATGTACCATGTACCATGTACCATGTACCATGTACCATGTACCATGTACCATGCACCATGTACCATGCACCATGTACCATGTACCATGTACCATGCACCATGTACCATGTACCATGTACCATGTACCATGCACCATGTACCATGCACCATGTACCATGCACCATGTACCATGTACCATGTACCATGTACCATGTACCATGTACCATGTACCATGTACCATGTACCATGTACCATGTACCATGCACCATGTACCATGTACCATGTACCATGTACCATGTACCATGTACCATGTACCATGTACCATGTACCATGTACCATGCACCATGTACCATGCACCATGTACCATGTACCATGTACCATGTACCATGTACCATGTACCATGTACCATGTACCATGTACCATGTACCATGTACCATGCACCATGTACCATGTACCATGTACCATGTACCATGCACCATGTACCATGTACCATGCACCATGTACCATGTACCATGTACCATGCACCATGTACCATGCACCATGTACCATGTACCATGTACCATGTACCATGTACCATGTACCATGCACCATGTACCATGTACCATGTACCATGTACCATGTACCATGTACCATGTACCATGTACCATGTACCATGCACCATGTACCATGTACCATGTACCATGTACCATGTACCATGTACCATGTACCATGCACCATGTACCATGTACCATGTACCATGTACCATGTACCATGCACCATGTACCATGTACCATGTACCATGTACCATGTACCATGCACCATGTACCATGCACCATGTACCATGTACCATGTACCATGTACCATGTACCATGTACCATGTACCATGTACCATGTACCATGTACCATGCACCATGTACCATGCATGTACCATGTACCATGTACCATGTACCATGTACCATGTACCATGTACCATGTACCATGCACCATGTACCATGTACCATGTACCATGCACCATGTACCATGTACCATGTACCATGTACCATGTACCATGTACCATGTACCATGTACCATGTACCATGCACCATGTACCATGTACCATGTACCATGCACCATGCACCATGTACCATGTACCATGTACCATGTACCATGCACCATGTACCATGTACCATGTACCATGCACCATGTATCATGTACCATGTACCATGCACCATGTACCATGCACCATGTACCATGCACCATGCACCATGCACCATGTACCATGTACCATGCACCATGTACCATGTACCATGTACCATGCTCTATGCTCCGTGTATCTACGGCGAGTCAAGCCCCACCTCCGCCTTCTCACGCCCTTCATGCAGTCATCCCCAGAAGAGCTGCAGCTGGCGGTGCCAGTGCTGGGGGTAGACCTGCGCCCCCTCACTCTCTTCAGGTGCGTTAATTAATTCATTCATCCGAACCTGTTGTTCGGGGGCAACCTTTGAGTCGACTCAAAAGCCGCCTCGCTCCAGAGTTACACAACGCCAGTGCTGGGGGTAGACCTGCGCCCCCTCACTCTCTTCAGTTGTGCTGGGGTATGTTTTCCAGTAGGTTGCTATCTAGCGATCCCCTTTTTGCCCCCCCCCACTCCTCTCGCCCCCCTTTCTCCCTCCCATTCTGCCCCCGCCATCTCTCTCCTCCTCCCCCACTCCTGTGGACACCGTCCACCATCCACCCGTGGACGCGGTCCACCGTCGCAACCGTCCACCGTCCACCATCCACCGCTGGACGCCATCCACCATCCACTTGTAGACGTCGTCCACCGTCCACCGTCCACCAACCACCGTCCACTGGTGGGGCCGTCCACCGTCCACCGTCCACCGGTGGATACCATCCACCGTCCACCGACCACCCTCCACCGGTGGACGCCGTCCACCGACCACCGTCCACCGCTGGACGCCGTCCACAGTCCACCGTCCACCGGTGGACGCCGTCCACAGTCCACCGTCCACCGCTGGACGCCGTCCACAGTCCACCGTCCACCGGTGGACGCCGTCCACAGTCCACCGTCCACCGGTGGACGCCGTCCACAGTCCACCGACCACCGTCCACCGACCACCGGTGGACGCCGTCCACCGTCCACCTTCCACCGTCCACCGTCCACTGACCATCGGTGGACGCCGTCCACCGTCCACCGTCCATCGTCCACCGTCCACCGTCCACCGTCCACTGTCCACCAGTGGACGCCGTTCACCGTCCACCGACCACCGGTGGACGCCATCCACCGTCCACCGTCCCCAGTCCACCGGTGGACGCCGTCCACCGTCCCCAGTCCACCGGTGGACGCCGTCCACCGTCCACCGACCACCGGTGGACGCCATCCACCGTCCACCGACCACCGTCCACCGTCCACCATCCACCGTTCACCGGTGGACGCTGTCCACCATCCACTGTCCACTGGTGGACGCCATCCACCGTCCACCATCCACCAACCACCGGTGGACGCCATTCACCCTCCACTGTCCACCGTCCACCGACCACCGGTGGACGCTGTCCACCGTCCACCGTCCACTGTCCTCCGTCCACCGTCCACTGTCCACCGTCCGCCGACCACCATCGACAGGTGGACGCCATCCACCGTCCACTGTCCGTTGGACGCCGTCCACCGAGCACCGGTGGACGCCGTCCACCGTCCACCTTCCACCGTCCACCGTCCACCATCCACCGTCCACCGGTGGACGCCGTCCACCGTCCACCTTCCACCGTCCACCGTCCACCGGTGGACGCCGTCCACTGGCACCGTCCACCGGTGGACGCCGTTCACCGTCCACCTTCCACCGTCCACCGCCCACCGTCCACCTTCCACCGTCCACTGTCCACCGTCCACCTTCCACCGGTAGACGCTGTCCACCGTCCTCCGTTTGACGTAGTCCACTGGCCACCGTCCACCGTCCACCGCCGTCCACCGCCGTCCACCGGTGGACGCCGTCCACCATCCACCGTCCACCGTCCACTGACGCCTCAAAGACAGACCCCTCCCTCTCTGTCCCCACTCCCCTCCCCATTCCATTCCCCACTTTGGTAGGTGGTGGTCGGAGTGACTCAAGCGCTGTGTCAGCGGCCTTCTGTTGAGGCTGCTGGTCTGTGGGGGTGGGTGTCGGGGTGACCTTTCTCTCACTCTCCTCATCCCTCACTCGCTTCTCTCACTCTCCTCCTCCCTCACTCGCTTCTCTCACTCCCCTCCTCCCTCACTCGCTTCTCTCACTCCCCTCCACCCCTCCCTCACAAACTGGCAGGTGGTGGTCGGAGTGGCTCAAGCGCTGTGGCAGCGACCTTCAGCTGAGGCTTCTGGTGGGTGCTGCTGGGTGCTGCTGGGTGCTGCTGGGTGCTGCTGGGTGCTGCTGGGTGCTGCTGGGTGCTGCTGGGTGCTGCTGGGTGCTGCTAGGTGCTGCTGGGTGCTGGTAGGTGCTGCTGGGTGTTGGTGGGTGCGGGTGGGTTCTGCTGGGACTGTTTTTGAGTCGGCTTGCTGGTGGATGGCTAGCTGGTTTGGGGGGGTGTCCCGCCCACACCCACCCCCCCGGCATTTGTGGCTAGATCAGCATCCCGACCCCCCCAACTTCCCTGCACGCACACCCCACCCACCTATCTCTTATTCCCCCCTCCTATCATGTTCCCCACCCTATCACCTATCTCCTATCATGTCAAAAGTCGCACACACACCCTACCCACGTATCTCTTAGTGAACACCACTTAGGTGCCATGGGTCAAAAGTCGCACGCACACCCCACCCGCGTATCTCATATCCCCCCCTCCTATCATGTTCCCCATCGCTGGGGGCAGTAGCAGCCCCAATGGGGACGCGCCTCAAACTCCACTCTTATTCTTCTCCGCTCCCCTTCCTTCTACCCCCCTCCGTCCCCCCTCAACCAAAGGTCAAGTTTCCCTTCTCGGGGAGCAGCAGCAGCACTTCTTGTGAGGCGCGTCAAAGCTCCACTCTTTCTCTTCTCCCCTCCCCTCCCGCCCTCCCTCCGGCAGATCAAGTTCCCCATCTCGGGGAGCAGCAGCAGCGCTGGCTTCAAACCATCCACCCCTCAAGTGAGTGACTGAGTGAATGAGTGAGTGAGGAGTGAGTGAGTGAGTGAGTGAGCCTTAGGAAGAGAGCAGATCGTTCGTAGTGCAGCAGGGAGCATATCGTTTTTCTCAGGACCCCTTCTCCCCTGCCTTCCCCCTCTCCCCTGCCTTCCTTAATCAAAGCTGGAAGACCCTCCTCTCCTCTCTCCACGTGTCATGCCCCACTACTCTGCCCCTCTCCTTCCCCGCTCTCCCTTCCGCAGCTGAAGCTAAACGCTCCCCCGCTCCTCCTCTCTCCGCTTGTCATGCCACTTAATTATCCCTCCCACCTTCCTCTCTTTCTCCCTTCCACAGCTGAAGCTAGACGCTCCCCCGCTCCTCCTCTCTCTCCTTGGCTTCCCAGAGACCAAGCTGCCTGCCTGGACTGACTCCATGTGAGAACTAAACATTTGGCTGATTCCATGTGACTCCAAACCGTCCCTCGCTCCTCCTCTCTCTTATCTCGTTTCGTTGGTTCTCGCTTCACATGCGTTTGGTTTTCGCTTTGCTGCTCCCTTTTAAAATGGTCACTGCGAGCGTCTGCTTGTTACAATCCTTGTAAGAGATGTTTTCTAATTTTTTAGATTTTTGAATCTAGTATTCTCAGAAATCTCTCACAGCATCCGTCTACAATCCCCTAGCATGCTTCGTGCGGTGCTCTCACCTACTTGCGCTGCTTGTTTACACATGTTCCCACCACACCGCACCGCATTGCACACACTGCCACAGGTGCACAGTTGCCTACCTGCCTGAACTTGCTGCATTCATCCACCAGCGAGTGAGTCGTACTGCACTTCACCTCTCTTCACCACACTTCACCCTCCCCTCACCGCACTTCACCTCACAACGCAGCAGAGAGCCTCGATGATTGATACTGTTGGGATATTCAATTCTGTGAGGCATCCCTTTTGTAGAAAAAAGAAAGAAAGAAAGAAAGAAAGAACCATTTGTTGTACCTGCAATTAGTTAATGCAATTTCAGCTCTTGATTTTTCCCTGTTTTAGTTCATGGTCCTTATCAGCTCTTGCTTCTTCTTAAATTTAGTTTTTTTTCCCTCTCCCTCCGCCACGTCAGCTCGACGATGCTGTCTCATCCATGCAAAGCCGGGCAGACTTTGTTTCAGCTCTTCCCGCAGTGTTTGGGCAGCCTTTAGAAACTGATACAGTGAGTGGCTTTTTTCCTGCCGACAACTACATTGCTTGCATGATGGGATTGGGACATAAAACAGCATCCCTCCATTTTCCAGTTTCGCTCATTTTCCAGCTCCTGTCATTTTCGGTTTCCTTCATTACCCTCTCCCTTGTATCTTATCATCCCATCTTTCCCCTCCAACCGTCCCTGCAGCAACTCTTCTCTCAGACCACCGTGTTTGTGTCGGCCAGTAACTGCATGTTCCTGGTGCGTTATGGGTGCTGCGGTATTATGATTGCTGCTGGTGCGCTCAAGTCCCTGAAACGTAGTCTGTGTCAACAGCCACACGTGTTTCCTGCAAAATGAGGTCACAATGTGTGTCATTCACCCTCATCGTCTTTCCCTCTGCCCCACCCTTTCTTACATCGTCGCTCTCCCTCTCGTCCCCTCCCTCTCGTCCCCTCCCTCTCATCTCACGCCCCTCAGGTGCGCATTGCCCTACCGCCATCCTTCCCACAGCAGCAGCCCTCCCTCACTCTTCAGTCCGCCCATGTAAGAACGAGCTCTTCAGTCCGCCCATGTAAGAACGAGCTCTTCAGTCCGCCCATGTAAGAACGAGCTCTTCAGTCCGCCCATGTAAGAACGAGCTCTGCAGTCCGCCCATGTAAGTACGAGCTCGTTGACTAAAGAGTCGACCCAAACGTCACAGCAGCAGCCCTCCCTCACTCTGCACTCCATCCATGTAAGAACGACTTCATTCACGATCCCCATTCCCCATGCCCCATTCCCCATGCCCCATTCCCAATGCCCCATTTCCCCATGCCCCATTCCCCATGCCCCATTCCCAATGCCCCATTTCCCCATGCCCCATTTCCCCATGCCCCATTCGCCATGCCCCTTGCCTATCAAACACTCACCCATTCACCCATTCACCCATTCACCCACTCACCCATTCACCCACTCACCCATTCACCCACTCACCCATTCACCCACTCACCCATTCACCCACTCACCCATTCACCCACTCACCCATTCACCCACTCACCCATTCACCCACTCACCCATTCACGCACTCACCCATTCTCCCATTCACCCACTCACCCATTCACCCACTCACCCATTCACCCATTCACCCTCTCACCCATTCACCCACTCACCCATTCACCCACTCACCCACTCACCCATTCACCCACTCACCCATTCACCCACTCACCCGTTCTCCCACTCACCCATTCCCTATGCCCCTTTCCCCATGCCCCATGCCCCACCCCCATTCCTCACGCCCCATTCCTCACCACCCATCCCCCATGCCGCATCTCGCAGCATTTCACGGCAGCCAATCGCCCGGTGTCATCCGAGCCAATCAGCAGCTTCCCTTGGAGCCCCAGATGGGCCACAGCGCAGATGGCGCAGCGCCTCGGGTGAGTGGGGCACGTGTGTGGGGCACGTGTGTGGGGCACGTGTATGGGGCACGTGTGTGGGGCACGTGTGTGGGGCACGTGTGTGGGGCACGAGTATGGGGCACGAGTGTGGGGCACGTGTGTGGGGCACGAGTGTGGGCCACGAGTGTGGGGCACGTGAGTGATGGGGGAACTGAGAACTTAGAGTGGGCCGTGAGGAGAGTCGGATGGTGGGAGAACTTAGAGAGCTTCGCTTGGAGCCCCAGATGGCCCCTGCCGCACATGGCGCAGCGCCTCAGGAGAGTGCAGTTAGTGAGGCGTGAGGAGGGAGAAGGCTTGAGTGCTCAGGGCAGGGTGTCATGTCATGCTTTGCTGTCCAGTGGCATCTCATGCTCTCATGCTCCCTTCTCAAGGGTCACCTTCTGCTCTTTTCTTCTCTCTCCCTGCGGCCCTGCGCTCGTTCCTGGAGGAGGAGGGCGCGCCTTTCAAGCGATATTGTGTTGAGGTCAACTCTGAGTCACCTCTTACTCTATTCTCAAGCATCACCTCGCGCTGTCTACTCAAAGTCACCTCTTTTGATCTTACTTTCTCTCTCCGTGGCCCTGCAGCTCGTTCTTGGAGGAGGAGGGCGCACCTTTCAAGCGATTTTGTGTTGATGTCTCCAGAGGTGCTGGTCCTGCAAGGCCGTGATGTGCTCCTTATAAGGAATGCATGCGCTGCTTATAAGGAGATGTACCTTACGCTTGAATAGAGTGTGGCATTGGCACGAACAGCTTTTTGAACATAGGAAAAAATGCTCTACTACCGGACTGTAGTAAGTGAACTATTATAACAATATCATGTGTCACTACCATAAGTCAACCCTCTCTACAGTCATAAGGGAACTGTTGGAAGCTTTGTACAATATACATTCCCTGTTCAAAGGGCCTAGTTTGTGTGTGTGAGGTGTGTGCCTCCCATATATCGTACATATATTGAGAGATAACTTTCTGTAATGAGTTGATATCATAGAAGTATAAGAAAAAAAGAGAAAAGATCTCGATGGTACATTTCTACTGAGCTAAGTCTGCCAAATGATGCCAGCCCCCTCGGGCCTCGACTCTTTCTGACCCCCCACACCCAAGTACACGATTCCACGTTCCTATCCCCTTGATCAAATCAGTACTTTGGCGAGTACAGCTGGGGGGGCTCCTGCGTCGACACAGGCGCGGTAACATTCCCGTACTCGTGGATGCGGTTGAAGCGCCAGTAGTTGTCGGGCAGGTCGCCCCCGGGGAACCACGCCCCGAGGTCCTCAAACTTCTGAGCCACCTCTGAGACGGCAAAGTAGTTGACGGGGAACTGGTCGCTCGTCATCACGCCCTCAGTCTGCCGGGGGATCTTCTTGAACTGGTGGGGAAAGGGGAGGAACGGGAGCGAGACGGAGAGGTGGTGAAAGGGTAGGGTGAGCACTGAACTTCTGAGCCACCTCTGAGACGGCAGAGGAGTTGATGGGGAACTGGTCGCTCGTCATCACGCCCCCTGTTTGGCGGGGAATCTTCTTGAACTGGTGATGCTGTTGAAGCGCCCCCGGGCGAGGGGGAAGAGAGAGGGGGAAGAGGGGAGAGAGGGGGAAGAGGGGAGAGAGGGGGAAGAGGGGAGAGAGGGGGAAGAGGGGAGAGAGGGGGAAGAGGGGAGAGAGGGGGAAGAGGGGAGAAGGGGGAAGAGGGGAGAGAGGGGGAAGAGGGGAGAGAGGGGGAAGAGGGGAGAGAGGGGGAAGAGGGGAGAGAGGGGGAAGAGGGGAGAGAGGGGGAAGAGGGGAGAGAGGGGGAAGAGGGGAGAGAAGGGGAAGAGGGAAATGAGAGCATGATGGCATGGGGAGCAATGGTAGCGACTTCCTTGTGGTTCTCCCTGCCTGCTGACAGCATCTGCGTACACCCTCCCTTGTGGTTCTCCCGGCCAGGCCTCAAATCTCTCACCAGCAGGGATGCGACGATCCGCGCGATGACGCTGCCGCATGCTCACAGCATCCACACTCACCAGCAGGAAGGCAATGATCCTTGCGATGACGTCATCCTCTGGCATGTTAACAGCATCAGCATACACGTGGCCCAGCACAATGCGGTGCCGCGTCTCCTTGTCATCCTTGGTGACATAAATGTCGTACATCCACCCGCCGTTCGTCTTGATCTTGGCGTCCAGCGTCAGGTCGAACTCGATCACCTCGCCTGAGGGCGCTGTCTCGGTGATGTGCTTCACTAGCGCTGCTGCTGCCTCTTGCTCAGCTGCTGCTGCTGCCAGCTCCTCAGCCGACTGAGACTTGGACTGATGAAGACAGGGGGGCGGGAGGGGAGGGAAAGAAGGGGGCAAGAGGGGGGGGGAGGGGGGGGGGTTGACTGTCAGATCGAACTCAACTCAACCACCTGGCCCGAGGGGGCTGTCTCTGCGATGTGCATGCATGCCCCGTGGTGCTGCTGCCTGCCTCCTCCTCTGCCGCCGCTGCCAGCTGCTCGGCTGACTGACACTTGGAGTGCTGGGCGGTGGAGTGGATGGCATGGGACGTAGAGCGGGATACGCTGCCAGTTAGAGTAGGTGCCAGTGGGATTAGGAACGCTTAACTCATAACACGCCGAGAAAGACAGGCTTCCGAATGGGGCGAGCGAAAGTGAGTGAGTGAGCGCATGGGAGTGAGCGAGTAAGAGAGTGGGAGTGAGTGAGAGAGTGAGTGTGGGGAGTGGTGCGGTGGGGACATACCGGCAGCACGTCGCACTTGCCCTCTTCGATGAGCTTCGGGTCGTACTCCATCTGCACAGAAGGGGGACGAACAGACGAGACGGGGAGTAAAACGGACAGTTGCACGACTTAAAGCCATCACGTATCGCACTTGCCCTCCTCGATGAGCTTCAGGTCGTACTCCATATACACAGAAGGGGACTGAATAGAGAGCAGGACGGACAGAAACAAGAGGGATGACGCGAGCGGATGACGCAAACAAGAATCCCCGCATTTGGAGTCGTCTCACTATGCCCGAGAGGAGGTCAAATAGTCACCCGGCCGCCTCAGAATTCTGCGCCACACGATTCCGCGCCAGGGCCGACCATCTCACGAGAGGCTTTTGAAAACTCTCGATACCATCTCAACCTGCCGGCATATCGAATGCGAGCCGTCTATTCACCGATTCGCCAGCAAAGGGTCCGTCCTTCAGAGTCGTCACATGTTCGGAGACACAAGCTCTGCTCCCTTCCCAAACGTCACGAGTGAGTTGGTTCTTCAGAATTCTCGGAAACCTACCCTCGCCGTAGCGAGTCACTCCATTTCCGTTCGCTCCCTTCCCAAAACCCTCCTCTCTTTCACATCCCTCCTCCCCCAGCAGCGATTTTTCGTTCCCTACCGTCATATTCTCGCTCAATTCCTTCGCTACTGTCACACTGCTCCCATTCATGAGCAGCAGTGTCGCAGCCTACACCTGCGTTCCGTCGCCCCAACAACCCCCAACACTCCCTTCCCCTCCCCCGTTACATCTTTCCCACGTAAAATTACATCCTTCAAGCCCTCCGCTATAGTCACACTCTCACCTCCTCCTTGAGGCCGCGGTCCACCATCATCTGCAGCAGCGTCTTCGCCTTCGACTGAGCAGCAGCCACCTTCCCTCACACACCACCATTCGTTATAATCACATCCATAGCTCAGCATCCTCGTTACAATCACAATCTCACCTCCTCCTTGAGCCCGCGGTCCACCATCATCTGCAGCAGCGTCTTCGCCTTGGACTGCGCCGCCGCAATCTTCCCTCTCTCCGAGATCGACCCCGCGTCCGCCGGTCGCTCCCAGTACCCCCTCTGCACTGCGTCCGTGTTGCCCACGGGCGGAAGTCCCATCTCCGAGAACCACTGTAGAATGTGAGAAACAGCAGCAGTAACGGAGAGCACAATACAGAGGATATTCAGTGCAAGATTGCCGGTGCAGCCTTTCCACTCTTCAGATTCGCTCCCAGCACCCCCCTCCCCCGCTGCACGGCGTCCGTGTTGCCCACCGGCGGAATATCCGTCTCCGAGAACCACTGTACGATGTGAAAAGACAGCAATTATAACGGACAGCACAATACAGGGGCATTTTAAGCTGCACACTTATTTACACACGTCAGACGCCAGCTACCAGGCACAGCTTCAAATCAGACAGCAGCAGAAAGCTGGTCGCCGAATGCACGACCCGCTATAAGCATCCCCGCTAAACGTACATGTGAGCGAATGTCGATCATCTGCTGCTGGTCCATGGTGGATAGGTTGTAGAGCTTGTAGTAGTAGCACAGCTCGGGCCGCCTCCCCATGAGCGTGCGCAGCGAGTTCCGCACGTCCTTGGAGAACCCGATATACTGCACCTTCTTGTTCTTATCGAGTACAGCGAACACGGAGGCCGTGGTTCCCGGCTCGACGGGGGGGACTATGCGGCCCTGCTGGTTGATGTAACTCAGTAACGGCAGCTCGTTCAGCGAAGGGAGTTTCGCCGAGCCCGCAGCCGCGACGACCACGGCGCGAGATGCGGTGCGGGAAGTGCGGGCGGATTGGCTTTTAGAGAGTGTGATTCTAACGCCAGTGAAGGCGGGAGAGGCGGATTTGGACAGGAGATCTGATCCGAGGTGGAGACGAGGGGACGCCACGTGGCAGGTCGAGGTAGGCCTGGACGAGGCATTGCGTGCTGACGAGGCAATTTGAGAGACTGAGCTGGCAGCAATGGCTGCTCGTTGAGCGACGGACGCCATGGCTAGTGCAGTCTGGCCCGAAGGTCGCAACAAAAGCAAGTGGCGGTTCGGGGAGCGAGCGTCGAGTCAACCAGCAAAAACTCTCGTCTACCGCAGTGGAGCGGAGTAGTTGCTTCGTTTCTATTGCACGCAGGACGCTCTCGTTCTCCTGAAAGGATACAGGAATAAGAGACTGCGGCGAGAGAAATGGTTTCTTGGTGCTCTGTGCACCGAGCTTCTTCCCCCTGTCCTTCCCCTCACAGCTTGCTCGCTCTCTGTTATCCTCTCGCCTCGGCTCGCGGCGAATCCAATGACGGGGGCTGGGGAGCTGCACCTTGGGATTGGTAACGCAATCACGGCTTGATGACGTGGAGCCCCCTGGAAAATGGTCCAAGGCTGATGTGGCCGAAAAAGCGAAATTGTGAAATCTACAGCCCGACATGCGTTTCAAGAGAATTCAGCAGAATAGAAGCAACATTACCGATGATTTCTTCGGACAGATGCCAAACGATCATGAAAAAAACTAGATTTCCACTTTGTGAACTTACACTTACTCTACATCCATACACCTAATAACCTATGTTTTCTTAGAAAAAATATCAGGCTATTGAACTAGCAGCCTACTCATAAAAAATAAATATCTTGAAGCCCCAACTAAGAGCTCCTCACAAGCCATTGCCCACTTCAAAGCCCATATTTTTTAAGGGTGGACAAAGGGCACACAATAAAGCTATGTTAGTGTGTCAGCATAATACCATACCACGGTTGCATGGAAGCACCAATCAGATGGCAGCTTGCATGAGGGGTGCCCGTGCAGTGGCGCTGATGTGGCAATAGGGCCCTGTCTGCTGCACTTGGATGTAATCCCTTGGCTTCAGCACCTGATGGAAAAAAGGTATAGGACATCAGAGTTCAGAGCGGGACAGGTTGTCTGTGGGACACGTAGGAGAGCAGGGAAAAGACACGAACAGCACGAGCTTCAAACACACACACATAGCATCCAATCCAAGCCGATCAACAGCATACACCAGCATGGGCCAGTGAGTGTCATGCACTGCCAGTGAGTGTCATGCGCTGCCAGTGAGTGCCATGCGCTGCCAATGAGTGCCATGTGCTGCCAGTGAGTGTCATGCGCTGCAAGTGAGTACCATGCGCTGCCAATGAGTGTCATGCGCTGCCAATGAGTGCCATGCGCTGCAATGAGTGCCATGCGCTGCCAGTAAGTGTCATGCGCTGCCAATGAGTGCCATGTGCTGCCAGTGGGTGTCATGCGCTGCCAGTGAGTGTCATGCGCTGCCAATGAGTGCCATGCGCTGCCAGTGAGTGCCATGCACTGCCAGTGAGTGCCATGCGCTGCCAGTGAGTGACATGCGCTGCCAATGAGTGCCATGCGCTGCCAGTGAGTGTCATGTGCTGCCAGTGAGTGTCATGCGCTGCCAATGAGTGTCATGGGCTGCCAGTGAGTGTCATGTGCTGCCAGTGAGTGTCATGCACTGCCAATGAGTGCCATGCGCTGCCAGTGAGTGTCATGCGCTGCCAGTGAGTGCCATGCGCTGCCAGTGAGTGCCATGCACTGCCAATGAGCGTCATGCGCTGCGAATGAGTGCTATTCGCTGCCAGTGAGTGCCATGCGCTGCCAGTAAGTATCATGCGCTGCCAATGAGTGCCATGCGCTGCTTTGAGTGCCATGCACTGCAGTGAGTGCCATGCGCTGCCAGTGAGTGTCATGCACTGCCAGTGAGTGTCATGCGCTGCCAGTGAGTGTCATGCGCTGCCAGTGAGTGTCATGTGCTGCCAGTGAGCGTCATGCGCTGCCACTGAGTGTCATGCGCTGTCAGTGAGTGGGTGCAACGAAGGTGGGGGAACCTGCGGTGGGGTGAAGCTTGGAGGTGCCTGGGGTGGCTGAGAGGTGGCTGGAGGTGGCTGGGAGAATTGGGATAGGCAAGAAGCGGATAGCAGGTAGGAGCGGGAAGCGGGAAAGCGGCGGGAAAGCGGGAGGCCGGGGAGCAGGAAGCAGCGGGGAGGAGGGAAGCGGGGAGAAAGGGAAGCGGGAAGCGGGAAACTGTGAGAGGCGGTAAGCGGAAAACGGAAACCGGAAAGCGGGAAGCGGGCAGCGGGCAATGAGAAGCGGGAGGCAGTAGGCAGCGGGCAGCGGGTAGCAGGAAGCGGGAAGTGGGCAACGGGCAGCGGGAAGCGGGCAGCCGGCAGCGGGAAACGGGGGGCAGCAGGCGGCGGGCAGCGGGCAGCGGGTAGCAGGAAGCGGGCAGCGGCAGTGGCAGTGGGCAGAGGGCAGCAGGCAAAGGGCAGCGGACAGCGGGCAGCAGGCAGCGGGCAGCGGGTAGCGGGCAGCGGGCAGCGGGCAGCTGGAAGCGGGCAGCGGGAAGCAGGAAGCAGGAAGCGGGCAGCGGGCAGCGGGCAGCGGGCAGCGGGCAGCAGGCAGCAGCGGGAAGTGGGCAGCGGGCAGCGGGCAGCGGGCAGCGGTCAGCGGGCAGCGGGCAGCGGTCAGCGGGCAGCGGTCAGCAGGCAGCGGTCAGCGGGCAGCGGGAAGCGGGCAGCGGGCAGCGGGCAGCGGGCAGCGGGCAGCGGGCAGCGGGCAGCGGACAGCGGGAAGCGGGCCGCGGGAAGCGGGCCGCGGGCAGCGGGCAGCGGGCAGCGGGCAGCGGGCAGCGGACAGCGGGAAGCGGGCCGCGGGCAGCGGGCAGTGGGCAGCGGGCAGCGGGAAGCGGGAGGAGCGGGAAGCGGGCAGCGGGCAGCGGGCAGCGGGCAGCGGGCAGCGGGAAGCAGGCAGCGGGCAGCGGGCAGCGGGAAGCGGGAAGCGGGAAGCGGGAAGCGGGAAGCGGGCAGCGGGCAGCAGGAAGCGGGCAGCTGGCAGCGGGCAGCGGGCAGCGGGCAGCAGGCAGCGGGAAGCGGTAAGTGGGCAGCGGGAAGCGGGAAGCGGGAAGCGGGCAGCGGGAAGCGGGCAGCGGGCAGCGGGCTGCGGGAAGCGGGAAGCGGGCAGCGGGTAATGGGCAGCGGGCAGCGGGCAGCGGGCAGCGGTCAGCGGGCAGCGGGCAGCGGGCAACGGGCAGCGGGCAGCGGGCAGCGGGCAGCAGGCAGGGGAAGCGGGCAGCGGACAGCGGGAAGCGGGCAGCGGGCAGCGGGAAGCGGGCAGCGGGAAGCGGGCAGCGGGAAGCGGGCAGCGGGCAACGGGCAGCATGCAGCGGGTTGCGGGCAGCGGGAAAGGGGGACGGGGGCGTGTTGGGAGAATTGACACAGAGAGCAAAGACGAAGGGTGCAGGAATGACGAGCGGTAACTCTAGGCGACTATCGCCTCCGGCGCAGCGAAAAAGTATTTAGAAAATACTTGTGAAAATAGCCTCAAGGGCCTTGCCTCATAATCTGATCTCAAAGTGGTTGCAAGTTGTCAATACATACAAGCATTCCACTAGTTCCAATGAGATACAAAGCACAAATGTTCAAACAGATTTATAGTGGAAGCACAAGCGATTTTGCGCTTCGTAACTGCCGTGTGCGCTGCGAGTAACTCGCGCGCCTCGTGTCAAGCCGAGTCGCACACGCAATTGCGACTTTCTTGCTGAACACGCCACTGGTCCGAAGTCTGAATGCTTGTTAAACACGCCCCGTCCGATACCCAATTTTGCCCCACATCAATCTGTTTCTCGCCACTTCCCTTCCTTTCTACCACTCAACTACCATTCTCATTTCTTTCCACAAATCTTTTCTCAACCTTCTCTACAGCTCCTCCTCTTTCCGTACACCTCACGCTCCGCTTCCTAGTTCCTTCTCGTCCCAAGTCCGCACTTCTCTCCTCGTCACCCAAAGTCACGAGTAGTCCGTCGTGGGTGGCGAAACCACTCCAACAGTAACCTATCCAAGTCGATCTGCAGCTGCACCATGCGGCCAACCTGCGGCGCACGGTGTCTGGATAATGCGTCACTTGCGCCTAGTCCGCGACGCATGGGCGAACCTGTCAAGGACGGCCGACTACGACGATACGCGGAAGTGGAGGTATTTGATCGGCAGGTGCGGTTGGTAGATCTAGATCTGACGAAGATACGCTCTATGGCTTGAAGTAAGATCGACGGCTACGATCTACGAACTTAGAAACCTGACGACCTAGCAGCCTGGTGAAGGGATATAGCGTAGAGTAATTACTAGCGCAGACTAACTACTAGTGCAGAGTGCACAGTAACTACTAGCGCTGCGTAACAGCTAGCACAGAGTAACTACTAATCCTGCATCGCCCAACTCAGCACACGATCACGTCGCTCGCGACATTAGCATGTATAGGTCAGACTCGAACAGAGCAAGCTCCAAGATTATTGGAATTTGCTATGTTTGAGGGGGGCTGTGCCACGCAAGCGTTTTTGAACTTAGTGAGTTGCTGCGCTGTCTTTAGTGTACTGTACATGGTAGGTGCCTCTGTCGTATTCTGCGACCGCTAGTCGCAGAATGTCGCAATCACGTTGGTGCGATGTTTCAAGGGTTTGTTGCAAAACACATTATGAAAACCACTCATCAGATCAGAAACAAGGGACACAAACAGAAAACCCCAAAAAACCCGCCACTGCAGGACTCGAAACAAGCTGCATAACCGAAAGTCTGACATTGAAACGGGCACACCACGCGTAGGAAAAGCACACAACAGAAGCCTGAAAATCAACATCCTCGGGAAACTGCTCTCGAGTGTTAGGAGCACATAGCTCCTACCACTCCCACTAGATTGTACTAACATAGCCGCGCACAACGGCGGCTCTTCATTCACGACGCGTTGCTAGTGCCGAAGGTCATCCACTCCCCTGCGTCGGGGAACCCCGTCATCGTGGCTGTCACGCAGAGAACATTCTCACGGTACCGCGATGCAATGTCGGCAGTGGGAGCCTTGGGGTCTTGCGTGGGTGATGCCCGCTCAAGCCTGTCGCATACGACTGGGTCGCGAATGTCAAACAAGACTCGGAGATTGCGAGGAGCAAGTCCGACGCTGTGCGCGTAACCAACCAGCATCTCTGTTGCCATCCTCGCCAACGGCCTTAGGTCGCGTGCGGAAGCTGCACGCGGAGGCGTCGGCGCCGCATTCGCCCACCATGAGTCGCGGAAAGGAGGGGCCAGAGGCTCGACCTCCAGGGGGTCAGGCCCGCCCTCCGTGCTCATCTCCTCATCGATGTCGGCCAGCACGTACCCGACTGTGTCGTCAATAGTACCCGGTGGGCCGAACGGCAGCACATCCATTGCCGTTTGCACCACCTGGACGTCGTTCTCGAGAATATGCGGCTTCGTCGCGCTGGATGAACAGAGGAGAGTGAGTAGTGGCTCCCATGCCGCAGGGAGCATCTGAGTGCACCAGAAACATTTATGGATTGTACTTGTCTTGATGCAGAGTGTCGACTCCGAAATGAACTCGACGACTCGAGTCATCTCGGGCTTGTAGCTTCGCAGCCGCGCTACCGTCATCCCAGCAGTCCCCCACTTGCGAAGGACACCCTGCAGCAGGTGGCCCTTGTACTTTGCCTTGAGGCAGGACAAAACCCCCTGGTCCAAGGGCACATGAAGGGGGTGGTGTTCGGTGGCAGGTACACAATGCGAAGATGCAAAAGCGCTCGCGTGCGGAACCCGCAAATATCAGCAGTCGACGCATTCAGAGACAGCAGATTATGCGAAGACGCATTGTCAACCATGACGCAGATGCTCCGCCCCTCAGCCATGCAACACGCATTCACGTGCTCGAAAAAAACCGTGAATATATGGGGTGGAGAAATTGCAAACACAAATACCTCGCGTAAATATAATGAATGCATGGAAGGGGGCGTTTACGAAAAATTGCCGAGACGTACCTTCGCCGTCATCCATCCATTTGAGTTAGCCCGCCAGTAGCAATACTTGGCGGGATTAAAGTTCTCCTGGGCGAAGCTTCTCGGGCAGATGGCAATGCAGAATCAACGGCTGGAAAATCTTCGAGCCATCCGCATTCACCGTCAGACGATCTTTAGGCATCTTGGTGCCGGGTGTCGCCTCGGTGCAGTGTGAGTGGTCCGGTAGCGCGACCCAATACACGCAGGTCTTGTCGAATTTGAAGAGGTCTTCCGGGCGCAGACCGAGTGCCTCGCACAGCCGCGGGAAATGGAGCTTCGCGGAAAGGGCCGCCTCGCCAGAGAGCTTCCGCCACTTCACCCCGAGTCGCTTCATCGCCTTCTGCACCCAGCCGTAACTCGCTTTGAAATCTTTGTGTACCCCGCACTCAGGCGCAAGGGCGAGCACGCGTTGCTGGATGAGGCCCATCGAGATTGGGAGCCCCGCGTTGTTGACTGCTCGAATCCACGTCCGAAGACAGTCTTCCAGGTCGGGCCAGAAAGCATTTCGGAGTTGCTTGTGCTTCGTGCTTTCTGGTCCTAGGGCCCTCCAGCGTCTTTCGACTCGGACAATTTGAGAGACTGTGCTGCGGTCTGGGAACAATCCGAACCTGGTGCGGCACCACTGCACCAAGTCGAAGAGGCGTAGGGTCTGGTGTTTGGAGGCATAATCGCATATGGTGATTTTCTGTGCCACTGTGAATGCGACACGATGGATGCGCGCCATCAAGATGATAGGGTTTGTCGCGCTGGACAGTCGGCTGGCGTGTCTTTGTACCCCTGCGTGACGGGGTTACAATGGGGTGGTGTCCTCCACATCGGATTTCCGCCCGCTACTGCATTTATTGGAATTGCCCATGTTGACGGATTTCGAGGAATCACGACGGATGTCGTGAACCTAGCTGGAGTGCATCGATTGGTTCCGAGGTAATGCCAGCGTCTATTCGGGATCATTTGGATCATTTTCGTATCAATGCGTCGGGTGAGGGGGGACGAGCGAGTCGTTCAGCTCGTCAACCACTGGCATGCGTTGTTGACCATAATTCTGCAAATGAACCACAATGCGACTTTTATTCAGTACGAGTATACAATTGGTGGAACACCGTTCAGGCTGCGTATATGGGAGTTGCACATACCGAATCATTGGCCGGTGCGAATGTTTGCCTTAGGGGTCGTTGCACTAGTCGAGGCTGACCTATACAACACCCAGGGTGTTCCTTCAGACGTCCTCCTTGTCACGAGAGCTAGGTAGCTAGGGACGGTAGGAATCCATGAAATGGCGTGAGGGTTTAGCTAGGAGAAAGTTGACGAGAGAAAAGAGATCGAGAATAGAAGAGAGAGGGATACAAGGAGGGGGGTTGTACCATCTACAGTAGGTTTCAGTAACACCTACCAAGCCTACCAATTATATGTTACGAAACTAGGTTAGCTAGGATGGTAGGGCAGCCATGGAATGGCGAGGGGTTTTGAAGGTTGAGAGCTAGGGGGCCAAGTTTGACGAGAGAAAAGAGGAGGAACTAGAAAGAGAGAGGGATATAAGGAGGGGATTTTACCCTCTACAGTATAGTTCGGTAACCTACCAAGCCTAACAATTATATAACACAATATATAATTTAACATTATATAACAAAATATATCATTTAACACTCCTGTCCCCCTGAGTATCAAATTGAGGGTTTCGCTGGGCTGCAGGCGAAGGGGGGAGCGGAGGGTGCGGAGTGGAACTAGAGCGGGGTTTGAACAGTGCGCGCATATATGGGGAAGCACATCAAATGTGGTGCGAAGTCTGTGCGCGCAGGTGTTCCCCTAAAGCACCGCGCACGCCCACGCTCCTGGGTGCTGTTTGACAGGAGGGGCGGGCCAGCCCCAGGATTGGCCCAAGTCGCTCAGATTTGGGGTTTCCGTTGAGTCAAGAGTCAAGACACCTCACATTCCGCAAGCGAATCAGGTGAAAATTGCTTGGGACTTGTGCCTAAAGCGGGCGAACACTATTTCCAGAATAAACTTTTCGATTCTCCTACACTCGTATGAAGTACGTACAAGTGTTCTACTCATAAAAAGTATGAAGAGCCTACTAGGGGCTCATCATCATTAGCTGTTGTGTTGCCCACCATTGCCGAAGGGTGGACAATGAGCATACACAGAATCTAAGGTTAGCTTGGGTCAGCATGATGCCACACTGCGATCGCGTGAGAAGCGTCCCCGCACCAATCAGAGGGCGGCTTGCATGAGGGGCGTCTGTGCGGTGATGCTGATGTCACCATAGGGCTCCGTCTGCTGCACTTGGATGTAGTCCCTCGTCTTCAGCACCTGATGGACAACAGGTGTAGGGTTTACATCAGGGTTCAGCCGGACAGGATGTGTGCAGAGCAGGGTTTAGGGCACGTGGGAGAGCAGAGACAAAGAAACGAACAGCAGCAGCTGCAAACACACAGCCAACAGCAGCTAAACCCTAGCTAACCAGCATGGGCCATGGCTTCAAACACGCAGCCAGCATCCAATCCTAGCTTCAGCAGCTAAACCCCAGCTTCAGCAGCTAAACCCTAGCTTCAGCAGCTAAACCCTAGCTTACCAGCATGGGCCATGGCCATGCACTGCACTCACCAGAGTCTCAAAGAACATGCGAGCGGCCTCTCGTCTCGGCCGCCCCTTCACCACCGCCAGCAGCGACACCGACGGCTGCGATCGCACCGACTCCACCCCTGCTGAAAATCCCTCCATCCCTTCTGTCCCCAGTCCTGCTGCCGCTGCCGCTGCTCCTCCTCCCTCCCCCGCTAGCGCCTGCTGCTCTGCCAGCGCGGTCAGTGAGTGTTGCAGGAACTTGGCCGCTCCTCTGTGATGACAGAGAGGGAAGGAAGGAACCCGGAGGGAAGGGTGGGAATGAGTGCGGTGAGAGCGTGAGGGTTCCAGTCTTCTCTTTCCTTATAACCCCATGCACTTTCCCCCCTATCATAATTTAACCCATACGTACGTACCCTCCCCATTCCTCCAGCTGCTATGCCAGCTCTCCCTCACTCGGAACCTCCTGATCTATTCAACCCAAAACGCTTCACCTCACCTCGTGCACCAGGGCCCAGTTCGCGAGCCCTGACCGTCCCACGGAACAAGGAGCGAACATACAGTGCAAACGGACGTAACCGTAGCTAACGGAAAACGAACCTCGGGCAACTCACAACAAACTAACCACGTGCCTGTTGCTAACCCCCAAAAGCCCTGTCTTCCCCTTGTCAATTGACCCCAAATTGACCCCAAACCCACTCAACCGTCCCTCTCTCACCTCATGCATGACCCCTCTCCCCTCACCTGGTGCGCCAGCTCCAGCTGCCGAAGTCATCTGCCGGGCCCTCTCCTGCTGTTGCTGGCTTGCGCTTGCCGGCGGCTGAGGTATCCCAATCGTCCACGTCTGGAGGGAAGGGAGGAGAGGAAGATCAGGATGAAAGATACTGGAAAATCGCAAGTCAACACACGAACACACACACTCATGCACACACACACCCCACCCATTCTCTAAACCTTCCTGTCATCCCCACCCCACCACCCCTCACCTTTGTCCCCCCCGTCTCTAAGGAAGTAGAAGCTCTCCTCTGACACATGCAGCTGCGCAGAGCAAGGGGAAAGGAATGCCAGGGACGTTAGAACGACCGCTATTCAAATTCAACACGAGAAAAAGACGCCATTCTCACAATTCCAAGAGAAGGAGAAAGACAGACGCAGACAAGCGAGACAAGGCGAGCGTTTGGAAGAGGAGCAGTTACAGCGTGAGGTAGAGCAAGGGTGAAATAGGAGAGGTGTGAGAGATGCTGGTTCTCCAAACAAACAGCCACACGTTTCAACTCAGTGTTGCCGAGTTAAAACGTATGGCTGTTCGTTTGGGAACTTACCACTGTGCATCTCCCACAACTCTCCCGTGTCCCCCTTGCCCCGCCTCAGGCTGTAATTGCTCCTCTTCCGCCTATGGCAGCATGGCGTGAATCACTTACGGCAGCTAGGGTGGCCTCCCTCCCCCTCTCCTCTGCTGTCGCCTCCCCTCTGCTTCCCTCTGCCTCCTCCTCCGCGCCCTCCTCTGGTTCCCCCTCTGCTTCTCCCATGAACCCGGCATCAGCAGGGGGGAAGTACGGCTCAGTGGCGGGAGTAGCGCCAGCAGGAGGGGCCGCAGCAGGAGAGGACTCCGCCTCTGTAGCACGAGCATCAGCAGCATCAGCAGCATGACCATCGGCAGCAGCAGCAGCAGCAGCAGCAGTGTCAGCCGCTGCTCCTGCAGCTGCCTCTGCCACACCTGCTGCTTCCTCCTCCTCACTAGCAGCAGAGGGCGAGGGAGCAACGGCAGGAGAGGCAGGGGTGAAGGGCGTGGGGGGCACTGGAGGGACGCCAGGAGACCCAGCGCTGTCCGGGACAGCATGGGGCCGGAGGACCCACTCCACCCCCTCCCCTCCATCACCCGTAGCTTCTGCCCCTGCAGCAGCACCAGGCGTCAACTGATCAGCTCCAGCAGCAGCACCTGCAGCTGCGTCCATACTCGGTTCACGGATCTCAGCTTCTTCCTCTGCTTGCACTGCTGCTCTCCCCCCTTCCTGCTGCCCCCTGGCCGCCTCTACCTCCTCCTCCTCCTCCGCCCTCTCCGCTCCTCTGTCCCCCACTCCTCCTCTCTCCCCCCTCTCCATCTCCACTCCTCTCTCCACCCCTCCTGCACTCACTTCCCTCTCCACCTCCTCTTCCCCACGTCTTCTCTCCACTCCCATCCCCTCCTCCCCTTCTCTTCCCAAATCAGCACCCTCCTCCCTCGCCTCCTCTCCCTCACCTACCATCCCCTCCTCTCTCCTCCGCTTCCTACCACTTTCCCCAGGCCTCTTCGGAAGGCTTGGCGGAGCCTCGGAAAAGAACTGGGCAAGGAAAGGTCCCAGACCCGCTGCATGCTCCCCTTCGGCTTCAGCAGCAGCAGCGGCACCAGCAGCAGCAGCAGCGGCACCAGCAGCAGCAGCAGCGGCACCAGCAGCAGCAGCGGCTGTAGCAGACCCTCTCAGCTCTGCACCGGCTACTGACCCTAGCACAGCTCCCTGTGCTACAAACCCATCCGCTGCTGCAACTCCGTCTGCTGCCCCACCCGCTACAGCCGCTACAGCATGAGCTACAGCCGGCTCCTGCAGGCCCTCCACACCCGACATGGACCAATGCAGCGCCGCCAGCTGTACCGGTGTGTGCGGCGCTCTGCGGCGCTTCCTCACGAGGTCGTCAGGGGAGATTAGCTGCTGGCGGATGGTGCTGGTGAGTAGGGCAGGCAGGGAGAGGGAAAAGGGAAGGGAGAGGGTAAAGGGAAGGGAGAGGTTAAAGGAAGGCAGAGCTTAGGCGCTTCCTCACCAGGGCGTCAGGCGAGATGAACTGCTGGCGGATGGTGCTGGGAAGTGACGACAGGGTGGGGGTAAAGGGAAGGGAGAGGGGTTAGGCGCTTTTGCACCTGGCCCTGAGGGAGATGAGCTGACAGCGTCTGGTGCTGGTGGGAAAGGCAAGGAAAGGGAAAAGGGGCGAGGAAGGGCAAGGCGCTTTCTGAAGGCTGTCACGAAGGATGAGCTGCTGGCAAACGGTGCGTGGGAGGGAGAGACAAACTCAGAAGGAAGCACATTGAGAACGGCTGGCCCTGGCCTTTTCAGTCGTCCAGGGGACGAGGAGAGTGCTTTTGAGCCACGAGACAGGTGGAGGGAGGATGTGGAGAGTGCTTTAGAGTCGACTCAAAGGCGTACTCAGCTCAGAGGGGAGCACTGTGAGCGGGTAAACGACTGTCCGTGGTGCATTCACCCGACCAGGGTCCCAGCAAGAAGCAACAGGTGAGGGGAGGATGCGGAGGAGGACATACTCAGAAGGAATCACAGTCAGCGAGTCAACAACAGTCCCTGCCTCCCCTGCTGCTGCTGCTCGTTTCCTCTTTGCCTGCACTCGCTTCGGTGGCCTAGGAGGCAGGCCCGCCCGAGCCTCGTCCGCAGGTTCGGCAGCCGCAGCAGGCTCGGCAGCTGCAGCGGGTTGCTCAGGCCTGGCCCATTCCTCGTGCGTTGGTGTGGGCGTGGGCGCGAGAGCAAAGTCTGGCGTGGGAATGGCTGGGGAAGAGGGGAGTTGGAAGGCATAGAGGACATGGGGAGGACATGGGGGAAAAGGAGGGGAGAGTGGTGAATGAGGAGAATCAATCAGACAGTCTTGACAGAGTGAACCACATGCAACTTGTTGGTGAACAGTTTCCACACAAAAAAAGAGACAAAAAAAGGGTGAGAGAGAGAGAGAGAGAGAGAGAGAGAGAGAGAGAGAGAGAGAGAGAGAGAGAGAGAGAGAGAGAGAGAGAGAGATAGATAGATAGAGAGAGAGAGAGAGAGAGAGAGAGAGAAGTAATGAAACCCCTTCACTCATCAGCGCTACCAACCTCCTCCCTCTTTCTCCCCATCCTCTTACCATGCATGCCCACCTCCTCCCTCTTTCTCCCCATCCTCTCTTACCACGCATGCCCACAGACGTCTAGTTTTGAGGCGCCTCAAAACAATCCTCTTACCATGCATGCCCACAGACGGAGTGGCAAACCCCACGGATCCGCCAGGGGTGGCCAGCCCGCCCACGCGCCCTCCCTCCTCTCCCCCCCTTCTCTCCTCTCCCCCCTCCTCCTCCACCACTTCCGCTCTTGGAGTGCCTGGCACTGCCCCCTTGCCCGGTTCCCCCACAGCAGCAGCAGCAGCAGCAGCTTCAGCGGCATCTAGGCTCCTGGCCTCACGGTCAAAAGGCACTGCCTCCGCTCGCCTCACCTCCACCTCAGGTATCCCCTCCTCCCCTTCCGCCCCCTCCGCCTCTCCCTGTGCTGCACCCGCCCCGCCCTCCGCCCCTTCCACTGCTCCTCCCTCTGCCTCCTCTACTGCGGTTGCGCCTGCTTCTCTCTCGACTGCTGCTGCTGCTGCTGCTGCTGCTGCTGCTGCTGCTGGTGCTTCCCCCCCCCCTGATTCTCCCGCCTCCCTTCCTGCTGCTACTTCCGCCTCCTCTGCTGCTTCCACTGCCTGCGTCGCCTCCACTGCCTCATCCCCCACCGCTCTGCCTCCCTCTGCACCCACGCCCACATCACCCACACCCATCCCCATCCCAAACTCCATGTCCAGGGCCATGGGCTCCATAAGCCCCGCCTCTGGCTCGTACCCCGCCATGCCCCCTTCTTCCCCCGCCCCCCCTTCCTCCGCCATCCCCTCCCCTTCTCGTGCCCTCGCCCTCTCCTCTGCCACCTCCTCCGCCCCCTTCCCCTCGTCCCCTCCCGCCTCCCCCGCCTGTCGCCCCTCCCCCGCCACGTCGTGCGGCAGCCACGGCTCCCCGTCCTCCTCTCCCTCCTCCACCAGCCGCATCACCGCACCCTCCTCGACCAAAGCAAATTGCTCTGAACAAGTTTAAAGCAGAGAGGTACAGGGGCGAGGCACAGGGGCGAGGCACAGGGGCGAGGTGTGAAGAAAGAGGTGGAAAATATGAGACGCCTTCAACCCTCCTCCACCAGCCGCATCACCGCACCCTCTTCGACCAACGCGAATTGCATCCGCTGCTTGCATGCATGGCATTGTTTGCACGCACGCACACCACCGCTCACCATCCAGGCGGTACTGCGAGCCGAACGCGTAGCCATCGTCCACAGGTGGCGGCTCAGGCAGGGTGATCTGCTCCCTGGTCGTCAGACTCTTGTCCACCGCCCTGCCATGGCGCCACCGACAGACATGGGGAAAGGGACAGATTACAATAAAGGCAGACAATGGAAGCACATTAAAGCGCACGACACACGATACTCCCACGAGCTCCGCACTCTCTTCTCCTCACTCTTGGTGTCTCCCTTCCCCCGGCTGCCCGGCTGCACCTCCAAGGTAACTTCTGAGTCGACTCAAAAGTCTCGTGGCCACTCACTTCCCCCGGCTGCACCTCCAAGACAACCCCCCGACCCCCCTCCCCATCAGGAAAAGCCAGCAGCTCATGCCCAGGAGCAGCATGCCAGCAGCAGTATGCGAGAGCATTTCAAACTGCTCTCGCATACTCGCATCCTCATGCCCACACTCCCTTCCTCTCACCCCGGCTGCAGCTCGAACACCCCATCGGGCAGCGCCAGCAGCTCCTCGAGCTCGAACTGCTCGGGCAGCGTGATCGCGTGGAACGACGCCGTGGCTGCTTCTGGCGGCAGGTCCACTGCTGCCCGCGCCAGCACCTGGCGACGGGCAAAGGGGCACGGACGCGGTACACAGAGTGCAAGTGGGATACAGAATACACAAGCAGGTAGGCACGAAGGGAAAAAGGGGTTTTTTTTTCTTCTTTTAATCTAGAAAATACTAACGAAGCCACGGGGTTAACGATTAATGCGGAGTGTGCGTACCTGCTTCATGCGCAGCACCGCATCGGAGCAATCCGCGTACAGATAGCCCACCTGGGGAAGGCGGAAGAAGGGCAGGAAGGCGGAAGAAGGGCAAGAAGGCGGAAGAAGGGCAGGAAGGAGGACGAAGGGCAGGAAGGCGGAAGAAGGGCAGGAAGGAGGACGAAGGGCAGGAAGGCGGAAGAAGGGCAAGAAGGCGGAAGAAGGGCAGGAAGAGGCGGAACCAAACAGAGTTAATCAAGATGTATCCTATCGACGCACCGCGCGCAGAAACCATCATGGCTGACGATGCGACGTGCTTAATCTGATGAGCGCGCACGACACGCGACGGTACGAGCCAACTGGAAATAAGAGTCAGCGGAGTGAGTATCAGCTAAGAGTGAGCGTACCTTCCGCGAGTATATGCGCACGACGCCCAGCAGCAGATGACCCGACAGTCGCAGCGCGATGGGCACCTCGGGGTGAAGAATGGTGTCTGGGCGGGAGGGGGGAGGTAGGGGAACGCTAGAGTGTTACAAGTAGACAAACAAGAGTAACATAAGTAACATTTAGCCCGACAGTCGCAGCGCGATGGGCACCTCCGGGTGAAGAGTGGTGTCTGGGGGGACAGCAGCGTGAAGAACGGTAGTTTGTGTAACAGTTACAAAAACCAGGAGGGTTAAGGGGACAGCGGCGGAAGCCTTCTGAGCTTTCGAACACAGACAACTGAACCAGCAAACATTTATAACGCTTATTATTGAGGCGCCTAAAAAATGTAACGCCTAAAACAACTTACGCGGTGAGGCGCGAGCAGTAAACTCTCGAACTCACCGGCGGTCTGCAGGATGTCGGGCACGAATATGATCCAGTTCGTCCTGATACTATTCTGAGACGGCATAAAAAACGCTTAATCTCACCGATGGGGTGTTGTTGAGAATTCTCAAAAACACTCAGCGGGATGTCGGTTTCGAATATCCACTTCTTCCCGATACTATTCTGGGACGGAATGGGAAGAGCTTTAACTCACCGACGGTCTGAGGGATGTCGGTTTCGAAGATCTGGTTCTTCCTGAGCTTACGCTCGAGATGCGCCGCGATCCATATCGGGCCCAGCGCGCCCTTCTTCGACAAAAAGAGCTGCGAAAAAAACATCGCGACAGGCTACGACGACGGCGACGGCGACGACTGCGAGCGCTACGGCGACGGCGACGGCGACGGAAGAAATGCAGCGATCGGAGCAAAGACTAATGTGCGCCGACGACGGAAAGAAAGGCGAACGCAGCTGGTAGTAGCAGAAGAAAGGCTGAACTATGGACAGGATCGAAAACGTCAACTCCGAATACGAGCTGACAGTGCTCGGACCCTAGAAAACGCTCGCTAAGATAATAAATCTGGTGATAAGCATGGCGATTCTTTATTCTCCGAGTCAAAACACCGACCTATCCCTCAATTTTTCAAGGAGTATTGTGAACTTGCTGAAGCAAAACGCGCCTCCTAGTCCCTACGTCCCAGCTCCCTACCCGCTGAAATAGCTCTCTAACGTCTCTCTGCCCATATACGGTGTTCCTCTGCTTCGCCATTTCTTGCGAGCGCCCTTCACGCCTTTCGCTACCTTCCGCAAAACCAAACCCAGCAATGTCCGAGTCAAAACGGTAAACTTTGGTTTGTAAAGTTTTGCCGGTTTATAGAGCGGTTCTGTTAGTTTTCTACTTTCAAGTGCCTTCCGCCTCACGAGACCTGGAAAGGGAAGGGAAGGGAGCGCAAGGGGGACGTGCGCGCGGGAGCGGAGAACAAAAGGAGGTTTGTCGCTCGTGTGCTTGACGCCATCTTGCTGCAGCGCGCACGATCGGGGGCGGGTGAACGGGGGAATATCGGCGGTGCGCAGAGTAGCCTCTGCTGTGGGCTACGTGTACACGCTGCATGCTGCGCGCCTGGTGCCCTGCGCGAGGTCGTCCGCCCGCCACGTAGCCACAAGCAGCCGAGTTCGGAGTTTCAAATTGCTCCGAGACTGGAATACGCGTTTCGGAACTCTTCGGTAAGATATTTCTATATAAAACCGTGAGCTCTACATATATCGACCAAAACTCCTTCCGATTAAGTCCTGTAACCTATGTTCACTCTTACCTCGAAAACTGCGTTCGTGCGCGTTACTGTTGCCTGGTTGGCTTTCGTCTACCTGCGTCAAGGCCTAGAATTGCCCATGGTCCAAGTTCTTCCAATCCCACCGCCACTCTTCCCCTTCCCCCTCACCTCCTCTCCTCCAGCACCTCCGCGCCCCCCCCCAGCCACCAACCAACCAAGCCTTGGCTGGTGGTTGAGGGCGTGTCAGAAGTGTTCACCCCATTACGGTGCAGTGAGTTTCTTTGCGTTTCGTTGCAGATGTAAAGCCGTTGGGTAGGGTTTTTAGCGAAAATGAACGCTCATGACACGCGCTGAGTTGTGTTCGTTCGACCAACAAGCCAAGCTTGCGGCTTGCCTTGCCTTCTCGCCCAGCCGCCTCTTGTCGGATCGGCGGCGGTGCCTCTTGACCGTGCAGTGAGAAGACTCCTCCCGACCCTCCGCCTCGACGTCTCTATCCTCCTGGGCTTCATCCTGACCTCCATTGTTGTAGCCTGCTGCCCCTCGTTCTCGCAGCTTGCTTTCAGTGAACGACTATATTTCCTAACCATTCACGATGAGGGGGATTCCGTGAAGCGCCCTTACAGGTTTATTCTACGCTGCACATCGTGACGAATGGCTCGCCGGTCGAGCGGTTCCGCTGTGTTCCCTGCACCCTTTCGAAATTACGAGCCAATCGAATCAGACTGTCAAAAGCAGACTCCATTCACAGTATTATCGCCGTCTTCTGTAATGGCTGAACAGAATCGATCAGGTTTGTCGAAGCGCTCACACTCCCGTAGTCGCCATAAGTCAAGTTGCTGTCAGAACCATCGCCGCAGGAACATTCGTTACAAGAACAGCTGCATGCTGTCACAAAAACCGCCTCTTTCATCTAGTTCTCCGGGAGCGCATGTAGGACCACAGCTTCTTATTCTGCTGCTGACTGGATTGTTAGTCCCACCCGCGGTTCGCGCTAGCGACGATTTTAAGTACCGGGCGACGAAGGCGGCTGACGCGAGCGGAGCGGCGGCGCATAAAGCCGGGCCGTCTCAGATAGCTCCCGTTCCGTTGACGCTTCTGCCGGACAACCCATTCGGCGCCAAATGCCTCGACGGCAGGTAGGTAACCTTTGCTGTAATCCGTGTGTAATGAGTCGACTCAAAAATCGACTCATCACACATAGGTAACCTTTGCTGTGAGCGCCTCAGTTCACAATGCGCGGGGCCGTCTCAGATAGCCCCCGTTTCGTTGACTCTCCTGCCGGACAATCCCTTCGGAGCCAAATGCCTCCACGGCAGGTAGGTAGCTTGGTGACTGTAGAGCTTCGTTTTGGTAACAAACAGGGTTATTTACTAGTCACCAGCGCGGTAATCGGGCCAGGTTACCTCTCTGGCTTACAATGAGCGCCTGTACCATGTAGCAAAGTGACCCGCTTTTCCTGCTCGCTCCCCGGACCCGGACTCTCCCCTCCCCCTCCTCCCCCCACCCCTACTCCCTCCCTCCCCACTCGTTCCGGATCCGTCTCTCCCTCCGCCCTTCCTACCCTCCTCCCAGCCCCCCCGGGTACTACCTCCGCCCTGCGCGCGCGTCGCAGAGCCGCTTCTGGCACATCCATCTGCCGGGGGGCGGGTGGTGCACCACGGAGGACAGCTGCGCGTACCGCGCGGGGAGAAGGCTGGGGTCGTCGCACCTGTGGGCCCCGGAAATTAATGTGCGTGTATGGGAGGGGGGAGAGAGGCGGGGAGGGGGGAGAGCGGGGGGGAGGGGGGAGGGGGAGGGGGAGGGGTTGGTAGGAAGGGGATGAGGGGGTGCGTTCTCGTCTCCCGCATATATGTGGCAGGCAGCCCTGCATTCTCAACAATTCAATTCTCCGTGAACCCGTTATCCTTCCCATATCCCATTACCCCTTTCCTCCTCCCCTTGACCACATCTCCTCCTCCACTTGACTGCATATTCTCCTCCTCTTGATGGCAGTGTGCTGCGATGGCGGGGGGACCTGGAGTTCGGGTTGAAGCGATCCGATTCCCCGTCGACCCGTGTGCACCTCCTGCCCCCTGCTCCCGTCCCCCCAGCCAATGTGGCTTTTGAGGCGCCTCAAAAGTCAACCCGTGTGCACCCCCCCCCCCCTGCTCCCGTCCCCCCAGCCCATGTGGCTGCCCGGCATTCTGAGCGCGAATCCCAATGTGAACCCCGGGTTTGGCGAGTGGAACATGGCGATGGCGGTGTATTGTGACGGGGGGGGTTACGTGGGGCGGCGTGGGGAGGTCGCTGTTGCGGGCAACAGAACACTGTTCATGGATGGGTGGAAGATCGTCATGGCCATTCTGGATGGTGCGTACCGTGGTTGAGCATCTTTTACAGCGTAACTCAACACTAGAACATGATTTTGCAGGGACATGGCAACAGAACACTGTTCATGGGCGGATGTGAGATTGTCATGGCTGGTGCGTCCTCCCACTCCCACCCGTTGCCTTTGTCATTTTAAAGACACGGCTGAATTTTGGAGTGCTCCCTCATCCAGTCTCTCCTTTGTCTTCCTCCCTCCCCCCTCCTCTCACTCACAAACTCACACTCCCTCACATACACATTCACAAATATACGCCTCACCCCCCAAACCCAACCATCCCCGCTCCCCTGCCCCTCCCCAGATCTATCATCCAGGGGTCTAATGGCAGCCCAACAGGTGCTAGTAACGGGAGAGTCAGCGGGGGGCCAGGCTGTGGTCAACCTGTGTGACTATATCGCAGCCTACCTTTCCTTCGCCAATGTCAAGTGCCTCGCTGATGGGGCCTTCTTTATTGGTGCGTGACACACATGCAGTACACACATGCAGTGCACACATGCAGTGCACATGCAGTGCACACATGCAGTGCACACATGCAGTGCACCCATGCAGTGCACCCATGCAGTGCACACATGCACCTCATCTCATTCCCCCCCCAACCTGCCCACCCCCACACGCAACCCCTCAACCGTCACTGGATGCATGCTTCTATCATCCACATGTGCTACCATCCCCCACCAATGCTGCATGTGAATCTCACCCTCATCTCCCCCCCCCCCCCCCCTCTCCCATTGCCCCCACGCTGCCTGCCATCAGACACACCCGACAGGAGGGGCCGTTCCTTTTTCCGAGAAATAGCAGAGAATGCGACCCAGCTGCACCAGATGTTCAACCCCAAGTGCAACCAAGGTGCGTGGGTGCTCTGCAGGTGAACCTTTGTATCAGGTATCTGATTATCTGATTTGAAACCTGAGTCGAAGTTTGGGACAATGTAAGCGACTAAGCTGCACCAGGTGTTCAGTAGCTTCTTTCGCTCCTATTTAACACGCTTAGATCAACTGAACCTTACTCCATGTCGATTCCCTCTCCCCCCTTCATCTCCTCTCTCCCCCCCCCACTTCCCCCCCTTTCTTCTTTTGTGCCCTCTGCAGCTCTCCCAGCTGAAGCCCAGTGGCGCTGCTTCTTCCCCCAGTACTCCCTCACTTACGTCACCTCCGATATATTCATCCTCAACACCATCCTCGACCCCATAGCGCTCATGATCGGCAACCAGCTGCCCTTCGACAAGACCCACGCCACCCAGTGCCTCTTTGACATCCGCTGGGGCGCAGGGGGAGGTGCGGGCCTGTGGGGCAGAGGGGGAGGTTTCTGGGCAGGAGGCACTGGGGGAGCGGGGGGTGGGGCGGGGTTGGGGGGAGGCGGGGGAGGTTTTAGGGGGGGGGAGGTACGACCGGGGGCGGTGGAACTTGGGGAGGGAGTGCTAAGACACCCAGGCAAAAGATGCTGGGTGGTGATGGGGGCGCTGTTTTCACGAGTGTTGAGCTGGGTGGTAGCGATTATAACGAAGCGTTTCTGGGAAGTGGTTACAGTGAAGCTGGTTTGGGTGGTGCTGACATTGGCATACAGGACAGCAGCAGCAGCAGCAGCAGCCCACATGTACCACCTGGGGCAAGCCACCGGGATGAAATGAGAGGAAGAGGCAGCACCAGGACTACTAGCAGCGTCAGCAGGGGCAGTGCCAGTGCCACCAGCACCAGAATTGCGAGCAGAAAGTCTGTCAGCAGCTTTGGCGTTGGTCAGAGCAAGAACGGCTACAATTCTAACAAGCGGCAGAAGCAAGTGCGGAACCAAATGCAGCAGCCGCTACAGCAGAAGCAGCAAGGAGAGGAGCAGCAACTGCAGCAGCAGCAGCAAGCCTGTAGTCCTAAAGAACGGACTGCAGTGCTGAACCATGGTTCCATAGTAACAACCTCGCTACAAAAATATGCCAGCGATTCAGCGGGCAATATCAGGGTGTTCCTTTTGAACGTTTCCGCACATGGGATTGGGTGCACGAGCTACTGGGCATCATTCACTTCTGATTGGATGCTCATGCCACTGAATGTTGCAGTGGCTAACTGGTTTGACGGATCTTGAGGGTGAAGCTATGCTCTATTTGTAATACGACCAGGGCTCAAATTTGAAGGGTATTTCACCCTGATTGCCCTTGCCAGCGGCCGCCTTTTCAGGATCACCCTGATTTTCAAAGGGTATTTTTTTTGTGACACTTTCTCTAAACGTGTAAGTTTATTTTTACCCTGCTGTAGCCAGAGTAAACCATGATCTACCCTGACCAGGCAGGGTGTTGCCGAAAACACCCTGAAACAGAAGCCTACAAGGTCTGCAGATTCGATTGTTGTCGAATCTGCCACGCGTGAAACCCCGCCAGCCATGCCCGCCCACTGGCAGTCAAGCCCCCCAGAATCGGCACGCGTGGCAGTGAATTCGTCGCGCTGTGGCAGCACTACTGCCAGCGGCGTGCCAGATGCAGTATGCGCTATGCATCGAGGCCACTTTCCCGCGTGGTCTCAAGGACAGCTGGGCATCGCATGCACCAGCGCAGCAACACCCGCGGCGCAAGGACAGTCTGCCATAGCAGGTTGACTTTGCCGCGCTGTGTGGTTTTCGTTCCCTATCACGAGACCATTCTTGGCCCATCGTCCTCATCCTCTTCTTCCCCCACCTTCTCTTCATACTTCCGCCCAACCCAGCCGAGCTGGGTCAACCATTCCCCTCGTTAGTTGTTACTCTATCGCTTCTACTACTCAGACATGGCCGTTTCCGAGAACGACGAGCCTGACGATGGCCATGTTGGTCATCGTGATGGCCTTAGCGTCCTCGGCGTTTTCCCCCTCGCTCAACCAGCAGTCGCGCCCTCGTTCAGCCAGCGTAAATCTTCCCCGCGCTCTCTGCAAATTCCTCAGCCCGCCCCACCACAGATTCCTAGATCCCTTTCTCCATCTCAACGGGGCATCGAGCCCATCGACGTTTCAGAGTCTGCCGATGCAGATGAGTCCCACCATCCCTCCGTGACAACCCCACCCTCCCCTACCTCCGAGACCGCCAAAAGGCCGCGACGGTCCGCATGGACGCAGTCGACCCTCTGGGGTGCGCCTCCGCCTCGCCGCCCAGCAAGCCCGCCTCCCGCGCGCCCTTCTCGCCCTGCCGGGCTTGCTGCCGACGCTCTGCCGACGACCGCTGCTGAGGCCGAGTATGCAGTAATAAAGAACCGTTTCGACAATGACTGGTCGAAACGTTTCCCCTGGCTGCGGCTACATCGAATGAAGAACGGACGACCTGCTCTCAAGTGCGCCACGTGCCTCAAACACGCCGACCCATGTGCGAACACGTCGTATGGCATCAAGGGTGAGGGTGGGCGTGATTTGCAGCTCGGCAGCATCCGCTCTCACATCGGCACCCGTGCGCACAAATCGGCGATCAAGGCGGAGGAGGATGCTGAGAAAGAGCGCGCGCGACAAGTGACGCTGACCCGTTGGCAGCGGACGGATCACCAGACGCGGCATCTTATTCGCATGCTGCACATCGCGTTGTTCATTTGCAGGCATGATGCGCCCATCGCGATGTTCATCCCCCTGTGCTGGTTCCTTGCGAAGGAAGGCCACCCCGATCTGCCGCCAGGTGGTGGGTACGGCGCCTACTACACAGAGTATGTTAAAACCTCGACAGTAGTTCTTGTGCTGTGCGATTTGCCAGTTGATGCTCACTGCTCGTCCTCCCTCCCCACGTGCACAAATTGTGGCCTTCTTGTATGGTACAAATGCCCTGCCGTCTGTCTCTCCTTGTTTCCGTGTCATGCAGTTATGGTTTCAAGGAGAGCATAGGGTCCATGTCGGAGTATCTGCAGGAGGAACAGCTGAAACACATTCGCGCCTCTCCCTACGTCGGCATCAGCATCGACGAGAGCACGGATCGCATCCACGGGAAACATCTCGTGCTCTACGCGACGTTTTTCAAGGGCAACACCGTGGCGACCGAGTTTGTCACACTTCTGAGTGTCGAGCGGACTGACGCGGCATCTCTGACTTCCTCCCTCTTGCACTACATCCAGGGAATTGGACTGGACCTGCAAAAGATCGTGGGCATCGCGACTGATGGAGCTTCCGTAATGACCGGCGAGCGGAGCGGAGTAGTGACCCGTCTGCGCGCACAAATCGAGCACCTCGTCTCGATTCACTGCATTGCCCATCGGTTTGTTGCGGTTCGACGGACGTATAAACTTTCGGATGAAATGCATGGTCATGCCTTATATTCCTGGAAGTAACATCAGCCTTTCTACTACTCTTCCCCTATCCTCCCACCCCGCCTTCAGGGAGGCGCTGGCGGCTAAGGACGCGGCTGCAGCCGTGCCCGAGCTAAGCATCATTGACCTTATCATACGGACACTGGCCGACATCCTTGGACGCAGTCACGTGCACTACACCCGCTTCATGGCGCTGCAGCTGATCTTCTGTCAGACGACCCTGGAACACCAGGGAATCCATGTCATCCGCTGGCTCTCCAGGGGCGAGGCGGTGAACCGCCTCGTGGACGTGCTCCCAGCCGCCATCTTGCTGCTACGCGAGCATGGGAGTGACTTGTATGAAGTCGTTACTTCGTTTAAGTTTCATTTTCTCCTGCGCTTCCTCGCCGACATTCTGACGGAGCTGAACATCCTCAACCAACGGTTTCAGCAGCGCCAGGTATGCATCACCGTGTCTGATCTGTTTAATATATCGCTACGCGTGTCTGACTCTCACCCCCCATGTTTGCCGACCGGTCCATGTGGTTTCCGGCGCAAACCATAGCACTGATGCGTGGTGCGTGTGCTATGCCCGCCCGTACAGGTTGACGTGACACTCGTGGCACATGTGGTTGAGCAAACCAAAATGCGGATCTCGGCGCGCTATCTTAGCTCTGGGCCTGGGCACGGCTTCGGCCATGGGGAGAAGCTCCATCTGCCGGAGTTCATCGCGGCGCATGCAGCTAAGGACAAGCGGGTGATGATGGCAGAGGGCGTCGACGGTGACGGAAACCCGCAGTCGTTCTCCTTCGAACTCCACGAGCGACCGCTGCCGGGCCAAGATTCTGACGGCGACGTGACAGCCTGCTTCGAGCTCTGCGTCAAGTATGCTCGCTCCGTCAACATGTTCCTCGACCGCCGCCTGAACGATCTGCGTAACCTGGAGGGGACTAAGTTGTTCCTGGACAAGACCTACCTGGATGACGACATCCTGCGCGTGGCGGCCTTCAAGAAGTGGCTGAAGCAGCTGGACAGCCTGTTTCGGCACAAGCTCCCAGGTAATCTAGAGCGCCTACTTCTCAACCATGGAGTCATGGTATGCTATGCAATGCAAACAGAATCGCTGCCTCTCAAGTCTCAACACTGAACCATTCCTCCCTCACCGCCCCGAACCCCTCTTGCAGGATTCAACTACAACAATGCAGTCACGGAGCTATGGATGTTCACATCCACCATGCACTCCCAGCATCATCATGAGGACTTCTTCCAGGCGCTGAGCAACACGCTGCGTGGCAGCAACTGGCAGCTCAGCTACCCCAACATCATGCTCATGTGGCAAGCTGTCGCCGTTCTCCCGCTGAGCACTGTCGACTGCGAGCGCGGTTTCTCCAAGCAGAACCTGATAAAGACATGGGCGCGGGGTAGCATAGGCGACATCACCCTCGGCCATCTCATACGGTGCTCCCTGCTGGACTATGACGTGGACTGGTTCGACGTAGTGGCCATATTTCGTGGAGAAAAGCCCCGCCGCACTATCCGAGACTTCACCGGCGCCATCCCCAGTTCGGCGCTGTTTGCTGAGCCAGAGAACGCAACACCCTCTGCTGCTCCCAGCTCAGTCGGGGGAGGGAATAGTGGGTCTGCAGAGTGAGCTATTAGTAGCGGGAGTATTAGTGACTGCCGTGAGACTCAGGGCGCATTCCTATGAATTAGGATCAGAATGAATAACATGCAATAGTAGTAGTAGTAGGTTATCTAGCTATGCATTGATAATGCTAGAGACAACGTGCTTGTATGCATTCGAGATTTGAAAGCACTCCAAAGTATGATAAAAGGGTGTTCAATTTTTTTCCCTGGCCAAACAGTGTACTCGATTTTTTTTTCAAATTTACCCTGATTTTCAAAGGGTGCCGAAATTTCCACCCTAGGAGGCAGGGCAATTTTTTTGAGGTACCCTGATTACCAAGGGTCCCCCTAAACCAATTTTGAGGCCTGAATACGACATACTGTATCCCATTTACCTGGAGGGGTTTTTTTGCCTCTATGGAGTACTGAAAGGTCTGAGGGGGACACCCTCTGACGCGTCTGCTCCGCATTGCCCGTGTACGGAACACGGGATCTGTACAGCGCTCAGGTTCAGATCATCAGCAGCAGCTCTCTCCACCACCCAAGCCTAGGTGGGCTCTTCGGAGTTTCGCCTCCCTCCCTCCATCTTGAGAGACGGGAGGACCCAAACATGCACCTCGAGGAAACATTCCTGAACAGCATTCCTCGGACCTGAACATGCACGTCCTAGTCCTTCCGCGAACCTTTCGACTTACGCTGCTGCTGCTGACGCACACCTGCCGTCAGCTTAGGGCCTAATTTAAAACCGTCGCGACCAAGTTGGCTGCAACTAGCCTCCCTTCTGAAACGCGCAGTTCAAACGGTTTGAGCGACAAGCATTCTCGTACTGTTGTAAAGGCTTGCGTGGCGGACACAAATCTGCCGCAGGAGCTTTTCCCTCAAACCTTCACGCCAGGATAACAACAAAAATGTCTTTCTAGAAACATTCTGCACGTGAACGGCGAGCATTTCCTCTAGAAGAGTGTGTGGAGTGGATGCAGCACGTCGAGCGAATCGTCTGTAAAACAGATGGGATGTCGTTCCACAGCATGTCGTGTCCATGATGCGAGCAACTCGTTCACGTGATGAGACGGCCATTTGCCAACTGCACGTCAGGAACATGGAGAACAAGTCGCACTAGCTTGTGATCGTTCGTGAGAGATGCCGTTTTCCGCATTTTGCTGCCACGGTATTGTAGACCGACTCACTTCCATTCCATTCAGATAGACCATGCAAGTTGGTCGACCAACCGTTTCTATCGAATTCCTGTTCAAACAGATGTTAGGTACTTACTCCTTCGTCGTAACGCGTCATGAAACGAGCAGATAGTCTCTCCTTGGTGCCTTTTGAGTGCACTCATGGGTCACTTACTCCTTGGCCAGGTTCTTGCTCAAAGGCTTCTTCAGGCCTTTGACCCGATCCGGCTTGCGTCTTCGTCTGATCGTTACCAGAATCATAGATTTGATTGCTGCACCTCGAAACCGTAGTTGCATGCGGGCATGACCCAGGCTAGCTGCTTGGCTGCTCCTTCCTGCTTGTGCAGTAGGGACCGAGGTCTCTTCTTTAAAAAAGTGCAAGGAGAAGCTCTCCTTGCATCGCACCGACCAGAGCCTCATAGGAGGATGGCTCGAGATAAACATGATGCTTCACACCATCTGCACAAGAGAAGCTCGCTTAGTAGAAAGCACTCGCTTGCAAAGGCGCATGACTTCCCGTCACCTTCTGGCTACGATCGCTCTTCATCCATCTTGACGATGCAATCCTCGCCGTGCATTCTCCTTCTTCCAGACGGAGCAGCTCGCCTCTACTGGGACCGGGTGACTGCAGGCCAGGTGCAGCAAGAGTACCCGGAATTCGTCGTCTGCGAGGAGTCAGATCCCGTGAATCCTCTTCAGCGTTCTGCTGTTCTTCAGCCTGGCAGCACCTGTTTTCTGGTTCCTTCGGCTCAAAGAAACCGGCGCACACAGCACGTACTATCATCGCCAAGGCAACTCAATGGACCTACAATGCTCCAACCAGCAAATGAGGAGCCGTTTTCCACAATACTGCGGCTCGCAAGTTCCGGAGATTTCCGGGAATCAGGAGTGACAGGGCTAGTAGTTACTGTAAATAATCGCAAGGACATGCTTCTCCCCGCCAGAAGGGCAAGATCGTTGAGCACCAGAGCAGCGCCCAGGAGGAGCAGATCGAGGCTAACTGCATCTTTCCAATATGTATGATCTGAACTGGAAATGATTGGAGCTACAGTGTGTAATGATTTAATATGCTGTACATTTTCGAGGTTTCATCCTATGATTTAGCAACTTGTACCCACATTTGCATCATTTAGTGATCAATTTTTGGATTCACTGCATTCATGCAAAAATGTGTTGATATTCCATCCAGCCATTTATGGCACGTAGGTACTATTAGTATTATAGGCAGCTATTGCTGCATATGAACCAATCTAATATTTGAGAAGGTATACCCCCCTCAAGCCTAGTAACCACCAATTGCTAGTTGCACCACTATAACCATCTTGATGCACCACTGGCCTTACCTTCCTTCCCAGCATCCTCGTTTCAAAACCATTTTCGCTGCCGCTTTGACATAAGCCCTCGATACCCCGAGGGCACAATCAGCCTCAACTCCAGCATTTCCTTGCACAATCTCAACACGTCTCTTCCTCCACTTCCTTTCCAACCACCCCCACCTTGCCCTCCATCCCCCCTTCCTCCATCCATACTGCTTTCTATCATCCCTGTAAGCCGCCCCACGATCCGAGCACTAGCTTCCACATGGCGCCCATTTGCCGGCCGGCTCCACAGGAGCACTGCCAGCTGGCGCTTGCGTTGGCGAGATGATGTGGCAACGCCCCATTGGTGGAAGAGATCGAGGCGTTGGTGAAGGGTGAAGCAATGGGCCATCCGCCGGGCTAGATACTCCCGCTCCTTCCTCAGCTCCTTCTCCCTGGAGGATCCGCATGGGGGAAACATATACCGGGGGCCAATGGGGCAAGTGGGGAAGATCCACCAGGGGAAAAATGGGGGAAAAATGGAGGATGTGGTGGCAGAAAGGAGGAGGCTGATACTAGGGGAAAATATACCAACGAAATGGAAGTCAAGACACACAAGCACCACTCACAGTACTTCGGAAAGATAACGCTTTTGCGACAGACCAGTCACCCGTGGACAAGCTCACCTTGCTGCCTTCCCTTCCTCCCCCGCGTGCCGCACAAGCCACTCCAGCCTCCGCCTCTCCACCTGCAGGTACAATCGATCCGACGGCTCTCCTTGCATCAGCACGAGGAACAGTTGCGTGCGACGGATGAGTGACACCTGGCAGCGGTCCCACAGCACCACCGTCTCCATAACCTCCTCCCTGAAGCCCCCTTCTGAAAACGGTGCGAAGGGGGAGAGTTGCCGTGGATGTTGATGGGGACGGGCGTTGGTGGGTGTGTCGATAGATGCTCCGGAGCTTGCTCGGTTCTGCTGTTTCCTTCCTTCTCTACTGCCCAGATCCCTTTCTTCTCCAACACTCGGTCTCCACCGCGTGTTAGCACCAACCTCTCGTCTTCCTCCCTGTGCCCTTCCCATCACTCCTCCGTCCTCCTCACAGCCCCAACCCCCCTCTTCCATTTCCCCTCCCTCCTCCCCATCTTCATCCTCCCCCTCCTCCTCCTCCTCCTCTCCCTCCTCCTCCCCCTCCTCCTCCATGTCATCCTCGTCCTCCTCCCCCAGTCTAGCGGCCTCCAGCTCGACCACCTGCTTCACGAGCAGCTGCTTCTGGTAGTGCAGCTTCGCCACTATCTCCTTCAGCTCGCTCACGTACGTGCGGATGCTCGCCACGTTCGCCTCTGCAGCTGACCGGAACAGGAACTCCATTCGCTGGAGGTCCTGGGAAGAGGAGCGCATCGTCATGCCAGAGGGCTCTACTAGGCATCCTATGTCGAACCCCATCCCGCCGGCTGCACTAACGTCAGTGGCAGCACCAGCAGCGGCAGCGGCAGCAGAAGCAGCAGCTTGAAGCTCCCTAACTATCCCTGCAGCGGGTGTTGCCTTTGTGGAGTCAACAGTGGTAGCCCCATCAGCAGCCGCAGCAGCGGCAGTTGAGGCTGAAGCTGATGCCCTCTTGTACCCAATTCTCTCCTCTTCCTTGGCATCATTCACAGTGAGCCTTGAGAGCTCTGCATGCAGCTGAAGGAGGCTGGCGGATTGCAGCGAATCCAGGTCGGAATGAGGTACGGAACCAGGACGTGCAGAGTCAGGAGATGCGGAATCAGGTTCACCTTCTGCTCCATCCCTGCGTGCAGGGGTCCCACCAGCTGCACTGCTTCCCATGCCATTCCCAGGGGCAGCAGCACTGGCATCCGCATCACCAGCACCACCAGCACCAACAGCACCACCAGCGCCACCAGCGCTACCGGTACCAGCAGCACCACCAGCGGCAGACAAGCAGCCTGACACAGGCTGGGAGGCAAGTGAGGGCGTGAGGAGGCCCGATATTTGGTGCGAGAGAGGAGTGAGGATGCCAGAGGCAGTGCGAGAGGAGAGGTTGGGAGTGAGAACGCCTGAGAGGTGGTGGTAAGAAGGGGCGAGAACACCGGAGACATGGCGAGAAGAGGAGCCAAGGAGGCCAGACAAGTGCTGGCTGGAGGGAGTGAGAAGCCCAGAGAGACCCGGTGTAACCAGGCCGGAAAGGCAGTAGTGACTAGCCGGAGTGTGAACGCCTCCATCAGATGGACTCTCACTATCCTGCCCCTGCCCCTGCCCCTGCCCCTGGGCATTCTGCCGCGCTCTCATTCGCTCCATCTCCCCCTGCAGTGCGCCCATAGCCCGGCCCACGTCGTCCCCCAGCGCGTCTTGCAGCTGCTCGAGCCTCTGGATCTCGTGCATCAGCGCCAGCACCTTGGCGCTCACTGCCTTGCGCTTGCGCCGCCTCTCCCGCGCGCAGTCCTCCGCCACCCACGCCTCCAGCGACTGCAGCGACACACTCTCACTCTCTCTGTGAGAGGAGTCTTTCTTGTTCCTGTTCCTCCCATGGGACTTCTCCTGCTGCTGCTGCCTCTCCCTCCTCAACTGACCTGCCCCTTGCTGCTGCGCCTCCTCCTCCTCCTCCTCCTCCTCCCCCTCGAATCTGCTCCATTGCGCTTCTCTCTCCCTCCCCCTCGCGCTCTCCTCCCATGTCATCCTTCCCCGTGCACGCGTTTGCTCCTCTCCCCTCGCCTCCATCCCCATACTGTTCCCACTAGAATGGTTGTTTCCAGCCATGACTGTCAGTGTGCTCTTGGCGGTTGCCTCGGCTGCAGGAAACGCAGCAGCAGCAGCAGCAGCAGCAGCAGCGGCGTGCAAGGGGGCATTTTTCTCCCTGTGCTGCCTGCTGGCTCTGGGGCGTCTGCTGAAGCTGCCAGGGAAGCACGTGGGCATGACGAGATCCAACGGCTGGGATGCTGGGAAGCAGGTCGGTGTGAAGCGATCCCAGCCGTCCGTCTCGTCATCAGATGATCCTGAGCCATTGTTGCTGGAGATGGGGTGCACCTGCAGCGCGAATAGGGAGACTCGATAGATGAGGCGCTAGCTCCTAGAAGGAGGAGGAAGGGAAAACTGACACTGGGAGGGTGGGAAATCGGACACTGGACGGGGAGAACTAGGACAGAAAGTGTCTGTAGAGTTAGCAGGAGCCCAGTAAGCGTCTGACCATCGCTCTTGCTGTCTGCCACACCTCCTGTCCCGTGCCCTCATAGCCCTCATAGATTGCCCTCATAGATTGCCCTCATAGATTGCCCTCATAGATTGCCCTCATAGATTGCCCTCATAGATTGCCCTCATAGATTGCCCTCATAGATTGCCCTCATAGATTGCCCTCATAGATTGCCCTCATAGATTGCCCTCATAGATTGCCCTCATAGATTGCCCTCATAGATTGCCCTCATAGATTGCCCTCATAGATTGCCCTCATAGATTGCCCTCATAGATTGCCCTCATAGATTGCCCAATGAGCCCCTCCCGCCTCAAAATTTCTTCCCCTCTCTCACCTTGCCACTCTGCCAAGCTGCCTGTGCTCTCCGCCTTGCATGGGAGCCCCTCTGGTAGCCAGCAGCGGCAGAGAGCGCCTGAGAGAGCTCCTGCACCCGCGCCAGCGCCTCGCCCTGCTGCCTGGCTGCCTGCGATAGCTGCTCCTCCAACTGCCGCGTTGGGGGGAGGAGTGGGGAGCAGTGGGGGATTGCATACATTGTTGAACAGAGTGAGCCCCTGCACCCGCGCCAGCTGCCTGGCGGCCTGCGATACCTGCTCCTCCAACTCCTGCGTTGGGGGGGGGAGTGGGGGTTTGATGCATCAGAGTCGACTTAACATACATGTAACCTCCTGTATGGCTCTGCCACCCTCGTGCCCGCCCTCTGCTGAGCTCCCTCCCTCCCTCACCATCACTCTTCCTCACGGCCTGCTCGTGGATCTTCCTCCAATGAGTGGGGATCTGTGGGATCCCACTCCCGTGTATCCTGTATCTCACCTGCTGCACCCGCACGGCCTGCTCGTGGATCTGCCCTCACCTGCTGCATCCGCACGGCCTGCTCGTGGAACTGCTCCCTGGAGGGCCGCAATCTCATCTCGCCCTCCAACCGCGCCACTTCCCTCTGCAGCTGCTCCACCAGCGCTCGGTCCGTCACCACCTGGCGGGATGGGGAGGGGGAGGGGGGGGAGGGAGAAGGGGTTGAGGGATCGGAAACAATGCTTCGCCCTCCAGCCGTGCCACCTCCCTCTGCAGCTGCTCCACCAGCACCCGGTCCGCCAGCACCTGGCGGGCGGGATTAGAACAGTGAGAGGTCAGGACGGCGGGGATCGGGGAGGATGAGATTAGGACGGAAGAGAGGGAGGCAGGAGTTGAGGGATTCGGAGCAAGGCCTGCCCTTCCTTAGCGCCACCTCCCTCGGAAGCTGCTCCACCAGCGCACCAGTGTGTGGGCCGTCACCACCTGGTGGGCGGGAAGGGTCGACGGGACGGAGAGGAGAGACGGATGACGAGCATGATGATGATAATGATCAACCTCTTCCCCAATGCATTGCTTGCTCACCAAATGGTCCGCTCACAACAATGCGGCCACTCGCCAAGCAGGCGGAATTGGTGACCTCCGTGGGCGCTCATGGTGAAGGCAAGAGTGTTCTTCCATTGTCCACCGCCCGTGTTGCTTGTAAGCCCCACAAGTTGCTTGCTTACCACGCGGAGCGGACCGCAGGCACACAGTCAACATGGGCTCACGGCGCCGCCACTCACCATGTTGACACACGCCGAGTTGGTGACCTCCTTGGCCCTCAGAGCGAACGCGAGCGTGTGCCTCTGCTGCTCACCGCCTCGTTCGCCCCATGCATTGCGTGCTCACCAGACGGACCACTCACACCAGCACAGCCACTCACCACGTTGACACACGCCGAGTTGGTGACCTCCTTGGCCCTCAGGGCGAACGCGAGCGTGTTGCGGGTCTGCTCCAGGTGCGTCCTCCCCGCGCTGATGGTGGTGATGATGGCCGTGCGCCCGTTGCCACCCAGCGACTGCTGCAGGATGCGCGTCAGCTTGGAGTCGCGGTACGGGATGTGCCCCGCCTTGGCCCTGCTGCCCATGCTGTTTGGTTTGACAGGGGGTATGGGAGAAGCAAAAATAGAAGGGAACTGATGGCTGTGCGTCCTGCGTCCGGTACGGGGAGTGCGCTGCCTTGGCCCTGCTGCCCGTGCTGCTTGATAAACAAACAGAGGAAACAGAGAAACAGAGAGTGTTGGACAGGGAGAGGGGAACCAAAATCGTGCGACAAATGTACATAGCCCCAACCTCGTCTCGTTGCTGCGTCGTTTCGTGACCGGTGCACTATACACTACACTGCATCTGCGTCCGCCGCATCTTGCAAGCGATGGAAGCTCATCTTGCGTCCTACCTACCTACCTCAGCTTGCGGATAACGGTAGCAAGAGTGAGCAGGCTCCTGTTGATGTGGCAGCCCTCCTTGAGGCGTGTGCCAGCCACGTGCGTCTGAGACGCCCTCTCACTGCCCGCCAGGTCCACAAAGTTCTGCTCCAGCCACATGGCGTTTTGCCATTGGAGGGGACGGGAGAGCAGCGGTCGGAGGGGGTGGAGAGGTAAAGGGGTGATCGGGAGGGAAGGGGACGTGAGGAATGCAGGGAGAGGTTGTGTGTGGGGGGGGGGGGAGGGGGTGGGTGGGGGGCGGGGGGGGGTTTCAGGGGATGGAGGAGAATTAGGATGTTATGGCGTAGCATGGCAAGAAAAGGTACATAGCGAGTCACTCACCAGGGAAGCGGAGAGCACTTGGGCCGCAGCAGCGTCTGCTGGCGCCGATGTGGCCGGTTGACGTGGTGAAAGGTGTGGCGCTGGTGGCATTGCACTGGGGCAGCTCTCCACAAGCTGCGAGAGGACATGAAGGGGGAAGAGGGGAGAAGAGCAGAGATGCACAGGGCGGAGACAAGGGAGATCAGTTGAGATGACCAGTTGAATGGAGTGTGAGCGCGCAGTGAGTAAGGTTACGTTTAGAGGCCGGAAGATGCACTCACCAAGCAGAAGCATACCGTCCACTGACAGCACTCACACACGCCACACTCACGCGCCACACACACAACAGACACACACACCACACAACACACACGCACCAAACACACGCGCCACACCCACCAGGCGAATGATCTGGTGCGATCTGGAGCTGGCGTCATTGAGCGACGTCTCGCCCACCTCCCTCTGCGCCGCACAGTGCACCAGCAGCCGCTCCAACTGCCCCTTGGACTCCACCTCCACCTCTGTCAAGCGCTCCACCACCGTGCCCCTCTGCGCGCACGGGAGGGGGGGAGAAAAGCAGGTTCATGCTTTGACTCCGCTGCTTACGCTGCTGTGAGGGTGACTCGCGCAGATTGGAGGACCATCAGTAATCGATTGGGCGGGTATCTTTGATTCCAATGACAGAACGACGTGTAAGGGCATCTCGGGATCATCAGGAGTCAAATGCAAGGGTGTCATGAGATGACAGAAGAGAAGCTTAAACTGTAAAGGCGTTGAGGGGATTGGAAAGGAAGAACATCGGATCATCCAAAATCTAGTGAGAGGGTACCTCGGGATCATCGAGGAGCCTGAGGGGCCCAGAGTCCGGGCTGAGAAGGTCCCTGACAATCTCGTTGTAGATCTCAATGGCTGACAGCTTCACCAGGAAGCTGCGATGCGGGTTCTGCTCAGTCATGGCCATCACACACGCACACATAGACACACACATTGTCACACACACGCACACATAGACACACACATTGTCACACACACGCAGACATAGACACACACATTGTCACACACACGCACACATAGACACACACATTGTCACACACACGCACACATAGACACACACATTGTCACACACACGCACACATAGACACACACATTGTCACACACACGCACACATAGACACACACATTGTCACACACGCACACATGCAAGTGCACACGCACACATGCAAGTGCACACGCACACATCAGGACAACTGACATTGCGAATGTCCATCAGGACACCTGACATTGTGAATGTCCACGAAGGCAACGGACATTGTCATTGCCCGTGAAATAACTCACGTTCTGGATGTGCATGAAGATGTCACACGCAGCGAGATCAGTGACCGCCTGCATGGTGTACGTCTTCCCGCTGCTTGTCATGCCATACGCGAAGATGGAGGCTGGCAAACACGTACAGAGGAACACACACGAAACAGAGATCAGTTGACAATGAACGCCTGAAACCCCCAACCAGCGTCAAAATCGACGAGGGGAGTGAACGACTCGATGGTGACAGCATCAAACTTCGCACCGTTGATTCCGGCCAGCGCTGACAGCACAATGTTCTTCGCTCCCTCCTCGTACACCCGACTTGACGGACAATCGGGGCCGAACGCACGGTCTGCAACATCACAAAAGGTAAGTCTTCAGTCACATTCGAGTGAGAAAAACGACATTGAAAAAGACACAAGGAGGTGACATAACAGAGCAATTACCAAAGGTGTAAGCCGCCGGATACGGCGAGCGCTCGGGAAGCGGCTGCAGGAAACGGAGCGTGCTGGACTCCTGGATCCGCCACACCACCTGATCCCCGCTCGCAGCCTCTTTTCTGTTCAGCGGTCGCACGCGGACCGACACGAAGATTTTCTCTGACTTGGCTTTGAGCGGAATGCTCGCTCTAGACGCCGGCGCGCTCGCCGGGGAATGCGTAGCCTCAACGGGATGAGGCGAGAAAGCCGGTTTTATATTGTCAGGGGGAATGCTGTCAGGCGCGAGGCTGGAATCGGGCTCCATCCGCGTTATAAGTCGCGTATCGCGGCCGGCGACTGACAGTCGCCTATCAGAATACTCAAGCGTCCGACATCTTTGAGAATCGGTCAGTTTCTGAGACCCCTCGGAGCTGACCGTCTGGGTGCTGAAAATGGGTCGCGTGGTGATCACTTTGAGGTCCGTGAGCCGGCCATGGTGGTCCGGGAAGCGTAAGCTTTCACACGAGGACAGGCTCATCTCGCAGATGTCGGAATCGTCCATTGCGAAGGATGACGCCATCACCTTACGAGACTGCGACTATCTTTTGAGTTCTGGCGGAAAGGTCGGTTAATACGACGAGCCGTCGCGTCTTGTATGTGGTAACAGCTCATGATCAGATGCTAAGGCTTTATCATGCTACGAAACGTTACGGGATGTCAACTTGTTGTCGCGTGATCGCGTGGCTCTAGACACACTGAGGAATCGGGAAAGGCCACGAGACAGCCTCTTGTGAACATTCGGGAACAGCTGGTGCCGAGACTAGGGCTTCTCATGTAAAACCGAGGAATCGAAGACTAGGACGTGTCATGAGGAAGCAAAGCTTGTCACAGGAGGAAGATTGTCAGAGCCGTTGGACCTACAATCCCGAATGCCGAGCTGTGACATGGCATGGACGCATCGCATGGCACCCTTCCGCATGGCCACGTGATTTATGGAAAGCGAAACTTCATGTTATGTGGCTCGCTCGCAAGTCTATCCGGCACGCTCAACATGCCTTCCCATGGCGGCACTCTCCGGAAATAGGCAGCACAACTAACAGCTAGACAAATGATATCGGATAGAAGTTATTCCATTCCAATTCCATGGAAGCTTTTCTGGAGAAAATACGGTCATTTGCGTTTCAGAGCGTCATAGAGCGGTACTAAAAGTTGAAGCATCAGTGACATCGTGACGGCAGCGAATGCCGTTGCACCCATTCCTCGCCCTGCAGATTGAACCAAATTCGAGGGGCGGCCTGCTTCCGCCCATGCGCGGGGTGACTTTCTTCCCCCTCACGGCCACCAGCCCGCGGATGGGTCTGACTGCAGCTGGACTAATTTCGGGTGCGACGGATGGCGAGCGAGGCGAGGGGATGCCAATTTTCTCATGGCATGCGATGGCGTGGGGTGATCTGGGGGACTGCAAGCAGTGCACGTTTTCGTCATACACTTTTCCTCCTCTATTGTTTCACCCGAAATCGTCTAAATTTCAATCCTACCTACCAGGTTCTAAGCATGACTCGCGTTGACACTGAACCTGATTGGCTGCAGTCTGAACGAAACCTAACATTCAAGTCGAATTTCGACAATTGCGAGTTTCAGAGCTGGGACGTCGCGCAGTTAACCCATCTAGTGCATGAGCGAGACATCGTAACCAAGTGTCAGTGTTTTACTGTGGGTTTTCCCTTTCAAGGCCCCGTTTGCCAGTGTTTTACTGTTTCTTGTATATAGGCTCAGGCCGCGTGAAAAACTTGTAAATTCGAATAGAAAACAAGTGTACATTTGCCAGTGCGAGCCGAGTCAACCAGGCTTTGAGGCAATTCAGGTGTCGCGGACGTGATCCTGCAACACACAATCGCAGCGCATTTCACAGCACCACCGAAGGCTTTCATGTGCGCTGATGCGGTTCGGATGCGTGATTCACCACCACCATGCATGCCACCCCCACCAGATCAGCGCCAATCAGGCCCTCGAAAGCATGGAATTCGTGATGGCGCGAACTTGGTTCCGCGAGACTCCATTGCTTGAGGAAAGGTGCTTGCTCGCTTGCAGAAGCTTTGCTTGCAAGTTGCACCCCAACGATCAATGTCGGCATGGATTGCATTTCGAATCTTTCGCCGGCCAAGATGCCAATGCTCAATCGACATAACTCCTGGGATTCTTTGGTGTACCTAAGTGCCTAAGACTAACACCTTATAACTCCAATTTACACCTAGTATTGCACAACCCCATTCCATGCCACAATAAGAGTAGTTTCTGGAGCTCATATCTGACACTAGTGTCAGATGGGAACACCCAAGGTGTCAAAAAACTGCTCAGGTCTTCACAAGCCTGAAGGGTATTTGACTGGAAACTCGCGTTTAGTTGACAAATTTAGCATCAAACGAGTGTCACAAAAATTTCGCCCAACAATCTACAAATCCCGTTGTCATGCAGTCACAACGCATTTTCGTTCTCAATTTCATTTCTGCACGACCGTCAGAATCACACGACCTGCAGTTGGGTTTCTAAACACGACGGCTCCTTAGGGCGCGGGTCAGCCTCGGGTCAGACCCGGGGTGAGGAATTTACTCTTAAACAGTTTGAGGATACGTTCACTGAGCTGAACGCCCACTATAACCCCATCCACTTCTAGTTGTAGTTAGGGCGTGTTCTCAGAGTTAGAACGAATGACTAAAATGAGAGTATACAGGGGTATATAGCTAGTGGGTTGTACTCTCTATGGCAACACCCTATGTAGTCTACTAAACATACACAAATATGTTTGACACACCCCCTAGACTAGATAGGGGCAGAGCCTGATGAGAGACAAACAGCTTAGGGCGGCACTACTAGTCCAACCTCTGAGGCAGGGGTCTAAAGACCAGTCAAAAGATTACAAACAAGGCAAGAACAAGACCAGGGCGGCACTACTTGTCCAGCAACTGGGAGGAAGCCATAAGGTCAGTCAGGATAATATATAAAGACTTATACACAGTCAAGGTGCTAGCAAATGTGGTGCTACAGGAATGAGTCCAAGCTGTACACAGTGCCGCTAATGATCTTTAGGCGCAAGCGCCTTCGTAAATATATCAGCTGTGTTGGCACCGGAGGCCAAGTGTACTACGCGGGCCTGGCGATGCTGCTGTAGCTCGCGCAAGTGGAAGTACCGCAGCTGGATGTGCTTCGCTCTGCCCTCGAGTCTGGGCTCCTGACACACGAAGATCATGGCCCTGTTATCAGCGAATAGGACCGGGGCAGAGCTAGGCCGCTCACCAAAGTCTGAAAGCAAGAAAGTCAGCCCGAAGAGCTAGGCCACACTAGCGGCGCAGCTCTCCTAGGTCAGTGCAGGTGTGTCTCCTCAGCAGCTCAGCCTTCACGGAGGCCAGCGCGTCTTTATCTGCAGTAGCAAAGACCAGGTCGTCTACGTAGACAAGCATGTAGAACAGAGTCTGGCCGGAACGGACGAAGAGCGAGGGGTCTGCAGACGAAGGGAAGAACTGCGGGTCAGCAAGTGTAGCACGCAACGTGTCGTGCCACTCATGGGGCGCCTGTTGTAAGCCGTAGACAGGGCGCCGAAGGAGCCACTCAGTACCAGGGGGCAAGGTACCGGAGAATCCCTGGGGGCGACGCAAGTAGACCTGCTCGTGTAGACTGCCGTGGAGGAAAGCTGTGGAGAAGTCGAGTGAGTGCAACTCATAGTCACGCTGTGCTGTTATGTGTAGTAATGCCCGAAGAGTAGTCATCTTTGGGGTCGGGGCGAAGGTCTAGAAGAAGTCCACCCCATCACGCTGACTGAAGCCTCGAGCAACGTAGCGCGCCTTGAAGGCATGCGGCTATCCAGGAGGGCGCTTCACCTTGGAGAGCCATCGGCCATCGACTACGTTCACCCCAGGTGGGGGAACTGCGTCGACAAAGGTTCCAGTGGATCTCCAAGATGCCATCTCCTGCTCCATGGCAGCTATACACTGAGAGGCCCAGGGTCCCGAGGTGGCCTCAGTGTAGGTGCGAGGTGTCGGGATGTCAAGGGCGTCTGGGTCACCCTCAGGGACTAGTAGCATAGAACATAGATGGGGAGCGACCTCTAACAAGAAAGCAAGCTCGTACTGTCTGTCCTCTAGGACGTCACTGCCAAGGGCAGCCACACCCCTGCCGGACGGAGGGCAGGCAGGGTCAGAGACCAGAGCGGTGGCATAGTCAAGACAGCGGGTAGCGGCGAAGTTAGCGACAGCAGCGACAAGAGCGTCAAGACTCGAGACAGGAACAGACGAGTCGGTAACGAGGGAGGCAAGGACACGAGGAACAAGAGGACGCGCAGCACAGAGGAAATCAGAAAACGGAGGCGGGGTCACAGGGAGCGACGACCGAGGAGGAGACGGGAGGAGCGGAGGAGCACGAGACGCGTGAGAGCGAAGCAACATAGAGTGAGAGCGCGGAACAGGGGAGGTAGGACGAGCACGAGACGGACGACGAGCCCAGACATGAGAAGGAGGAGTCAGGTCAGAAGAGAGGGGACGAGACATAGGAGGAGAACAAGAAGGGAAATGAGCCGAAGAAGAGTCCACGGGAGGAAACACAGGGCCGTAGACCGGCAGAGGAGGAGGCACCGGCAGGCAATCAGGAGAAGGAAGGCCAAGGTGGCGAAGTGTGGACACCGTCAGCGACTGTGACGACTGCTGCTCGACGCCAATACCTGAACCTCCAGCAGGATCACGGCTCCCTTCGGGAAGCCCCACGCCAGCACCCCCAGAACAGGAACCCGCTCCTGTACCCGCTCCAGCATGCTCCCCAGCACCCCCAGAACGCACAAATATCAGCGACGGCTACGACGTCGGCTGCGGCTGCGGCGGCGACGGCAGCTGCGGAGGCGGCTGTGGCTGCGGCTGTGACAGCAACGGCGGCGACAGGGGAGGAGAGACCAGGATGGGGACAGGTGGGGGAAGGGACTTCGTCAAGCCGCGAGAGTCAGCAGACCCCTCGGCAGGGACAACCGACGGGAGGGGGGTGACGTGAGACACACCAGACGGGACAAGGCGGGGAGGGGGGGGGAACAGGGGCGACCGGAGGAGGGGGGGGAACCAGGAACGGGGGGGGGGGTGACCGGGGGACCACACTGGGGAAAACGGTGATATAAGGAGACAGACTCGTCAAAGGTGACGTTGCGAGAGTGAAAGGAGCGGTGAGACGGCGGGTGGTAGAAGTGCCAGTTAGATGAGTTGAGGGAAAAACCTAGAAAGACACAGGGGACGGTGCGGACAGTGAGCTTGTCCGTGCCAGAGGCATGAACGTGAGCAAGGCAGCCCCAGACGCGTCACCAGGAGACACCGTCCAGAGGAGAGTCGGCAAAACCTGCAACTGCTGAGGGTGCGGCCACAGGTTAAGCTGGTGGGCGGCGTAGCGAACGTCGAACGGCCACAGAGAATGGGGTGCACTGGCATGGATCATGGAGGTGCGAGCAACCTCATGACCGAGCCGATGCGTCGCGCAACAACCCCATTCTGCTGCCGGGAGTCCGGCAGGGTGTACGTCTGGGTGATGCCCTCCGCATGACAGAAGCGACCAAGGCAGCCAGAGGCGAACTCGCCACCACGGTTGGAGTGAAGATGCAACACAGGGAGACCTCGGTGCACACGCACAGAGACAAGCCACGGGATAAGAACGTCGGGCACGTCGACCTTCCGCTCCAAGGGAAACACGATGGTGTAGCGAGTGTAGTTGTCGACAAGCTCTAGGAAGTAACGCTCACGACGTGGCCCATGGACGGGGGCAGGGCCCCAGACGTCCATGTACAGGGTCTGTAATGGTGCGGTGGTGGGGGAGAATGAGGAGGAGTGAGGGGCAAGGCGGAGCCGGCCCTCGACGCAAGGGGTGCACGGAGGCGCTGCCGAGGGGGGGAGCGGAGGGAACGATGCAGGGAGACCTAAGATAAGATCGTGCTGAGACATGTGACAGAGATGTGTAAGGGCGAGGTGACCTAGGCGGTGGTGCCACAGAAGCGACGGGTGAGTAAGCGACCGACACGAGCAAGCCGCAGCAACATGGGTAGACGCTGCCGCCTGGGGG